GGCAGAGGGATTGCGGAATAGATTTCCAGAGAGTTGAGACAGAGGTGCTGAATGCCCGATAACGGTGGGGCGGGAAAGTGTGGGGACCTGAAGCAGGCCAGTATCCGCCAAGCGGAGGGAGCGGACAGGCTGGTATGGTACGGAGCGGTAGGGAGGAGCAAGACCGTGCAGGGCTTTGAAGGTGAGAACGAGAGTTTTGGACTCGATTCTCTTGAGAGGTGGAGAGCCAGTGAAGCCGGGCAAGAACAGGGGTGATTGGTTCTCGGAGCCTGGTGCGGGAGAGAACACGGGCTGCAGAATTCTGAATAACCTGCAGCTTGTGGAGGGAAGAGTTGGGAAGTCTAGTGAGCAGGCATTTGGCTTAGTCAAGCCAGGATGTGATGAAAGCGTGGATCAGTGTCTCGGCTGATGTGGTGATAGGCAGTGGCGGAGGCGGGCAGTGTTGTGTAGGTGGGGAAAGGTCACGGTACGAATATGGGGTTTGAAGGATAGCTGCAACATCAACATCGAAAAGGACCCCAAGGTTTCATATTGTCTCAGTGAGGTGAAGAGTGCAACCATGAATATGATAATGTCAAAGGCTGAGGTAAGGTGATGCTGCTGGGAGCCAAGCAGGGGGGCCTCAGTCTTGCCAACATTGAGCTAGAGGAAGTTGGCTCTCACGCTGGACTTGATGTCAGACAGACAATTAACCAGGGCATCAATGGTCCTGGAGTCGAGGGTCGAGGCGGCGAGATAGAGTTGGGGTGTCATCCGGATACATGTGGAAATTGACCCCATGCCTGCAGGTGACATCAACGAGTGGGAGCATGTATAGATTGCAGAGGAGGGGACCGAGGACAGAGCCCTGAGGGACGCCACACATGACAGTGCGGGGGCTGGTGGAGAAGCCGTTGGTGGACGTGAAGTGCAGACAGTGGAAAATACTCCTTTCAATATGAAGTGGGCAGCAATATACATCAGTAAAGTGTGGGGTCAACAGGTGGCAGTTCCATCAAAATCCCAAGTAAACCTGGGTACAGAAGGAAGCTATTCAACCTGTGGTTTCACTGCTAATGCTCGCTCTCCCACCTTCACCAGAACCTCTCATCCCACTTGTCTGCTCCTTTCCCAAACCTATAATCATTTTCCTTAAAGTTTTAGCCAATCACTTTTGCACTCTGTTATGAACTCTCCTTCAGCTGCGACTTACGTTGAAACATTCCTCAGTTCAACAACCCTCTTTTTTCTAAATTGCCTTTTTTCTTCTGTGATTTTCCACTCGTCTCAGTGACATGGAGTGAGTGCACCGACAGCCTTTAACCTCCCGCTCCATCCAATCTGATATAAGATGGATGTCCAGAGGGTTTGAACTGTACCAGGAGTGCAGTATATTCTCAGGCGTCACCTTCGTGGTGTGTGATGACCTCCTGGGAATGGGTTAATTAGATTATAGATTGCCCAGTACGCTCTCTCTATACTGTGCAGGGCTGCCTCACTCTAAAACAGGATGGAGGAGGAACAAATGTGCTTTTTGTGGCTGTGATTTTTTTCTGGATCGTGTTTGGGGAGGTCGTTGAATCTGTGAATAGAAGCAAGTTTCCTGCCCCCGATGGACAAATTGAGGCCAGTCCACTCGGGTAATTCGAGCAACTGAGTAATTCGAGTGACTGAGTAGCTGGCCTGCAGCTCTGCGTGTGGTGGGAGTGAGCGAGGAAAGCGTGTTGTTTTCAATCCACACACCCAACAGGGAATGAATTGGTTTTGTTGTGAGGAGTAGTGAATGGAACACACTTGTGCTTCCAGTGTGTTAGTTCCTGACAGTCTGCAGTGCCCCATTGTGTATCCTCCTCCTGCTGGGGAGGTCAGAACTTAATAGCAAGGTGGGCTGTGTGTGTAGCGCTGTACTGGTCTGGTCCCACACCAGCTAACTTGTCTGTTTAATCCAATCATTTTAACTTTCTTTTTGGCAAGTGGACGGGCCTTCAGCCACTGTGCCCCCGCCCTCTGGAACTCCATCCCGCAGTCCCTCCGCCACACCTCCACACTTGCCTCTTTCAAAACCCATCTCAAGACCCTCCTTCGACTGTGCCTTCGGTCATCCACCTTCCCCCTCCCCGATCTCGACCCCCAGCTTGGGTCCGAAACACTGATTGTCCAACGCTTTGGGACGTCCTCCCGACATGAAAGCGCTATACACATGTAATTTTGTTGTTGTAGAGGATCTGATCAATTGGCACAGCTCAAAATACATGTGCCCAGAATGAAGTGTGTTTATCAAGTGTAGTTTATCGGGGGAGAAGGAAGTGTTCATTAAGCTGCTCCCTTTTCTGCGGTTCAAGGTTGAAGGAGATTCTTGTGGCAGGAACATGGCAGATGTGTCTTACGTGTTTCTCATTGTTAACAAGAGCACACTGTTTCTCACTTTTTTTTTAGATTGCCAGATGAACAGAGAGAGTGTGTGTGTGTGTGTGTGTGTGTGCGCACGTATACCCGCACATGCCCCTAGAGTTATATTTGCAGTTTGGGATGAAACCCAATATAACTTTGAATAAACTCCCGTCTTCTCCTTGTACTGTATGCAGCAGCTGCCCTGTTTATTGGCGGTCTGTCAATGTCGGCTCTGTGTTGTAAATTGTACCCTTCCATGTGCTGATTTGCAGGTTAAAGCTGCTGTAATGCCAGTGAGATTAACTGTACCACAAACCGTGGCGTCCTTGTGGTGAATCCAAACACCATCCTGTTTCTGTGAATGATTCAAGGTTTTAATGTTTGTAAACAGTTAGTTTAATGGCAACATGCAGCAGTGATGCCCTTAAATCTTTATCTGCACGTGGCAAAAGGCAGCCTCTTAACCTGATAAGGGAGCGAGCGTGTTTATTTACCAGCTCCTCCCCTCTTGAGAATGAAACCAGCCGGGATGTCTCTCTGGGACATGCCTTTTTACATTATTGGACCTTTGCTTTCCCTGCTGTTCTGCGATGTTGCAGGTTTAAGATTCCAAAGGAAACACTTACGTATCGTAGCAGTAATGTGCTGGAGGAGTGGCACTGCCTGCCACTTGTTTGTCTGATGAAAACAGAACATTTTCCATAAGTCGTCTAAGTAAGACAAGCCTCCGATCAATAACCCGAGGTGGGATGAACGGCGTTGGCCTCTGGTACCTCCTCATGATCCCCTGGACACAGTTTATGCTAACTACAGTGGATGATATTTACAGGGGAAGCGATTCCTTGAGGACCAACACTAACAGTGAAAATTACCTTTTATTACTTGATGAGTTTTTAAAAATGATGGTAGAAAAGCACATTGATTGCCGTATTCAGTAATTTGTCTTTTGGATGAGATGTTAAACCAAGCACCTGTCTGCCTGTTCAGGTGGATGTTAAAGATCCTGTGGCATTATTCGAAAAGAGAAGGGAGTTTCTCTCCCATTGTCTTGTGTGACAATTCCCCAAACAAAACTGGTCCCTCACTCCATGACTGTTTGTGGGAAACTGCAGTGCGCAACTGGCTGCTGTGTTTCGCTCACAAAAATCCACAATCCACTTTACAGTATATCCTGTGAAGCGCTTTGAGTGAAAGGAGATTCTCAGAGGAGCGGAGCTTTGCAGTGGATTCTCATTTTAGTAACTGCACCACTCAGTGGGATTGGTGCCTCCCGTTTCCTGCAAGCAGCAGCCAGTCTTTATATCACTTGCTGCCGCCCGGGCGCTTGTAATGATTTTTATCTGCAAAGAAGCTTTGCAATTAACCAGTCCTGTGCAGTACTGACAGCTACCACTGGAGGGCGCCTCAGGCCCAGTAAACCTGGCAAATCACATCGGTTAATATCACTAATTACTCCATCTTTATTTAAAAATATCTAAATTTACCCACGTCTTATTGTGTAATGGTGAGATCGTGCAGCTTTTAGATCAGCTTTCAATATGATGTTGAGTTAGGATGTGGCACCACAAATTTGTGGTGATCTCTTAGCTTCAGTCGGTGTTATTGACGAACCTGTCTTGTCTCTGGGTTGGGGGTGGAGGGGATGGGGTTTAATGCCGGGGGGATTGTGACCTGGAGTTTGTGACCTTCTGATTGGCAGAAAGCCCCAAAAATATTACTGTTGCTCAAGTCTTCCCATAGAATAACCTGAGAGAGAGAGAGACATATGAACATTTGTTAAGGTTTTTGTTATTTTTCTTTTGTCTCAGCCATTTTTCAAATCACACAGAACCTACTTGTGAAAGGCTGGCTTGGATTTCAGTGCTGGCCTTATCATCAGTGTTTCTATTGCCATTACAGAGGGAGAGGTAAATATAACAGGGTGTGGAGCAAGGGCATGGCTGGGGGCAGTGGGGCTGAGGGCAGGAAGGGGCCACTGTGTCTGTGCTGCCTCTTCAATAGTCCTCCTTCTGCTCTTTAATTCTATGATCTGCACAGTGGCCAATGTTTCACTACGGCGCTCACTCGCAGTTGGCCGGTGGAGCTGTATTTAGATGCTGGAACCCACTGCTGTCTTGTGCGTGGGTTTATGTGCAGGGCTCGGGTACATTGGAGCCATGTCTCACGTCTCCGTGCATTCTGACACTCTCCATACTAAACCTTTGGCTTTCTGTAGTGATATATTCCAGTGGAGGGGCTGAACACATGTGTTATTTCCTGCAAAAGTAATCGAAACGCGTAAATACCCCCAGGGAAGAGGGTGAGGGAAAGTCTGAATATTCCAATTTCATTCAGGGTAGTCATTAAACTAGAGGATTCACTAGTACTGGAGGGTGTTCATGTAACAGCTTGGCTCGTACACTGTTTATTCACTGACATTGAGGTGTGGGGTGAGTCACTCAGCCTTGCTAGGGTATTTCTAAAGGAGATTAAAAAGTCAGTATCTGCTATCTGTACAGAACACACTGTAAATCTGGCGTATTTCCTGCTCCTGGGATGGGATTCCTCACTTTGTGACCTGCTGGAGGTGGTGGTCAGGACCCAGGCTGTGGCAGAGCCGACTAACTGTATTCTCTCTCTCTCTCTTCCAGTGGCTACGCAGCCGATGATATCACTCACTGCATCCGCCCACAGGACATCAAGGAGCGCAGGGCCGTTATCATACTGCGGAAGTAAGCACTTTATATACCTTTCAACACCTGGATATCCATTCTCACTGAGTGTGAGGATAAACGCCTGGTTATCCATTCTCACTGAGGACCGTGAGGAGGTGCTATGGCAGCTGGTGAAGGGCAGAGAGCGCTGTGTCAGGTCATGGTGAAGTGACTCTGGGCTTAAGGGTTATAAAAGCCTGTAGAGTGTGGAAGGAAGGGAAGAGTGAGAGAAGTGTGCAGTGTGGAGGTCCACTCCACCACCCGCTGCCTCCACTTAGCTGGCTCTGGCCTCCAATTTGTCCCTCGTGCCCTCATTTCCATCATCAGTGGCCGTGCCTTCATCCACTACACCCCGAAACAATGGAACAATCTCCCTCAATCCCTCCGCCTTGCCCCCTCCCTCCCCACATTCAAATCCCGCCTAAAGACCTTTTTAATTGTGTTCTCCCTCTCCCCCGGCTTGTTGTCAGACTCCGCCATTGTGAAGTGTTCCAGGACACTACGTGACGCTGTGTAAATGCAAGTTGTTTGTAATGAACTGTGTGAGGAAAGGGGGAGAAAAAGTCTCAGAGTCATGTTTATAAGATGCTGAAAAAAGCCTGCAAACTGTTGTTCAGGGTGTAATATTTTTCTTCCGTTGCTTCTACCTATGTTTTTCTTACAGAACTAGGTCAGATGCCCCACGTTTGGATATGAAATCATTAACTAGTTCCATGTTACCGGTTCAGATGCCGAACAGGCTGCCGACCAGTGATCGGTACCAGGTGGTCCTCAAACACAAGCGGTCACACCGCAAGGCAGACCCTGACGCTGCTCACAGGTATGGGGGGGCCGCAGGTACCTGAGCTCAGGCTGTCACAGTTTTATAATAATAATGTATTAATAACCCTTGCATTTGATTATCGAGTCTCAAGTTTTAGGGGGACATTTGTTATCGTTCCCCACTCGTAGCTAACTCAGGCAGGATGGAATTGGCTGGAAGTTTGATGGTGAATGGGATGTGAGAATGGGGCTGTGTTGGACTTATCTAGTGCTGTGTGTGAGCAACAGTGAGGTGTGTGACCCAGACTAACCCAGTTCCTCTCCTTTTCTTCCCCAAAGGCCGAGAATTTTAGAAATGGACAAAGAGGAGAACCGGCGATCGGTGATTTTACCGAAACACCGCAGGAGGAGCGATTGTTCGGCCGAAAATTACTGGCGACGACCTCCTGACTCCCCGGAGCAGGGAGATGCCGGGGCAATGGACAGTCCAGTCCGCAAAGTTAAAATGCGACGACACTGATACCATGTTTTGGGGGATTGGGGCGGTGGAGAGGAGAAGGGGCAGAGGAGAGGGGGCGGAGGAGGGGGTGGGGGGTGGAGGAAAGGGAGGGGCAGGGTTGGAGGGAGAACCAGAACTTTGACTTGAAGGTTCATGGACAAGACATGCACCACTGTATGGGACAGCGACACAGCAACTTTCAGATTCAGAAGGAAGTTTAAAAAAAACTTTGACAGAAAAATGAATTGATTTTATTATTAAATTTGCTGAGGGTGGAAGTAAAGGCAGGAGCTCGCTTCCTGGAGTGTAGGTAGGCAGACAAGACGCTCACTGCATTTCATTGCATCTTATTTTATATATTTAAGGCCCCACAAAGGATTTTCACATTAATTTTACACCAAGCCCAGTGTGTGCAGACAAGTTGTTTAAAATATATATATATATATATAATTAAGAAAAAGAAATAAAATGTGAAGCTTTTGGGGTATTTTTTTTTAATTGAGAAGCAGCCATAATATCATGTTATGTCACAGGCTCCTTCCTTCCTGCTCCAGTGCTTCCACTGTTAGTGTCGTTGGTTTGGGATTGTTCCAGAGTGTGTGTCAGATGTATTGTCGCAACAAAAAAAAACTTTTAAAAGATGAGAGGATTTTTTTTTCTCCCTTGGAGGGAGAGAGAGAGAGAGAGAGAGAGCGAGCGCGAGAGAGAAAGAGTGTGCGAGAGAGAGAGAGAGAAAGTGTTGCTTGTAACAAAGTTGTACAGTTCTGAAAAAAACACAAAACCAACACAAAAAAACTTTAAAAATGTACGCCAATGATTCAAAGTTCTGTAAATGAAAATAGGTATTTTATGTAAAAAACAAAACGAAGAAAAAAAACCTTTTAATTTGAGTAATTGTGAGAAGGGCGAGAGTTAGACCTTCCGGTCGGGTCGGTGACCTGAACATTTGCTTTATTTCTTGTACAAAATGCTACATTTGATTAAAAGCAGAGAGCATCACTTTGACATGGGTGAGTGTGGGTTTGTTTCCTCCATGTGCAGCTACTTATTCTCCCCCCCCACCCCCCCACTTTTTTTTAGACAAAAGTTAATGCTTATTTTTTAAAACCTTTGTGTAGAGTTTATAAATCTGCTGTAAAACTGCTCGATTGCAATGTTTGCTGAACAGAGACGTCTCCTGTAAGTAACGTTTGCCGTTGTGTTGATAAAGTCCACGTTTCTCTGTGCTGAGTATTATTGTCAGTGTGTGTGCAATGTAACGCTTAATAATAATCCTTGCATTTGATATAGCGCTTTATCACATCTTCGAGGCGTCTCAAAGCGCTTTACAGAGTACACTGTAAAGTGAATTGACTGAATATTTTGTGGGTGAAACGCTTGATTAATATTATTGGCGAAATCGCTCAATGCAATGCTTTTAACATGCGATTATATGCCAATGCAATCAGGTGCAGAGACCCTAATGCCGCGCTCTCTGTGTTCTCGTGGGTAAAGTTGCCACCTGGCGCAGCTCTGAGCTGTACACACCACACGCTGGCAGGATTCTGAATCCCAGTCGGCTCTGGGAAGTGAGGCAAGGATCGGGAAGAAAGTTCGAGCCTTCCTCCTCTGGAGAATGTGTGAGCATGGGGTGAGGACAGGATTGAATGTGCTCGGCTGCCGGAGGTGGGGTAAGGATGAGCTTCTAAGAAGATGGTTGAACATTGCCTTCAAAAAGAAGTACAGTATCTGTTATTCTTTTAAAACTCCTTTGAGTTGATGCACCATGAGTCCCGCAACTAGCAGCTCTGTACACGAGATTAAAACTGTCCATGCAACAACAACAACAACAACTAGCATTTATTTAGTGCCTTGGCTCAGGTTAGGGTCTCGGAGCGCACTCCCTCTCGCTGCTTCTCACTGAGTTGCTTTGCCCTCGGGTGCCCAGCGACACCGAAGCCAATTGTAACTCCTCTCCCAGCCCAGAGGGAAACAAACATTTACAGACTCACGTTCAGCACAAACTTTTCCCAAGAAAAACATTAAACTGTTAATTGGCGGCGTACATTTAGAGGTGCAGTGATTATCCTGGGAGATTAGGGGATTACAGTGCTGTGTGTAAGATGATGATGTGAGCAGGCCACCGCTCGTATTTGTCAACAGTGTCGCCACTTAGAGATAATCTGTGAGCTCGGTTTACACTGAGCTGGTGAGATCACTGCTGGCTTTTGTCCAAAGTACGTCGCAGACTCAGTCATGATAAACAATTAGTTGGGGAAAGGGAACGAAAAGCATCAATCCCCGTCAACTTGCCTTCGGTAAGTGAGCCCACCTTGCCTTGTCTAAAGGCGCCAACTACATTAACAAGTTGGAGGACGTTTGGGGCCAATTCATTAAACCACCTTAGAAAAGAAATGAAGAATGCTTTGCAATTGATCTGTCAATGTTTGGGAAAAGTAGGAAAGTCTCCAGTTTACACAGTGAGTTACTTTGGTGTGTAGTGACTTATGCAATATTTTCCTTCCTGAAGTCTGGAGTTAGTGGTTTTAGCCTCGCTGTCACTGAATCAGTTTGTGAGTTTTAGTTTTGCACGAGTTATTAAGTGAGTGCAGCATGGTTGAGGGTCGGCTGTGTTTTATTAATGCGGAAACCTTTTGAAGTCCTGGAAAAACATCCAGCTTGGTGGGGAGTGGGGTGGAGTCCAAGTTTAGGTGGATGGGAGCAAACAGCTGGGGTTCAGCCCACCCACATTACACAGGGCTGCCCCCAGCGGAAAGATTTTCAACTTGAAGTTGATGTTAGTGTAAATACTAACTGTTTTAAGAGGTTTTGTCCTCACGGCTAAGGATGCCATTCCGCCAGCTGTTCCCAATGATGTTTAACTAATGTTTTTGTTTTGTCATACACAGCCCTCTACATTCCCAACAGCAATATACATCCTATATGGTGGCTTCAGCAGTGTCTTGTTCTCTATTTAAATCTGGGAAGCTCCCATCAACAACAACAAATTACATTTGTATAGCGCCTTTCGTGTCAGGAGGACATTCCAAGGAGTTGGACAGTCAGGGATCCACACCCAAGCTGGTGGTTGGGATCAGGAGGTGTGGAGTGGGTAGGGGTAGGAGGGTGACCAAAGACATGGTTGAAGAGGAGGGTCTTAGAAGGGAGGCAAGGGAATGGGTAAGCGTGGGGGTGATAGGGCTGTGGAGCCTGGTGCGGGGGAGGACACGGGCTGCAGAGTTCTGGATGAGCTGCAGCCTGTGGAGGGAGGAGTTGAGGCTGTCAGGCAGGGAGTGTGCAGAGCTCGGGAGATGAACACGTGGATGAGGGCCCCAGCAGCCTGCAGTGAGACGCAGTGGTGCCAGGCAATGTTGCGCAGGTGGGGAACGGCGGAGCGGGTCGTGGCACAGATGTGGGAGGGGGGGGGGGTGAAGGACAGTAGTGGGTGGAACAGGACGCTGAGGTTCTGTATTGGCTCCGTGAGGTGTAGAAGGGCGATGCTGTCAGTGCCTGAGATATGGTTAGTTCTCATTCAGGACTTGATGTCCGACTGGCAATCTGGGAGGTGGAGACAGAGAGATACAATTTGACCCCACGTCTACAGATGATGTCACCGAGAGGGAGCACGTAAATGGTGAAGAGGGGACAAATCTTCGTTGCTGGTTAATAATAATAATAACCCTCGCATTTGATACAGCGCCTCATCATGTCGGTTAGAGGTCTCAAAGCGCTTCACAGGATATACTGTAAAGTGTAGTGACTGTGTGGTTTGTGCAGTTCTGCAGTGCTGCTCCTGTTGTCTGTTCCTCTTGTGGGGGCCCAGACAGTGAGTGCAGAGCAATCAAACCTGAAACTGAGAGGATCAGTGAATGGCATTGATTATTATTATTATATTCAGGCGTTGGAGCAGTGGCTGATATCAGCCAATGGGGTGCGAGTAGCGGCTGGGGACAGCCAATGGGGTGCGAGTAGCGGCCGGGGACAGCCAATGGGGTGCGAGTAGCGGCCGGGGACAGCCAATGGGGTGCGAGCTGCGGCCGGGGACAGCCAATGGGGTGCGAGTAGCGGCCGGGGACAGCCAATGGGGTGCGAGTAGCGGCCGGGGACAGCCAATGGGGTGCGAGTAGCGGCCGGGGACAGCCAATGGGGTGCGAGTAGCGGCCGGGGACAGCCAATGGGGTGCGAGTAGCGGCCGGGGACAGCCAATGGGGTGCGAGGCCGGCGCTGGAGCTCAGGAGCCCCACAAAAGGCCGGGAGACGCGGCGGCGACGGCGGAGCGAGAGAGCGCGAGCGGGGCTTTGGGCGGGGACCTGAGCCGCGATAACCCCTCCCCTTCCCGCTAACCCCGCCCCCCCCTCCCGCTGACTCCTCCCCCTCCCGCGGCCGCTGTGAAGATGATGAAGTTTCGGTTCCGCCGCCATCAGGGCCCCGACCCGCAGCGCGAGAAGCTCAAACAGGACCTGTTCTCCTTCAGCAAGGTACCGGGTACCGGGGACCGGGGGTACCGGGGGGGGGTACCGGGGACTGGGTACCGGGGTACCGGGGGTACCGGGGGCGCCCCGGGATGGGGGTGAGCCGCTCCCCCGCCCCCGGGATCCGCTCAAGATGTCGAGTTGCGATGTGTTGCTGTTCTCTTCTCCTCTTTTCTCTCCTTTCTTCCCCTCCTTCCTCGTCTCTCCTTCTCCTCCTTCCCTCTCTCCCTCTCTTTCCCTGTTCCCTCCTCCCTCTCTGCCCCTCTCCTCTCCCCCTCTCTCTCTCTCTCTCTCTCTCCCTTTTTTTCCTCTTCTCTCGCTTTGCGCAAATGAAATTCCAGGATTAGCGGGAAACAGTGAGAGGGAACATTCCTCCCTTTCCCCCCTCCCCCCCCCCCCCCGGCAATACCCTCCCCCCCCCCCGGCAATACCCTCCCCCCCCCCCGGCAATACCCTCCCCCCCCGGCAATACCCCCCCCCCCGGCAATACCCTCCCCCCCCGGCAATACCCCCCCCCCGGCAATACCCTCCCCCCCCCGGCAATACCCTCCCTCCCTCCCTTTCTCTCCCCTTTTCCCTCCCTCTCTCCTTTCCTCTGTGTCCCGTTATCCCCGGGGAACTGCAGTCTCTCTTACTCTGACCCAGTCTCTCTGAGGCTCTGGGCTCTGGGCTGAGGCTCTGGGCTGAGGCTCTGGGCTCTGGGCTGAGGCTCTGGGCTGAGGCTCTGGGCTCTGGGCTGAGGCTCTGGGGCTCAGGGCTCTGGGCTGAGGCTCTGGGCTCAGGGGCTGCAGTGAAGCTCAGACACGGGCTGTTGTGTAGCACATTCTGCAACAATAAAAACCAAGTTGGCTGCTATACAGACACAGGGACGTGAAGTTGCTGTGGGGCTGAGAGTCTGACGCCATTATTTTATGTATCAGTTGGCTCCAGTTTCATTTTTAAGCCACTTTATTTGAGACGTCGTGTGATGGAGAGGAGGAGGTGGAGGGGGTGTGGGGGGAGAGCAGTCCAGTAGCTTCTGTTTGTGTTAAATTGGCTTAAATGTGCTTTACAGCAGTGAGTCCGTCGCCGCTTTAATACAAGTCATGTTTTCATACTTGAATTTCTTCCATAAACGTGATTTTTTTGGTTAATAACTAAAAAAAATGCCTTGTGTTTGGGCGGAACAGCTGCAGCACAGCCTTCTGTAACTGTGTGTGTGTGCGAGCGAGAGGTGTGCGTGTTTGTGTGTAAGTGATGTGTGTTTGTGTGTAAGTGATGTGTGTTTGTGTGTAAGTGATGTGTGTTTGTGTGTAAGAGTGTGTCTGTGTTTGTGTGTAAGTGTTGTGTGTTTGTGTGTAAGAGTGTTGTGTTTGTGTAAGAGTGTGTTTGTGTAAGAGTGTGTTTGTGTAAGAGTGTGTTTGTGTAAGAGTGTGTTTGTGTAAGAGTGTGTTTGTGTAAGAGTGTGTTTGTGTAAGAGTGTGTCGTGTGTTGGGTGTAAGAGTGTCGTTTGTTGGGTGTAAGAGTGTCGTTTGTTGGGTGTAAGAGTGTGTCGTGTGTTGGGTGTAAGAGTGTGTCGTGTGTTGGGTGTAAGAGTGTGTCGTGTTTGTGTGTAAGAGTGTGTCGTGTTTGTGTGTAAGAGTGTGTCGTGTTTGTGTGTGAGAGTGTGTCGTGTGTAAGTGTGTCGTGTTTGTGTGTAAGAGTGTGTTTGTTGGGTGGGTTTAAGTTGTAATGTGAAGAGATGTTTCCAATTCACAATTATTCAGACAATAATGATAATTATTTTTAAAAAAAAAAATCTGAAGACTTCCCGTCGATGTACTTTGCAAGTCCCCGGGTTTAACTTGTTCATTGATGAGGTTAACGGTGGGGACGCGGTGAGACGGGGATGTATGTGTGTGGTTGGGCTCCTGACCATTGGGCATCTGTCTTTCCATGTTGTTTCATCGATTATTCGCTCCCTCATTGCTTTGCTTTTCTCTCTCTTTCTGGCCCAGAAACGGTTTAGTTTCCCTCTGGTGCTCATTGACTGCTCTTTGGCCACAGCTGTTCCCTTTTCCCACTTTTGATTCTTGCTAATAAATAAGGAACAGAAGAACAGAAGAAAGAAGACCAAGATCCATCCAGTTCTCCTTCCACCATCCTGGCAGTCGTTTGGCATGTTGTGTCCCAAACTATATATTGTATCCCCAGATATTATTTTCTGATATCTTTGTTCCCCCATTTATTCCTCTTTTCCACCTCTAATGTTCTCTCTCCTCTTCTGTCTGTCTGTCTGTTCAAAACTCCGCCGCCATATACTCACCCGCTCTAAACTCCGTACTCCCATCATATCAGTCCTCACCAGACTCCACTGGCTCCTTATCACAGAACAACAACAACAACAAGATTCCATTTATAAAGCGCCTTTCACGTCAGGAGGACGTCCCAAGGCGCTGCACAGTTGGGTCATGACCCGAGCAGGGGGGAAATGGTCAGGGTGATGGAAGGGAGGGAGCGAGGAGGGGGGAAATGGTCAGGGTGAGGGGAGGGAAGGGAGGGAGCGAGGAGGGGGAAGAGAGTCGAGAGGGGAGCTGAAGGCTGAAGGTCAAAGAGAAAGGTTTTGAGACCGGCCTTGAAGGAGGAAAGGGAGGAAGCGGCGAAGGCACTGGGGGATGCAGTTCCAGAGCCTGGGGGCTGAGAGGCTGAAGGCCCGACCACCGATGGTAGGGCGGTTGGGGCGGGGGACGTGGAGCAGACCAGAGCCAGAGGAACGGAGGGTACGGGCAGGTAGGTAGGGGGATAGTAGGTTGGAGAGGTAGGAGGGAGCAAGGCCGTGAATGGCCTTGTAGGTGAGGATGAGGATCTTGAAATCAATCCTCTGGGGGATGGGGAGCCAGTGGAGGCGAGCGAGAACCGGATTGACTTCAAGATCCTCACACTGGTATACAAATCCCTTTACACCCTGGCACCTACCTACCTCTCCAACCCAATTACCCACCACACCATCGCACTCTGTTCGATTGGTGGCCGTGCTTCAGTCACTAATCCTGGAAACTCTGAAAATCTCTTCCCCAATCCCTCAGACTTGCCCCCTCTATCCCAATTTCTAGATCATGCCTGAAGACCTTCCTTTTTAACTGTACTTACGGTCACCTCCCCCCGGCTCAGTGCCGTGCTCAGCTATTGTTAAGTGCTCTGGGATACTACACTGCATGCATGAGGGACGCTGTATACATGCAAGTCAGTGTGTGTCGTTCCCCACCCCCCGCGCCCATCCAACCCTGTTGTATTAGGCAGTTCAGAGTTTGAGCACGGAGCCGTGCGCACTTGGTACAGTGGGAGCGGGCAGATGCGGGGGGAAGGAGTGTTGCTCCACAGCCTGGTTTGGTGCCTCTCAGGTTCCACTCACGGAGAGGTGCCTCTGGGTCTCAGGCCGTTTGCCAACGCTGAGTGACTGGCAACTGGCTGCGGAGTGTCTCTCTCTCTCTCTTCCCCTGTGGGAATTGTCTGGCATCTGTTCAGCAATGCGAAGTGTGATGGAATATGTTTTTAATAACTACTTTATTTTTTTGTATGGAAAAACAATGTTTGCCGTTGCTATAATCTTACAAGGAGACAGTGTCAGCTGACTGAGTGGGTGACAAGTGGGCTTCTCTAAGGGAATGAGGGGGGAGGCATTCTGTAATTGTCTGGTGATTTTCAGGGTCATTGATTCAGTTATCGTTTCACCCAGAAAGGACACAGTCAACTCACTTTGCAGTCTATTCCTTGAAGCGCTTTGAGACGTCTCAAAGTATTATTAAATATGAGACTCAAGTCGAATGTCTTAAGTGATTGGTGCAATGAGTTATTGAAGTGTAGTAATTGTCGTGGAGGAGAAACAGCAGCAGTGCACAGTGATGAGATTCATGACTATCTTTTTGATGAGCAGGGAGATGAATTTGGCCGAGGGTAAAATCCCCTGATTATAGTGTTGCTGGATCTTTAACTTCCATCAGAACAGGTGTGTGTGTGTGTGGGGGGGGTGGGGGGGTGGGGGGGGGCTGTAACAGCAGTGTTGAGAATTCTACGCAGTGTTTTGAGTCCGTCGTTGTTTGCCCTGAATGTCCTGGAGCGCTCTGGGTGCCACCCCGCGTGAGGGGCGCTGTATAGATACAAGTTGTAGTTGTTGTTTCTCGCCCTCTCTCTCTCTTCTGGTGACGATGGCACTTTCGGCCTTTTCACTCCTGTGTTCTGGTTGTTTCCTCCTCGGCAGACGGTGGAGCATGGCTTCCCAAGTCAGCCCAGCTCCCTGGCCTTCGATCCCCGGCTCCGACTCCTGGCGATCGGCACCAAATCCGGAGCTGTGAAAATGTATCTTTTTACGTGTCCGCGTGTGTCGCCGAGAAGGTGGATTTGTTGTGTAACATGTATCTGTGTCCCCTCGGTTCATGGTGTGGGAGTGTGTCAGGGTGTGGGTGTGGGGGGGTGTATTTTGGTTTGGAGACTCCATGGTGATGGGTCTCTGTGTGTGTCAGACGCCCCAGCTGAGCAAAGAAAATTGCTAGTCTGTGGAAGGATAGGATTGTGCCCACATCGGGGGCTGAAAGTTGGCGCTGTGCCAGGCTGCGTGCCCGCGCTGGGAGCTGGTGTGTCCTCAGGGGAGACGTCGCTGGATTTTCAGTTAAATCCCGATGTGAACTAATCACCACAGACATGGAACTGGGTTTAAAGGATCAATTTGATGTAGCTGTTCTGCATCTGACCGCAGCTTGTGTCAATCACTTTAACTGAGGAACAGCGATAAGTGGGGCGGGGGAGAGTCTTCAGTCCCAGAAATACTGCCGCTCCTAGTTTCGCTGTCAGTGTCTCAATCCCCTGAAGTAATCCCTGATCTGCTGTTAGCCGGTGCCATTCAGCAATGGGGGCGCGGGACTAGTCCAGCCTGGGTTAGTTGCTGCCAAATGAGCTCAACCGGGGAATAATCTGCCAGCGATCCTCTCTTCTCACCTGGACCAGCTCGGAGATGGCCTATCGGGTTCAGCCCTGAAGCTAGAAATAATAATCCTTACGTTTGATATAGCGCCTTAGCACCTCGCTGAGACGTCTCAGAGTGCTTCACAGGCTGCACTGTAAAGTGTTGTGACTGTGTATTTTGTGGGCGAAATGTGGCAGCCAAATGCGCACAGCAGTGTCCTACAAACAGTTGTGGATTGAGTGACCAAATGTTGGGCGGAGGGGGGGGAGCCCTGTACTGATTCTAGATTACCACGTGTGCCTGTCTGTGCCCTTGTCTGCGCGTGGGCCTGTCTGCGCGGGCGCGTGTGTGTTTGTGTGTGTGTGTTTATGTGTGTGTGTGTCTGTCCTGTGAGAGTCCCTCAGCGCAGTGTCTGAGACTGTTCACCTGCCCCCCCCCCACCAACCCCCTGGCAGCTCACTGCATTCAGTGTGTGAATGATGAGCAGCACAGAGAAGGAGAGCCTTGTGTGCGCTCAGGACGGCTCTGAGTCTCATTGTGGGACCGAGCATAAGGCGGGAGCTCAGTCTGAGGGGACAAAGGGCGGCTCACATTCCCCGCGGCTCCACACACTCCGCCTCCTTTGTCCGAAACGTTAAAGCCGCTGTCTGTCCCCGACCCACTCAGGGGGCACTGTTAGTGTGGGGCCAGCCAGCCTCGCTGTCTTTATATCCTTTCCTCTGATATCCCCCCCCCCCCCCCTCCACCACCGGAGATGTACATCGCGGACGGGGGTGAGGTTTGCGCTGTTCCTGCCTGAAGAGCGGCCCCTCCTCACTCCATCCCCTCATTCGACGCCCATCCGGAAACTTATCACCTTGACCACGGCTTTGGTCGCCTTCCCCTGGGCCTCCAGCTCAGCCCACCCCCCCCCCCCCCCAGCCCATCCCCTCCGACCAGCCCAGCACCCACCCCCAGCTTGCTGCCAGCCAGCAGTGGGGGGGGGGGGGGGGGGGCGCAGTAGTGTGTGTGTGTGGGGCGGGGGGCAGCATGTGTGGGGCGGGCAAAGGCCGAGAGCAAAGCTATTATTTATCATTACTTGAAAGTTTATGTTCCTTGACCTGTGACCTGTAGCTATGGAGCCCCCGGGGTGGAGTTTACGGGGCTGCACAGGGAGGCGGCCACTGTGATGCAAGTCCACTTCTTACCTGGACAGGTACACGCCGTGCTGGGAGAGGGGCCGTGCGGAGGGGTTGTGCTGGGGGGGGCGCATGCAGAAGGGGAGGGGCTGTGCAGAGAGGGAGGGACTGCAGGATATAGCAGATTCTTGCTGAGGGGGTAAGTTGGTGTTAAAAGGATTGGCTTTTAGGGAGGGGAGGGCGCTGTGACCTGAGGCTGGGTTGTGTCTGTGCTGTGACAGCCTCTTCCGCCCTCTCTTCCCCCTCCCCCCCCCTCCCCCCCCCCGTCTCGTCTCCCCTCCCCCCTTTTCTCCTCTCTCTTTCCCCCTCTCCTCTCTTCCCCCTCTCTCCCTCCCCCCCACACCAGGGCCGGCTGCTGGCATTACTGGACGACAACACCATCCACCTGTGGGAGGTCGGCCAGAGGAGCAGCTTCTCTCACTTGCAGGAGATCCGCAGCTTCTCGCTTCCCAGCCGCCCTGGTCTCGATAGCAACAGGTAACCCCCTCCTCCCCTGGAAACCCCTCCCCCCAAACACACTGCCCCCTCCCAAACTCATGCACAATACACGCATACAAACATCCCCCCCCCCCCCAATGATGCTCTATGGTGGTCATCCTCTCTGAAGTACTTTGACGTTCATTTTTGGGGTGGGCTGGATTTCATTCATCCAATGTGAACTTCTCATGATTCTGCTTCCCCTCCCCGCCCCATGGGCATCAGTGATGATGCCCCATGGGCATCAGTGATAAGATAGCGACGAGGGGAGTCTAAAGGAATTTAGGAGGAACTACTTCACGCAGAGGTTAATGAGATTGTGGAACTCGCTGCCTGAAGTGGTGGTGGAATCAGATAAGGTAGAGGAAGCCAGACTTTCACATGAGGGAGAGGAATAGAGGGTGTGGGAGCGAGGGAGGAATGTGGGAGGGAGTATAAACCTTGGGAGTATAAACACCAATAATGGAGTGGTTGGGTGGAGTGGCCTGTTTCCGTGCTGCACATGCTGTGTAAATCAAGGTCAGTTGGGCCGGTTGGCGCTTCCCTTTTTGTCTCTGGACCTTGCTGAGGGCCCACACCCTTCCCCTAATGTTTGTTACAGATTCTGAACCACATTTTTTTCATCTATGAGGAAATGCTCGAGTGTCTCAAAGGCTTTGAGATATTTACAGCTTCCCCTTGTGGCCTTTTCTGAGACTTTAAAGCTCATTCTCCCTTCTCTGTGGGCTCACCCCCTCCCTGCCCTGTGGGCTTTCCCCCTCCCTGCCCTGTGGGCTTTCCCCCTCCCTGGCCTGTGGCCTTCCCCCTACCTCCCCTTGGGCCCATCTGTGTTCTGGCTTCCTCATGGTCTGAGCTCCAAATCTGCTCTACAACAACAACAAATTACATTTGTATCGTGCCTTTCACGTCAGGAAGATGTCCCAAGGTGCTGGACACTGTTGGCAGTGCTTTTGCCTTGGAGGTCAGAAGATTGTGGGTTGAATATCTATGTTGGGACTTTGAACTCCCAGACTGGGCTGACTCTCAGTGGGGAGCTCGGTGGGGAGGAGTGCAGGGTTGTTGGAAGCGCTGTCCTTTGGATGAGACATTAAATTGAGGCCTCCTTGGGGCATTCAGGTGGAACATCCATTGAGGTAGACAAAAAAGACCAAGTGACCTGTCTGACAACCCCACAAATAACATTGTCACTTCCTGGCTGTTTGTCAGTCGTTGCTGCATTCGTACACATCAATGTATCAAACATCACAAATTGGAAGGAGTATTATTATTATTTATTACTATTGTCCAGTCCGTGCTTGGCTCTGCGTCCCCAGGCCGGCCGGCTGGGGGGGGGGGGGGGGGGGGGACATCTGCCCACCCGATAGTGCCTTGGGCAGGTGCCTTGGGACGTCCTCCCGACGTGAAAGGCGCTGTACGAGTGTAATGTTGTTGTTGTTGATACAGCCCCAGTTTGCCTTCAGGTGGTCAACAGCAATTGCTATACTGAGCCACTAGAGGGCGGCAGCAGTCACACGCTGTGCTGTAGCCGGTGGCGCCCTCTCGGGGCGGAGAGCGATTACTGCAACTCGCTCTGACACTAAATGAAACCACATTTGTTTAACACAAACCCGACGGAGACACAGAGAGCGGTGACATGTACTGTCTGTCAGTTACACTGAGGCTCTCTCTCTCTGAAGCCCTCCCCCACTATCCCCCCCTCCCCCCAGTGTCAGTGCGGCTCAGTGACTAACGCCCCTCTCTCTCTCCCCCCACAGTGCCCCCCCCGGGGTCAGTAAGGTGACGGTGCTGATGGTGCGGTGGGGGGGTGACGCCGCGTGGCTCGGGACTGAGGGCGGGGCCGTCCACGTGCTGCGCCTCCCGGGCCTCGTCCTCCTCGACTCCCACAGCCTCGTCCCTGAGCAGCTCCTGCGCAGGTACCGCGTGGGGATGGGGGGAGAGGTCTGTGTGGGGGGGGGGGAGAGGTCTGTGTGGGGGGGGGGAGAGGTCTGTGTGGGGGGGGGGAGAGGTTGTGTGGGGGGGGGGAGAGGTCTGTGTGGTGGGGGGGGAGAGGTCTGTGTGGGGGGGGGGAAGGGTTGTGCACACAGTCTGGGTCTCTCACACACTCCCCCCCCCCCCCCCCCGCAGTGTTCCTGACGACTACAGGAGCGGGAAAGCCCTCGGACCCGTGGAGTCGCTCCAGGAACATCCGACGGATCCGGACAAGATCCTGATTGGCTACAGCCGGGGGCTGGTGTTACTGTGGGGGGCGCAGGCCCGGCAAGTGGAGGGTGTCTTCCTGGGCAACCAGGTACCGGCAGTGGGGCTCGGTAACCAGGGGTGGCGGGGCCCGGCTGAGTGGGCGGGGGTGGCGGGGCCCGGCTGAGCAGGGCCCTTGGGCGGGTCCTCGTTGGCTGAGGATGGGGCCTAACAGAGGGAGGGGCCTGGCCGATTGGGGGGGGGGCCTGGCTGGGGGCGGGGGGGGCCCGGCTGGGGGGGGGGGCCCGGCGGGGGGGGGGGGGGCGGGGGGGGCTGGGGGGGGGCCGGGGCGGGGGCCCGGCGGGGGGCCGGCGGGGGGGGGGGCCGGGCTGGGGGAGGGGGGGGGCCGGGCTGGGGGCGGGGGGGGCCGGGCTGAGGGGGTGACTGACTGACGAGCTCTGTTGTGACAGCAGTTGGAGAGCCTGAGTTGGGATCGCAGCGGACGGACGTTTGTCACCTCCCACAGCGATGGCAGCTACAGTGTATGGGCGGTCAGCACCGCGGGGACCAGGGGCACACCCCTCACCTCCTCTGTCCCCTACGGTGAGCTCCCCGCCACACACCTACTCACCGCGCCCCCACCCACACTGCCCTACCCCCAGCCAGGCCACACCCCAGCCAAGACCCCTACCCCCAGACCCTCACCTCTACAGTCTCCCACCTTGAGCTGTGTGTGTGTTGGGAGGGGGCTGCGCGTGTGTGTGTGTTGGGAGGGGGCTGCGCGTGTGTGTGTGTGTTGGGAGAAAGGGTGGGGAGAGGAGAGACATGGATGACTTGTTGATGATTTGGAATGAGTGCACCATGTCTGGTCCTGGTTCTGGAGGAATGTTTCCCTCCCAGTCACTCTCCGTGCCGGGGTGGAGGGTGTTGTGTATGTGTGTGTTTGGTGGGAGGGGGGGTAGCTGTGTGTGTGTTGGGGGAGAGGGGGGCTGTGTGTATGTGTTTGGGGGGAGCTGTGTGTGTGTTGGGGGAGAGGGGGGCTGTGTGTATGTGTTTGGGGGGAGCTGTGTGTGTGTTGGGGGAGAGGGGGGCTGTGTGTGTGTTTGGGGGGGCTGTGTGTGTGTTGGGGGAGAGGGGGGCTGTGTGTATGTGTTTGGGGAGGGCTGTGTGTGTGTTGGATGGACGGTGTTGATTTTGGCTGCAGGTTTCCACGGTTCAGTATAAATGTATAAACAGCTCTGGCTTGTTTAATCCCCTTTCTTTTTGCTGCTTAAAGTGAATAAAGTGTCCATGTCCCACAGGCCCCTTTCCCTGTAAGGCCATCAACAAGATCCTCCGCAGGACATCTAGCACCGGGCAAGTATGGGGTGGGGGGGCTCCCTGTGTGTGTTTGTGAGTGTGTGTGTGTGTGCTCGGGTGGGCTCCCTGTGTGTGTGTGTGTGTGTGCGCGCGCACTCGAGGGTGGAGGTGCTCCGTGTGTGTGTGTGCTCCCGGGGGGGAAACGTTGATCAATCTGGTGGATGTTCGGGGTTTGCTCTGTTCTGTGTCTCTGTGTCTGGGGGGTGGGGGAGAATGTTTTATCACTGAAGTAACACTGTGTATAAATTGCACCCTCTCCCCCCTCTCTCTGCAGGACCCCCTTTGTGCTGTTCAGTGGGGGGATGCCAAGAGCCAGCTATGGGGACCGTCACTGTGTGAGTGTGCTGCAGGGGGGGGCACACGTCACGCTGGACTTCACCTCCCGCGTCATCGACTTCCTCACTGTGCAGAGCCCTGACCCCGAGCAAGGCAGGTTCCCCCCCCTAACGAGGTGTGGGGGAGGGTGGGGGCTGTGCTCTCACAGGCAGAGGAGACAAGCTGCTGTTGTGACTGTGATTGGGGGGGGGGCGGGTGCAGTGAGTCACTGAGAGATTCGGAAACAGACTCTGTGTTGTGTGCGTGTGTTGGGTTTGTGTTGTGTATGTGGTGGGTGCTGACTGTCAAATCCTCTTGCTCTCTCTGTTGCTCGCTGACTGTCTGACCCTCTCTTGCCCCCACACAGAGTATGATGACCCCTCGACGTTGTTGGTGTTGGTTGAGGAGGAGTTGGTGGCTGTTGATCTGGGGAGTGTGGGTTGGCCACTGCTGGCCGCCCCCTACCTGGCTCCCCTCCACTCATCCGCCATCACCTGCTCCAACCATGTCTCCCACGTCCCGGCCAAACTGTGGGACCGTATCGTCCAGGCTGGAGGGCAGCAGGCAGCTCAGCACTCGCGGGCGGTAAGTTTGCCTTCCACGGGTGGTGATTGTGGTGGGGTGAGGGGTGTGGGGGTTGGTGGTGATGGCTGTGTGTGTAGGGGGGTGAGGGGTGATGGCTGTGTGTGTTGGAGGGTGAGGGGTGATGGCTGTGTGTGGGGGGAATGAGGGGTGATGGCTGTGTGTGTAGGGGGATGATGGCTGTGTGTGGTGGGGGTTTGTGGTGATGGTTGTGTGTTTAGTGGGGGGTGAGGGGTGATGACGGTGTGGCAGTGTGTGTTAACTGTCTGTGTGTGTTTAGGAATGGCCAATCAACGGGGGAACCAACCTGGCCCCAGAGCCTGAGCACCAGAGCCTCCTGCTGACAGGGTGAGACCCGGGCTCTCTCTCTCTCACACACTCACACTCTCTCGCACTCTCACTCTCACATGCTCTCTCTCACACACTTTCTCACTCTCTCCCATTCTCACACTCCCTCACTCTCTCTCTCTCTCACATTCTCTCTCTGTCTCTCAGACATGAGGATGGCACGGTCAGGTTCTGGGATGCCTGTGGAGTGTCTCTGAAGCCTCTGTACCGGCTCGGCACAGCCAACGTCTTCCAGACAGAGACCGACCATGGGGAGGGACTGGCCCCGTCCGGCGAGGAGGAGTGGCCACCGTTCCGCAAGGTACGTGAGGAGGTGGGGCCGGAATGGAGTGTGTGGGGGGGTGGGGGCAGGGTCTGTGTGTGTGGGGGGGGGTAGGGTCTGTGTGTCGGGGGGGGGAGGTAGGGTCTGTGTGTGGGGAGGCAGGGCTTGGGGAGGGTTGCAGTGTAACCACAGTTTGTCCCCCCCCCCCCCCCCAGGTTGGCTGCTTTGACCCGTACAGTGATGATCCTCGGCTGGGGGTGCAGAAAATGTGTTTGTGTAAATACAGTGGCCGCCTGGTGGTGGCTGGCACAGCCGGACAGGTAACAGCCACACGCTTCACAGCCTCTCAGTTACCATGGTAATGGGTGGGGGGGGGGGGGGATGGCTTCGTCTGTCGCCGTCCACTCCCCCTCACTCCAACCCCCATCATCAGTGGCTGAGCTTTCCATTCCCCCCTCCCCGGAACTCTGGATCCCTCCTCTCCGCCGTTACCTTCCTTCCCTCTCGTGCCTGAGCCTCTCCTCGGGTCAGGACTCAGTTTGGTGCCATCTCGCCCGTTCTCTGACTACTCAGCCTCCCCCCTGACATACACACACTCCTCACGCCCCCCGCACTGTGCTTCCACCTCTCGGTGCCCCCCGCCCCCTCTTGCTCGGTGCCCCCCATACTCCCTTGCTCGGTGCCCCCCCCCTCCCCCCTTGCTCGGTGCCCCCCGCCCCCGGTCCCCCCACCCCCCCCCCCTGACTGCTGGTTGCTGTGCAGGTGTTGTTGTTGGAGCTGGGGGAGTGTGAGGAGCAGGTGTTGGCTGTGGCTACGGTTGACCTACTGCAGGACCGTGAGGGCTTCACGTGGAAAGGTCACGACCGGCTGATACCGCGGAGTGTCCCCGCCGGCCCGGCTCCTGGCTTCCAGCCGCGGCTCCTGGTGCAGTGCGTCCCCCCGGCAGCCGTCACGGCCATCGCCCTCCACCCCGAGTGGCAGCTCCTGGCATTCGGCACCAGCCACGGCTTCGGCGTCTACGATTATTGCCGGCTCCAGCCAGTGCTCAGCAGGTGAGTGCCAGTTGTGGGCAACCGAGCGAGGGCAGGCGAGGGGCAGTGTCACTGATAAGACAGTCACTACACTGGAGTTCCCCTAGCGTAGTGGTCAGCGCGCTCGCCTCACAAATCGGTGCATTATTATTGTTGTTATTGCACTGAAGCTCACGTTTGGTACATTGCCTCACACATCATCTCCGAGCGCTTCACAGGATTCACTGCCAAGTGTTAGTGACTATCTGCTTTGTAGGCTCAGCAGCCGATTTTGTGCATAGCAATGTCCGAACCTCCCCGCTCCCCCAGGGATTCTCACTCACTTCACTGCCCTGTGGTGGGGAGGGAGAGAGAGGGGGAGGCCGGGAGGGAAAAACTCACTGCTCCCGCGCTGCGAGGTCTCTGAGGGTTTAACATCTCATCAGAAGGACAAATCCCAGCAAAGATTTAACCCAAACTCCTGACCCCGAGACCAGGTGTGGGGCAAAGCCTGATGTACAGTGGGGGTGGGAGAGGAGTGTGTGTGTGTGTGTGGGGGGGGGGGGGGGGGAAGGTGGGGGCTGGCGGGGGGGGAAGTTGTATGTAGGGGGTATATGACACTGTAATCACAACCCCCAGGTGTACGCTGCACCCGAATGACTCTCTGGCGATGGAGGGGCCGTTGTCCCGCGTGAAGTCACTGAAGAAATCGCTGCGACAGTCGTTTCGGAGAATCCGCAAGAGCCGCGTCTCTGGCAAGAAACGGCCAATTCCTGGCAGCCCAGCCAGCAAGGTACTGGGGGCGGGGCTGGCAAGGTACCGGGGGCTGGCAAGGTACCGGGGGCTGGCAAGGTACCGGGGGCTGGCAAGGGACAGGGACAGGGGTAGGCCTGCCAATGTAACTGAGTGGGGCCAGAAAGGAACTAGGGGCGGGGCTGGCAAGGAGCTGGGGGTTGGGATGTATGGGGGGTAAGGAGTGGGAGGTTAGGGTGTGGGAGACAGAGTGGGGGTCGGAGTGGGTGATGGTGACTGTGCTGTGCCCTGGGGCAGGTACAGGAGGCTAACGCAAGGCTGGCAGAGCAGGGGGGGCCGGAGGTGGAGGTGACTCCGGTGCAGAGACGTATTGAGCCGCGCTCGGCCGATGATTCACTTTCCGGTGTCGTCCGATGCCTCTACTTTGCTGACACCTTCCTTCGGGACGGTGAGTGTCACCGGCATGAGTGTGTGTGTGTGTGGGAGGGAGGGGTGCTGTGTGTCTGTGTGGGGTGGGGGCTGTGTGGGGGAGGAGGGGGCTGGTTGTGTGTGTGGGGAGGGGATGGGGTTGTGTGTGTGTGTGGGGTAGGGGGTGCTGTGTGGGGGAGGAAGGGGCTGGTTGTGGGGGTGGGGTTGTGTGTGTGGGGTGTGGCTGTGTATACGCTGTGTCAATCACTGGAGGTGGGGCTGGCGAGCGGCAGGTCTGGTTTCTCTTGCTGAAATGCCTCTCTCCCCTCTCCTCTCCCCACCTACCCCTCCCCTCCCTCCTCCCTTTCCCCCCCCCTCCCTCCCTCCTCACCTCCCTCCTCTCTCCCCTCCTCCCTCCCGCAGCCACACACCATGGGCCAACGATGTGGGCAGGTACGAACGCAGGCTGTGTTTACGCCTACGCCCTGGAGGTGCCGTCACGGGAGCGATGGACGGAGCGGTCAGTGGGGGCTGTGCTGGGTGAGTGAGGGGAGGGGCTGTGGCTCTGGTGGAGTCATTGAGGGGAGGGGCTATGGCTGGGGAGGGGTCATTGAGGGGAGGGGCTATGGCTGGGGAGGGGTCATTGAGGGGAGGGGCTATGGCTGGGGAGGGGTCATTGAGGGGAGGGGCTATGGCTGAGGTTCAGATCCGGTTGGGGGGAGGGGTTAAGATGCCTAAAAAGAGTATTTCACAGTTGGTGAGTCAGAGGGAGGTGCTGTGTCTCATGTCTTTACCTCCCACTCCCCCTCCGCCTGTGCCCCACCTCTCCCTCCCCCCAGGAAAGGAGATCCAGCTGATGCACCGGGCCCCGGTGGTGACGGTGACGGTGCTGGACGGCCGGGGGAAGCCCCTCCCTGAGCCGCTGGAGGCCTCTTGTGATTTGGCCAAAGCCCCTGAGATGCAGGGGGGCCACGCGGTGCTCATCGTCTCCGAGGAGCAGTTCAAGGTAAAGTGGGGGGGGAGCGGTACCACTTCCTGTCCGTGCAGTGGGGGGGCGGGGGGGGAGGAGGGAGGATCTGTGGGGGTCTGAGCCTCTCGTCACAGAGCCTGAAGTTTACCGACACCAATTTGAATCAAAGGGACGCAGTTTCTCTCTCCCCGAGTTTGGCCAACAGTCTCCCCGCAGATTAAAACCGCTTGTTTGTTTCATGGTGGTTTTGCGGTGAGCACATTCGGCTGCTGCGTTAGTCTATACAATACCAGTCACTACACCTTACAGTAACAACCTGTGAAGCTCAGAGACTCTCGTCCTCGTCTCAGGCGGACGTCCCGAAGTAGTATCAGGTGTTGGTTGTCTTTGACATTTTGATGCGTTTTATTTGTGATTCTGTCTCTGCGTGTCTGACTTAATGTTTCCCCCTCCTCCCCCGTGCCTGACCCCCTCCCCCCCGTGCCCCCCCGTGCCTCCCCCCCGCTCTGTGGCCCCTCCACCCTCTCTGATTCCTCCCCCTCTGGCCCCTCCCCCGGTGCCCACAGGTGTTTACGCTGCCCAAGGTTTGCGCTAAAACCAAGTTTAAGCTGACGGCCCACGAGGGCTCACGCGTCAGGAAGGTCGGGATCCTGAGCTTCGGCAGCGCCACCACAGCCGACTACAGCGAAGACGGGCTGGTGTGTCTCACCAACCTCGGCGACATCCACGTGTTCACGGTGCCGGCCCTGCGGCCACAGGTTCATTACGACTGTATCAGGAAAGAGGACATCAGCGGCATCGCTTCCTGTGTCTTCACTCGGACCGGCCAGGGTCAGCTCCTCACTCGCTCACTTCACTCTCTGTCACCAACATAATAATGTGGCACATTAATGGTTAAGCAAGCCGGGGGAGGGGAGTTTAACTTGGGAAGAATGAGTGAGCAGGAGACTGAGCCAGACTGAGCTTGTGTTCATTTCTGGGGCTTCGGTGGGGGAGGGAGCCTGTGGGGGCGGTGGGGGGAGATGACTAAAAGCGCCATCAATGAAGTAGGTTGTAAGACTGCCTGAGGAGGGAGGGAGTCAGAGGGACTCCAGGAGGGAAGCCGCAGAGAGCGGTGGCAGGATGGCTGATGTAGTGACAGATGGGAGCGAGAGGCTATTGTGTGCTGGGGGTGCAGCTCTGGGGTGGTGGGGTGGGGTGTGCTGTGTGTGCGTGTGCTGCCATGTTAACACTTTCTCTCTCCCGGTGTAAAGGCTTTTACCTGATCTCCCCCTCGGAATTTGAGCGATTCTCATTGTCGGCCAGGAACGTGACGGAACCGCTGTGTGTGGTGATGTGGGAGGGGCCCCGAGACCACCTGAGCCCAGCCCCCGCTCTCAGGTCAGCCAGTCACTCAACAAGTGGGGAGGGGGTGGGGGTATATGGGTATATCTAAGACAGATGTTGGTAGTGGTGGGGGTTAATGGATCCAATTTTCTCCCCCCCCACCCGGGCCGGTGAGAAACTCATAGAGGTGTTGGCACAGACTTTACAAAAATAAACCTATTGGGCACCATAATCCCTCCCAAAATAATAATAATAATAATGTAGTTACTCAATCCACCACTGTTTGTGGGACACTGCTGTCCACAATTGGCCGTTTCACCCGCAAAATATGCAGTCAATTCATTTTACAGTGTATCCTATGAAGTGCTTTGAGACGCCTCAATGACTTGATATATCAAATGCAAGGATTATTATTATGATAACGCAGCCTCACTGGTCATACATATTCTCTTGTCTTCAGCAGTAACCCGGTGACGACTCCCAAGAGGAACCAGGTGAACGGAACACACAAGGTTCAGAGCAAAGAGGAGATCTGCTCGTTAGGAGAGGTTGAAGGTACGAGCGGCAGGAACATGCGGCGTGTTTACTGGTGAGAAAGAGGCATCTGGCAGCCGCTGAGGCTCCTATTAGAGAGCGGGCAGCACAGACCCTGGGTGCTGAGCCTGAGATGCCCATGGCTGGTGGCAAACTGGTGAGAAGCCACGAGGCTCGCTGGCCAGTTGCTTAGAGTGTGGATCAGACCGCGGAGCCGAGACCGCGCTACGATATGAATCTAATGGGTTTTGTTGGAGAAAAGACCACACCGGGGGCAAATACAGGCTCCTCCCTTCCTCACTCCCCGCACCTTGTGCTGAAACTCGAGAGTTTGGGTGGGGTGGGGGCAGGATTGAGGTGAGTTGCTGCCGTTCTTATGCCCCCTCCACCGCCCGGGTGATGGAACTGTGGTGGCATGGCTGCTAATTTAAGCCGTGTTGTTCACTGGTGACCAGGCATCGCTCTCTTGTGTGCAGGAGCCCTGGAGGACGTGCTCTCCACACCCGCACAGACACCGCTCGACTCTCCCAACAGCAGTGCTGACATCACCCTGGATACCACGGGAGACATCACCCTGGAGGACGTGAAGGATCATTTACCGTGAGTCAATGCTCCTGGCTACTGTGTCCTTCCCCCCCCCCTCCCCACCAGGCTACCGTGTTCCCCCCCCAGCTACTGTGCCCACCTCACCCCACCCCTAAACCCCCAAGCGAGACCAGTTGTGGCACCTTAACTCAGTATAAACTCTCACTCGACCAGAGACTGAAGCTGGGACGTTTTTCTGGACTTTCTCACTGCTCAATACCACAAGACGAGGCCTTGACTCTGTGTTGCCGTGGTGACAAATGGCCTCCAGCTGATTGTTAAACACAGTAATTCCCCCCTCACTGCTGAAGGGAGCAGCACATGGCAGTCAGAGTTTGAATGGAAAATCCCTGGAGTGAACACTGAGTGGGCGGCCTGACAGAGCCAACAATGACACATTTTTTTTGGCATCAATTGGACTAAACCTGAATCTGAAAGTGTTTGCATTGAAGAGGCCTCGGCACTCAGGCAAATCTATTAAACTATTAAACAGTCACTACTGCCTTGGCCAGAAACTAGATATCCTTGTAACCCCAACACTGACGCAGCACTTGCATAGAACCCCAACAGCTCACAGAATAGAATTCTAGAATATTTACAATATCTATTCAGTGCCTTTCACATCGGGAGGAAATTGAGGCAGGTCTCGTCTGTGCGGGCGCTCTCGCTCCCCCCCACCCTCCCCCGAGGTGCTCACTCTTCCCACCCACCCCCCCGGTGCTCACTCTCCCCCCACCCCGCCCCCCCCTCGGGGCTTCCTCCCCTCCCAAGGAGATTTCAAGTTTGGCAATGGTGTGGATTTGGGGGAGGGGGAAGAGGGTATTAATATTTCAAACAAATGTTTCCCTTGTTTTGATGATGAATGTGTTTTCAGGGAGTGTTAGCGGAGAGAAGCCGAGCGTGTTTGGTACTTGATAACCCGGCTGGTGTGCAGTGGTGAGGAGAGGGAGAGATTCCCGGTGCCGGCCTCCAGCCATCGGAGGGTTTGTTGGATTCTTTCTCTTTGTCCTTTTTGCGCCAAAAAGATGGGTTTGTTTGTTTATTTTTTCCCCCAAAAAAGGAGAAAAGACCCAGACAGACACACAACACATCTGCGGGACCTTTTATCCACTGGCCACCTCTTCCCAGCCTCCAACGAAACACTAAACCAGTAACTTTATATATAAAAACAACTTTGATACGACCGCAGGAAGCACTATCGTTAGCTTCATTTTATGGATCATTTCATTTTATGGATCATGTCTTTTTTTTGCTCTTGGTTTGTTTATCACACAAGTTGGGGGGGAGTGGGGAATGGACCCAGGAACCAATTCTTTAGTGAAAGGGGGCAACTCTTTAGATCCTATCCTGTTTGTACATTTTTTTATATGTAGATTTTCAGTCTGCGCAGGTTAATCCACCCTCTGGTATTGTTCACAGAATGTGTTGAAGAGCAAATATGGTTCTACCCAAATCCATGGGGGCAATGGATCCATGTACTTGCTGAATAGTTTGCAATGTGTCTGGCTCCAAGCCAATACTGCTGCCCCCCCCCCCCCCACCCCCCGCCCTCCCCCAATCTCCCAATTGTAGCTCCTCACACCTGCAGATTGATCACTGTCGAGCAGCTGATCTCCTGTCCTTGTCTCAGTCTCTCTTTGTGGCCCCGTTTATTTGCGACTTTCTAACGTTTTTAATTGCTTCCATCACCTGGTGTAAAATCACTCATCTCCTGTACCTGTGTCTGTCCCCAGCCAAAACTTGACAAAACTTTGTCCACTGTCCTCTCACAGTGAAGTCTGTGGATTTGTAAACACATTCCTTAAGGTGGTGGGTGCTGTTTTTAACAAATTGTTAAGAAAACGCCATACTTGCTGCCAGCGGCCGCTGAAAGCCTGGCTGACTGGGGAGACGCGGGGCGGGTGGATTTGCTGATTTTCACAAGTAACATCTTTTGTAATCTCAGTTTCATTCATCATCCCACACCGGCTAAAGCCAGTGGAACACCACAGGAGTGTGTGTGTGTGTGTATTGCCCAGAGCTTGTGGTTTACAAATCGTGAGTTTCGATTAGATTCGGAGATGAAATTCCTGTTTTCTAACATTTTTTTGTTGGATCATCTGTCTCCATTAGCCCACCCCCCCCCCCAATCCCACCCCAGGGGAAGGTTCCACCTTGTTTCCCAATTAGAAAAAGCACAAGCCATGTTCTCACATTGTAAATAAGTGCATCCAATGGAAGCAATAGGTACTACACACTGCAGCCGCGTCCTTAGTGGTCAGATTGTTTCCTTCACTCCAGCCCCTGTAGATATCAATCCCTCCCTCTGCTGTCGGTCCCTTTCCTCATCTTGTCCGAGCAGAAAGGTACGACTTTTATGTAAATAGCTCCCTTTATTATTCTCGAGACTCTGTTTTTTCTCCTCGTGTGGAAAGCGGAGCAATAGGCAGTGAATTTTTCTTTGTACTGATCGGATTTACTACATTAAAAGGTTTAGTTATTTTGATATTGACATCGCAGACTCTGTGGAACTTGTAGTGATTTTTTATATAAAAAAATACTTGATTGTGCTGTTCCCAGTACTGACTTTTCTATTAGAATGTTCAGTCACACTTGCATCATCTAATGCTGCCTGTTTTATTGGTAATAAAGCATTTAATGTCTTGCTCTGTGTTTGAGTTCAGTGCTGCCTGTTACAATGTGATGTTCACAGGAGCAAAGTGCCTGTGGTGACACGCTGAGCTGCAGAGTATCCCTCGTGTCTCAGCAGTGGGCTGATGGAGCCACGCAGCAGCCAGTGCGTTCCCTGGTCAGTGCCTTGTCCACTTTCGTGTCAGTAAAATATTAAACCTGGCAGTGGCTTCCCCAGCGTGGATGTTTATCAGAGAAACACTGAGGTGATACATTGATACATTGTACAGTTCAAAACATTTGCTTTTTTTTTACATAGTTAAAACACAGTGCATTTTCCTCAGTAACTGCTATATAAACCCACTTCTGTAACTGCCGGCATCATTCCTGCAGCTGCGGAATATAATTGCACAAAGTTATCCAATCTTCAGCTTCCTGTAACCTCACTGGTTATTGTGATGTCTGAACCTGCAGAAGTGGGTAACGGGTGAAGGTGGGAAGAGTTTAATTTGGGGCATTTGATGGCTTAAACCAGGTTTTACACCAATGGGTGAGGGGGGGTGGGGGCTGATCTGAACCCAACACAGAGGCCAGATTTAGCCTCGAGCAGTCAGTGATCAGGAAACTGATCTATGGCTTACTTATTGAAATGCAGCTTATCAATCTACCTCTGACTCATAATCAACATCACCTCACTGACTGCTGCACATTGTCCACCAGCAATGAGTGAAAAAACAAGGCTTTTCTCTCGTCCACCTTCTGAAGCAGAAACTCTGCTCCTTGGCTTCTCTGCCTTGTGTTTAAAGTAACTGATTTGCTGCCTCACGTCAGAAAAGCTGCAATGTTGCCACTGAGGCCTGGGGAAGGTCTCTGATTTTTTTTGGAGCTAAAAATAAAGTGTAAGATATGAAACCGTTATTTTCCACATAAAATACACAACCTAAAGAGGNAAAAAGTGGGGTAAGATGCAGTCGAGAATCCCCTGTATTACAGGCTTCCCCAGCACTACTCAACAACACATGACATTTACACAGTGCCTTTCACATCATAGGACGGCCCAAGCCGCTGGACAGTCAGGGATTTGCTCGGGGCTTGGCAGGTGGGTCTATATTAATAACATTCTGTTGAGGAAGAACCTGTTTTGCCACAAAAAAATTCATATTTACTGATTACATCATTGAATATTTTAAATATCTTGTTATCACTGAGTGGAGCTGAGGAGGCTGGACACGAGCGAGAATCTGCACATAAAAAAATCTCAATAAAAGCTTAATTTATCGGCAAAAGGAGGAAAACAAGTAAAAACAGAAAAAATGTTTGTGTATCTCCACTCCTCAGCCTGAAGCTGATCGACTCTTCTCAGCTGTTCACTGTCTCGTGTCTCTTGAGGCTTGAGAACTGGGGAGGACACAGACAAGCCTGGACACTGTGTGGGAAATTGCTTGTAGTGAGCTGGGGAACGTGAGCACAAGCGAGAGCAAGGCCTCCTCAGCCATGTCCTTCCTGGATAACAAGAGGCTAAAGTAAAGCTTTGGTGTTCGGAGTCATGGCCGCTTACGCTGGTGGTTTTCGGAAGGCACTCCAGGCGTGGAAACAGCGGGTGAAATTGTGGGGCTCATTCCCCTTACGGACCAGCCGTAACTTGCGTGGATGCTGGCTGTCCTTGGCTCTCATGTGCTGGATGTAAACCTGTGTGAGAGAGAGACCTCAGTGAGGAACATAGGAACAGGAGGAGGTCATTCAGCCCCTCAAGCCCATTCTATAAGATCACGGATGATCTGTACTTCACTGATTACTCACCATTGCCTTTATACCCTAACAAATATCTATTTATCTCAGTCTGGACAATGTGAATGGATCCAGCATCCACAGCCTTTTGGAGAGAATTCCAGATTTCCACTACTCTGCGTGAAAAATTGCCCCTGAATTCACCCCTAAATGGCCTGGCTCTAGTTTTAAGATGATGCTCCTTGTTCTGGATTCCCCTTCCAGCGGAGATAGTTTCTCTGTAGCTACACTCTCGAATCCCGAGACTTGATAGGGTAGATACAATAGGGTAAAATTAACTTGCTTTCACTCAGAGCTCTCTGAGCAGCAAACTCTAATGTTGGGGTAACAATCCCTAGATGATATAGATCAGTCTCAAGGAACCAGCTCCTAGGCCACAGCAGAATCGCTCCATGTATTACACAGGCTTGGTGTGGGACAAGGGACAGTGGAGGGAAGGTGGCAGCTTTATTTTCCCATTTCCAGTTTGTGTAAAATACTGCTTGTCTTCATTTCCCCTGTGAACGTTAAACACATCTGGCACTTGGCAACGCACCAAGAAAATCAGTACTGTTCTGTGACCATTGCACAGTAATAATACGAGCTGCGGGCTTCAGATTCAGCGAGATAAAGCAGGTGGTACATCACAGAGAAACCGTGTTCGTGAAGCCGGCTGATGTGTAAAATGGAAGCGGATCAGACCACCCAGATGTTGAGCAGCTGCTGCTCCAAGCTGTGAGGTCCTTGGAGCCCAACTATGACCTGTCCTGTGGGTCGCAGCAGACACTGAGCTGTGCTAGGGGCTAAGTTTATGGCCTGGGAACTGTTGTGTGGGGCCTGGGGGCCTCCATGTGGGCTGGGAGTTGAGTGTGGGGTGGTGGGTGGTGTTTTGGGACTAGCACCAGACTGGGATTCCCTCCTGTTCAAGACATTTTGGAGAATTTCATTTTTACAAACTGCATCATGAGTTTCTTTCCCCTCGTGTTTCCAGCCACAGACCCAGACACCTCACACAAACTGCTGGTACTGGTTTGTTAGCACATCACAGGAGGAAAGAAAGGGAGTGGTTTGAGGGGGTGAGATACCCAAGGCTGTAAATTATTATCTAGATTTTCCAATGTGTACACATTCCAAGGCTGCTGAAAACTCCACCCAATTCTGCTATTTTTTGTTTTAAATGTCCTCCACAGCGGAGGGTAGAGAGAAGAATACATTACACACATACCTGACAGGCTTTCAGACTCAGCTTGATCTCCACCTGACTGGTCTGTGTCCCCACCCACATGTAAACCTGCAAAACACAAACAGCAGTGTTGGCAATTAACAAGAAATAGCAACTGGGAAAGAAGCCTGCTCCATTCCACTGCTCACACAGCCCCTCAACAACAAGAAGATTACATTTGTATAGCGCCTTTCACGTCGGGATGATGTCCCAAGGCGCTGGACAGTGTACAGCATTTCAAATCCGAGCTGGGGTCAGGCACGGAGAAGTGAGGGGAGGGGAAGGGGGGGCGGTGACCGATGGCATGGTCGAAGAGGGTTTTGAGGTAGGACTTGAAGGAGGCTAAGAAGGGGGTGAGGCGGAGTGACTGGGGAATGGAATTCCAGAGGTTGAGGGCAGAGTGGCTGAAGGCTCTCTCGACAATGGTGGGTTGGGGGACGTGGAGCAGGCCGGAGCCGGCTGAGCAGAGGGAGCGGGCGGGTTGGCAGGGGGTTAGGAGGTCGCAGAGGTAGGGTGGGGCGAGGCCATGGAGGGCTTTGTAGGTGAGGACCAGGATCTTGAACTGGATCTTCTGAAGGATAGGGAGCCAGTGGAGTTGGGTGAGAATGGGGGAGATGGGGTCATGAAGTTTGGTGCGGGAGAGGACACGGGCTGCAGAGTTCTGGATTATCTGCAGCCTGTGGAGGGAGGAGCTGGGAAGGCCGACAAGCAGGACGTTTGCATAGTTGAGCCTGGAGGTGATGAAGGCACGGAAAAGAGTTTCAGCGACCTGAGGGGTGAGGTAGTGGCGGAGTCGGGCGATGTTACGGAGGTGAGGGAAGGCAGAGCGGGTCATAAACACACACACACACACACACACACACACAGAGCCCCTCACACACAAACACACACACATACACACACTCACCTCCTTCCCGTTATCAAGTAACATGATGTCATCATCTGCCAGGTCATCCTGGCAGAAGTCAGAGCACTTTTCAGACACAGAGAAATAGCCCTTCTCATTGGAACATCTGCGAGGAAGAGAGAGTGAGGTTAGAGGTCAGGGGGCAGAGGCTGCACCTCCCCAATGGTGCCCGGCTGAGAACCACTGAATAGCATCTGACACCTTCCCTGCTTTTGTACAGCCGAGGGCCATGGGGGCGGGGTGACAGCTCCCTGCGATCTCTGTGCTACTCTCTCCCCTGTTTCTCAAGATGTGTGTGCGGTTGGCTGCTGATTCCCTCAAATGGGCCAGCAAATCTGGTTGCAGATTGAGACAAGCTGCCAGCGGGCATGGAACGTGTCTGGCTGTTATGGAATACAGAATTCATTCACATCATGCCAACTAGATCTCTTTGTTACCAGGTAAATGCATGGTACAGGTAGCCCAGTGTTAGTGCACAAACCTGAAGAGTCGAGAGTATTTCATGTACTCCGCATCCTCATCGTACGGCTTCTCTCCTCCTATCCCAACCCAGAAGAAGTTCTCCGGTTCTTCACCCTCATTTATTACCTAAAGGCAGAAACCAGGGATCCAGTAACAGCCAGAGATACAATCTACACACAACAGCTACCCTGGGGGTGTGGAGGCTGGCACGGGTGGGGGGGGGGGGGGGGGCGGAGTCTGGCATGGCAGGGTGGTGGAGCTTGGCATGGGGAGGGGTGGAGCTCTGATACCTTTGATGATTGAAGCCCCGTGTCAGGACTTGAGCTGATGGTCCAGGCGCCATGTATAGGGATATCACTAGAGCGACTCTTTTGTGTCAGTTTCACAACAGAAAGAAGCCTTTCGGCATGTCACTCTCAACATCAGTTCAGCAATCTGGAACTCGAGTCACAAACAGAGGTAACAGACGGGGTACGCTGCCTAACTCCGCTCACACTCTGACACACTCATTACCTGTTTGCTGTATGTTTCAACAAACATACTATTCATGATGTCCTCAACCAGTTTGGCTTCATCCGGGTCCGCGGCACGTCCGACCCAGCTGTAGACGATGCCCTGGTTGTCTGTACTCTCGAACGGCACCTGTGCAGGGAGAAGCAAGGTGTGGGCGGGCACGGACTGGGCCCGAAAGGCACCAGCTCATGCAAGCAGCATTTTACCCAACAATGCCAACGCATGGCCACAGTTACAGCACTGACACATGGGCACCTATTGTGCACGTCAGCCTTATACCCCAGGAGAAAGCCCACCTCACTATTGGTGGCTTCGCTGCATGTAATTGTTCAGGTACCAGCACAAACCTGCCATCTCCCCCTTGGTGCCCCCGATAACCTTAAACACACAAACCAGTGAATTCTGATTCTCCCCCCAAAACATTTAATCGACAGAGTGGCAGATCCCGAGAGTAAATTACAGGCTGGGATCTAAAAGGAGGGTTTGCACTGCTTATATCAAGATCATTGACAGAATAGTAGCTGGAGTTCCGTGCTGAAGGGCAGGATTTTGTGTCTTTGGTGTCAGAATTATCAACAGGATTCAATTACCTTCAGGATGTAGCAGAACTCGGAGTTCAACAGGCTGGCCTCGGTGTGAACCTGGATACATCTGTAGGAGGCAAAACACTTTGCTTATAATAATAATAATCCTTGCATTTGATATAGCGCTTTTCACGTCGGGAGGACGTCCCAAAGCGCTTCACAGAACACAGTGTAAAGTGAATTGACTGTATATTTGTGGGCGAATGCGGCAGCCAATTGCGCACAGCAATGTCCCACAAACAGTCGTAGATTGAAAATGACCAATTTATTATTGTTTTGGTTTTTTGGAGGGATTATTATTAGGCTCTGTGTGGCGTAAGGAAACTTGCCCAAGGTTTCGCCCTCTGCCTGGAATTGAACTCAGGTCTCTCACTTGCAAAGCGAGTGCTCTAACCACTGAGCTACAGGACTCCAGACTTATAGAACCATAGCATCACAGAATCTTACAGCACAGCTTCATACTGAAAGCACAGAAACTGCTCATTATTCCTTCAATTAGAATAAGTGAAAACCTAGGAAATGAGAGGTGAGTTTGCGGGGGGGTGTGACTGTGGGCGCTGAGCGTTAGCTGTACCTGGAGCAGAGGGCACTGCCATTGGTGCGAATGTGGTAGAGGCTGGGCTGGAGGCTGTTCTCGAGAGCCTTTCTCTTCCCCTTGTGGATGACAAACTTCCGTTTGAAGTGAGACAAAAACTTCAGATTCTCCTGTTGCTGCGTCATCCGTACCACCTGCCACAAGCGAGATACCATCAGGGGATCAGACTGGCTACTTACCACTTCCTCTCCCATCCCCCAGTGTCAGAGCAACAAGGCAGCCATAATCCAACATGTCGTGAATGTTACTCAGAGGCTCACAATGTTATGTGTATAAATGCTCATTAATCAGACCCTTCTGTACACTAACACAGAGGATAAGGAAGCTCTTTGTCCCATTCGATCTCACCCTTGTGCCTGCCATTAAAGAGTAAGCTGGTTCTTAAATGAGTCCAGCCTCTGGACATCACAGGCCCTACCTGGTAAACTGTTCCAGCTGTTTCTCCTCTGTGCAAAGAAATACTTCTTGCTATCTTGCCTAAAGTTGCCCTTCACATCGTAAACTTGTGCCCTACTGTCCCAGTGTATCTGACAACACTAAGCCAATCGCAAGGCCAGGGTTAAGTTAATACACAGCATCTAACCAGCCACAAGTTTCTGAGGATTGATATTCCCAAATGTGAACATACACATAGTCGCTACCAGAGGGAGACCACCAACCACATGATAAGGAGCGAGCGGAAAGTGGGAACCTTCACCTCAAGCTTGCCAGGGAACAGGCTCTCGAATTTCTTCTGCAGGCTGAAGGTAAATGTCAGCCAGCCCATGTTGGACGCCTCGCGGCCCTGCCAGAAGTACACCACACACTGGAAATCTTCCTCCTGCTGCTTCTCTTCTTGCTCTCCCTCCTCCTCCATTTTATCTTTATCCTTCTGTTCATCTTCATACTCCACCGGAACCCAGTACCTGAACCAAATAGGAGCCAAGGAACCAGAGTGACACCATTATCCAGAGCCGGTATGAGAAGAGACTAACATCCAGTTTCATTGCAAACGCGAGGGAATTGATCCACCGTCCCGTGGGAAATGATGTGGGAAAGGTCGGGAGGAAAGGGAAAGTTAAACTATTTGTAACCTCATCTTTTATATAAGGAATACACCAAACTATACAGGAATTAAGTTAAACAATCTCTCTTTCTCTCTCACACACACAATTTGCACTGATCGGTCAAATCTTAAATTATAGATAACTTTACAGATGTAAAATTAAATTGCTACTTGCACAGGGACACATTCACTGAATGCAGTGAATGAAAAATAGTGTTTAACCGAGGCTAATAAATGAATCTCATTGACTGAATGGAGACAGACTGTGGTGTCAGCAGGGGATCATCCCGTACATGTTACCTGCACAGAAAGACGTAGCAATCCTGGGTGTAAAAGTGACCAAAATCTTCTTCAGGAAGACGAGCAAATTTCTTCCCTTCTAGTACAAAGCCCTCCATTCCATCCAGATCCTCATTCCACTCCTCAGTCAACTGCTCAGCCTGGCAACGGGAAAGCAAAAGTCAATAGTTTGTTAACAGCAACGTCCACTTATACAGCACATTCCACAGGACAGGACATCTCACATTGACTTCCAGCCACCGTGCTCCCACTCTGAAACTCTCCCCAAATCCCTCCTAAATTAGCAGGATAGCACCCTACTGCCCTGCCCCCTCACCAGCTGGCAGGATGTAGGATCAGTTACAATCCTACTATGTAGGATCAGTTACAAAATTAAAGGAAGAGAATATATTTTTAATAAGCGGTGACAAATCTTCTCATAGCTGTTCTCATGAGTCATCTGATGATGACTTTACTGGGTGAAAGACCACAGACACAAATGTTTGGTGAGAGTCGGCGAAACAGGGAAACACACAGTACACACCTATAAAAGTCACTCTTTACACCACATCATCCCACACCAGTCAGTCCTTCCCGCCTCACTCTCTCTCCGCCCACCCACCCCAGTGCCGCCCCAGGCTTGCTGTACCTCTGCTAGTAACATTGCTGGTTGGCGAGGCAGGAAGAGGGCGGTCAGGTCTGCTTTAATCTGGTCTTTATTCTCTGCGTCTTTCTTCACTTTCCCCATGAGACCTTCTCTTTTCAGCACAGTCTCCGCATTCCTGGTGTAGTCCACTTTCAGTACATCATCCCAGTTTTTGAACTTAGATTTAAATACCTGTTCACAAGGATCAGAGACATAGTAACAAACAGAACAAAACCACAGGCTTCAATATCAGGGGAAAAGCACGGTGGAAATGATCCATTACTGGGGACTCAGTCAGGGTTGGCTGCCATTATCAGGCACCAGCCTACAGAAGAATACACCTCACAAGTGAATTCAATCACTCAGCAAAATCAAAACCGAACAATTCCCTTTAACATATCAGCCAGAATGAGAAGGTTCTTCTTTTTCTACAATCAAATAACATCCCGAGAGAAAGACCCTCCTCTCTGATGTATGTCCCACACGCTGCCTTGCCCAACACAATCACACAGAGGAAATCGCAGAGTTTGCAATGACATTGCCCCCTGCATCCCCAAAGGGAGCTGAGCATCTGTGAGAACAAAGGGCTGAGGAGCCGGGATGTAATAGGAGATGAATTATAGGATCCAGGACAAGAGAAGGATGAGCAATACTAGTCCCCAAGTGTCCTAAATGTTTCACTAAAAAACAATTATTGGCCTCTTATCCCCACTGAGCAGCGCTCATAATGACAGTGACAGTGACTGTGCAGCCAGAAACCTACATTATATTGCATATTCATCACCTTTACTCAGATACACAAAGTCTGCAATCTGCAAAGAGCTGCAAACAGCAGCAGCAGCTGCCTGTGAGATGTACAGGGCTAATCACAGCCTGTCCTCAGGACAACTCGTCCATTACATTACTGTAAATAGAGCTTCCCACATAAGAAGTGACAGAACTAGTGCCGTGGAGGAGGGATTCCGCCCAGACGTGGCAGGCTGCAGCGCTGGCTGTGGCCGTACCTGGCACTCGGAACCCTCCAGGTTCCGGACAACGATGGCATGTTTGGGCCGGTGTAACATCCCACACAGCTCCTGTCCCAGCTTCAGGGCCGCTGCTCTGACCAACCGCGGGGATTTGCGGCCAATCCAGATGAAGACATCGGACCAGCAGTCAAGGATGTAGACGGACTTTGTATCTAAGAGACTCTGGACCTGAAATGAAGAGAAGGGTGAGGTAACCTGTCATCCCAGGAGCAACACCCCAGGACAGCCATCTTACATTCAATATGTAAAACTCCATCTTCACCCCATTAAAACCCCAAATACCAAGGAAGATAGGAGCATGTTAAAGTTTACGCACCAGCCTGAGATCCGGCACCAGATCGATCTTGGGTTTGACTTTGTGCTCCACCGAGAGTTTGTAGTTAATCTGAGGAAGCTCCAAATATCCGAGACCCAGGCCCACCTTCAGGAGGAAAAGGAAAAAAGGACTTTCTAGCTTTAGGATAATAACCATGTACAGATATCAAAGCACAGACCCACACAGACTTGCAATCACATAACACGTTTTCATACCCATTTTAAAATGTTCCTCTGCCTGCCTCCACTACTCCCCAGCACACTGCTGTTCAGCGTAATGTTTTTCTTAAATAAAAGTGCAATCACCCCAGCCTTTTATTCCCCCAACCCCCCCAAAAAAGCACCCCCAAACAGCCATTAAGTGAATGACCAATTAATCTGAAGAATTATTGGCCATAATCCCAAATTGTCAAATATGACAGAAACCATCCTAATGACATTTCTGTTGTTGTTTTTCACAGAATATAAACATAAACTCAAAACACCCAGATTCCTTACTTTGGAGCTATTTTACCTTGTAAAGTTTGGGTCTCATGGCTTTGAAGTCGTCAGGAACGTGGCATTTGATCTCCTCGGGCTGCCCTCCCAGACTCTCCCAGAACTCCGGCGGCTCCTGTCTCTGCATCAGCTGCAGGATCTCAGCGTTCCCTTTCCTCTCGTTTTTATTGATCTTCTCAGCAAAAAGTCTAACATAACAAAGGATGGATTACAGCAGGTCTCAGCTGGAGAACTCTCCCCACACAGCACCTCAAGCTTCTCCTCTGAGTCAAAAGTAGATTATAGTCATCATCTCAAGGGCATGTGTGTAAGAACTGGCTGACAATGCCTCTCACAGAGAGATCCCTTCCTGATTCCTTCAGTGGCCATGCAGTCACGATACTGTGAATATTCTATAAGTTTGGACAACATGGGAAGAATTGCCTCTCAGGTTACGTTTAGCTGGCCTTGCTCTCTCTCTTGCCCGACCGCCCCCCACCCAAAAAAATGAATGCAACAAATTCAATTCAGTATCCTGCTAAACCTCGTACCTGGCCTTCGTACTTGCGCTCAGTGTGGCCTTGCAGCCTCTCCAGACATAAATGTTCAGCCCATGATCCAGCAGGAACACAAAACTAGGAGAGTAAGGAAACAGCAGGTGGTTAGGTTAGTGCACGATACGAGCAGAAACACAGAGGTAAAGAAATCAAGATGCTCAGGACACAGTGCAGCGATATACGGCTGCTGGCACAGTCACTAACAGTCACAGATGCGATCAGCAGACTTACCGAGGATCCAGCGATGAGGCTTTGAGGGGCACTGATTCCAGCTTTATGTTTGACTTATTGTAGCATCGAAACAATCTGTACAATAAATACAAAGGACAGGAGGATTCATATTTTCGAGATATGAAAAGATACAATGCAGAAGCAGCAATAATGGAAGACATTGTAGCACAGTGACAGGTTGCAGATCACTCCCAGTGACAAATTCCTAATCTCAGCCCAGCTCCCAGCTCCTGCTGGAAACAGCCAACCCGACCTCAAAGTGTGCAGGAAAAGGAAACTTACTAACAGTCCGTACAGCCACACGTGAGAGGAGAGGAGAACTGACAGGCACCAACCAGCATTGTTACAGAATTAATTATTTTAGATTTGAAAATGAGAAGGCAAGTGAGAGATTGGAAAGTGTAAAGTCCATTGGTGAGACTGTGTTTTCTGATCCCATTCCACATCACAAGAGAGACAGACGACCAGATAAGGAGGCCCTTCAATCGGTTTCATCTCATTCTTCCTACTGTCATCCAATTACAGCATCAACAGTTTACTGATTAAATGAGCCTTTCCTGGTGAACCATTCCAGCTCCACATTGCCCTCCATGTAAAGAAATACTTCCCGGTGTTTGTCATGAAATTGCTATTCACATCCCTGACCCTGGGCAAGCTTGTCTTGCTATCTTTGTGTGTCCAAAAACATCAGATACAGTCGTAAACGTGGGATCTACAGCCGTAGTTCCATGTGTTCACCCGCTTGTTACCTGGTGATATACTGTGTTTCTTCCACTGTATAGAAGCCGCTTGCTGTTCCTCCTTCAATGTATGAAATGTAGTTGTCGAATACCTGCAAACATCACCCCAGTAAATAAACCTGCTGAATTGTACAGCACTTGTACAGGGTCATGCAAACTAGTTATCAAGTACAGTGTAAGTAAAGTATTAAACATCAAGCAAAGCTTTAATGACATCATGGTGATGCTATGTCAAGCGTTCCCAGAAGAGTCTCACAAACATTTCCCATTGTTACAAAATGACCTTCTCGAACCAGAAACTAGCATTCAATCTTGTTGGAAGCTATACAAAGGACTGGTACAAGCCTCTGTGACCAACCACGGCCAGTGAGGAGATGTCGAAAAGGTTCAGCCATATTAAGCCCACTCACTCGGCAGACTCCCTTTTGCTTGTTACACATTAATAAAGCAACCAACATCTGAGAGTGCACAGGTTCCCAGAGGAACATTTCCCTCACGGTCGCCCTGAGAGAAATTAGTCAAACAGCCCGTTACTGACCGTGCTGAATTCCTCGCTCTCATCTCCCATTTCCTCACGGATGGTCCTGCACTGGGCACCCAAGAAGTTGCGCAGGTTGACGGCGTGGATGGCAGCACAAGCCTTTTTGTCCATGGTAGCTTCCTGGCCAATCCAGTAGAAGATCTGCCAGTTAAATGATCCGTTCTCATCCAGTGAGGTCTGCAAAGCCAAGCAATTCCAATCAATTCAACAGCCATAAACAGGTCAGCCACCCTCTGCGCCTTGCGACGTCCTCCTGACATGAAAGTACTAAGCAAATTTGTTGTTGTTGACACAGTAACACAATTTGACTCAATAAATGCAAATCAATGGGCCATAGCAATGGTGGAGTGGAGGAGACAAGTTTTTATCTTTTATCTTCATTCGAATATCAATTTTCAAATTAAGATATAATTATACAATTATATAAATTCTAATTATATAATTATATAAATTCTGTACAATCTACAAGGCTAAGACAGGAGACGTTATGGTCTGTTATGGGAAACAAGATGGTACCCTGTACAAAAGAGAGAACATGGTGTAGAAGATAGCACAGTTGTCAAGGCCAGTTACCTTTAGGACAATGTAACAGTCTGCTTCATAAAACTTGCCATGAAATGCCTCGTCAATCATGGTGGGAATGAAATTTTCAATGTGCCAAACTGTAAGTCCTGGGATCTGACCCACATCTTCTGTGAAGAACTCGGAGTAATTGAGGTGCGGTTTCTCCAGCCCCTGATCCCAGCGCCTGGTCTTCAGGTCTGTGTACTTGAGCTCTCCCGGGTCCTGCAAGTGTAAAGAGAGCCATCTATCTATTGACATTACTATGGGAGAGTAAATCAATCGCATTACATAGAAATAAAGTGCAATAGTCTCTCATTAACAACACTCAAATTCACTTTTCCATTTAGATTTGAATCCAGGTCAGGCTCATGGGTGAAAATCTCCCCTCAAAGATTTTCCCTTCCCTAACCCAATCAACCCTAACTCAGCCTGAGCCAATTCTAACAGCCTCAAGGAGTCGGTCTGCTGAAGCAGGTATTGCTCTTACATTAACAAGTCAGATTCTACTTTTGCCACACTTCCTCAGTGATTCGGGATTGTTTAGATAGAGCGCTCACTTGTGGGTTTTTGTTCTTTTCCTCGGCCACATCGCTCATCCCTTTCAGCACTTGCTTGGCCTGATCATCCTGACTTGAGTCCTTCCTTCTTCGGAGACGCATCTTCCGAGCTACTGGGTCTCGAGCACCACTGGCTGTGGTGGGGGAGTAGGGAGGGGGGAGTAAGAGAAAGAATCATCTGTTAATTTTAGGTGAAGAGCACCGTCAGGATATCGGGCGAAGTAAAGACAACAGCTCCTCCATTCCTGACGTCCGGCTGTACCGTCAACAACCCCGAGGTTCCTGCCTCTAGTGAAACAGGACAGGAACATGGTCTGTACCTCCAGCGGCTGCTGCCACCACAGCAGGTGAGGCTCCGGCCAATCGCAGCTGATTCTGCAGAGAGAAGTCGATGTTGTAAAACTCCGAGGTTTTATCGACGGGTTTGGGAGGCATGACCAGGCTGGGGTTCTCCCGCACATCCAGAATCTAACCAGAAATAAAATAAACTTTGAGACATTGAACTTGCTAGAATGATGTATTAACAGTTAATTTTCCTTTACCAATCCCCCCCACTCCTAACCCAACCTGCACTCTTCCTCCACCTCACGCACACAAGCACACACACACACAAACCACACCTGAGGAACACATCAGCCACACATCTCGCAAGAACATGAGAATTTGCTAAGTTAGAGAAGACCAAAGTCCATCCAGTTCACTTTCCATCATCCTGGAAGATTCTCCTTCCAAATCTCCTTTTTTTCCCCAAATCGAATGTAAATCTTCTGGTATTATTTTACTGTGAATCACTGATACAGGCCGGTTTCCCTCACCCTGCGGAATGAATTCCTCTCTCTGGGGAGGGGTAAATTACCTCACTTGCCATCGCTCTGTGACCTGATAGTTACAGTGGAAAAGGTTGGCAATGACAGTGATTAAATCCACGAGACATCAGACTGTGCTGGAGGTCATTGTTACTCCCCTGAACAAACTAGGCTCTAAATCCAAGTGATTTAGTCAGTCCTGTCGCTGTAATACACACACTTACAAATTCTCTCCGGCCTCCATGGAGGAGACATTTTTGTCAGTTCTATAATTCTAGTTATTTAGACGTTCCCAGTTGCCGAGGCAACATATCCCAACAACAAGTTATAAGGATTCAGTTGCTTAAAACTGCTGCCTGCTGCTTTCTTTGTGAATGTGACTCTAGAGGGACTGACAGGAGATTGCTGTGACCCTGAGGATTTGAATTAATCAGGAGAATGGATACAGAGAAATAGAGGTGAAGAGAACAACTGGTAAAGCAACAAAAGGCTAAACTCTTGGCTTGGGTTCAGTTACGTTTAAACTATTTAAACTCCCGTTTAAACTCCGGAATATCGCCAGACTACGGCACTACCTCACCCCTCACGCTGCTGAAACTTTAGTTCACGCCTTTATCACCTCAAGGCTGGACTATAGGAACTCTCTCCTCGCCGGCCTTCCCGGCACCTCCCTCCACAAGCTGCAGGTCATTCAGAACTCTGCAGCTCGTGTACTGTCCCGCACCAGGCTTCGGGACCACATCACTCCCACCCTCGCTCGCCTCCACTGGCTCCCCATCCCCCAGAGGATCGAATTCAAGATCCTCACCCTCAAGGCCATTCACGGCCTTGCTCCCTCCTACCTCTCTGACCTACTATCCCCCTACCTACCTGCCCGTACCCTCCGTTCCTCTGGCTCCGGTCTGCTCCACATCCCCCGCCCCAACCGCCCTACCATCGGTGGCCGGGCCTTCAGCCTCTCAGCCCCGAGGCTCTGAAACTCTATCCCCCAGTGCCTTCGCCGCCTCCTCCCTTTCCTCCTTCAAGGCCGGTCTCAAGACCTTTCTCTTTGACTGTGCCTTCAGCTCCCCTCTCGACTCTCTACCCCCTCCTCGCTCCCTCCCTTCCCTCCCCTCACCCTGACCATTTCCCCACTGCTCGGGTCCTGGCCCAACTGTACAGCGCCTTGGGACGTCCTCCCGACGTGAAAGGTGCACTATAAATGGAATCTTGTTGTTGTATTGTGTAATTTGATGAACCTGCACAAACACATTCTGTCCCAATCCAGTTCTAAGCATTATTTAAATGGCTGCCTGCATCTGTTCCCCCTCCCCAGCACAGGAGCACTGAAGCCTAATTGTAGGCCGATTTCACTGCTTTCCTCAGCCAAGTTGGGAATGGAGCTGAGTCCCCCGCTGGCCTGTAAGGCTTCAGTGCTACTGGGTGTAGTGTCTTTACCAACTGAGCCATCAGGGAGGGGAGTTTGGAGCTGAGAATCACCAGTCATTGGTGAGACGAATGTCGCTGAATCTCCTGTGTACTGGAATGGTTTTCTTACCTCTAGGTTTGTAAGAAAATGTACAGCTTCAGGCAGCGTGACCAGACGGTTTTTGTTAAGAACCAGCTTCTTTAGCTTTCCACATCTGAAAGCAGAAAGCACTCTGTTTAGGCAGAACATGGGGCAGAGTGTGGGGCTGGGAGAAGGCTTTTGGAATAAAACCACTGTATATGGCTATCTTGTCACTCTGAATTAACATGAATACTTTTGCCCCAATAATAGAGAGGCAACAGTGTAAAATGCTTCTGTTATAATTCATCTCTTCCCGTGTTGTGAACAGTATTTGGGTAGAGAGTGCACAATGTTAATGGTTAACTACAGGCGGGACCTCAGAGTGGAATGAAGCCACTTGCCAAGAGAGAGTACCTGCACAAGCTTTCGGGGATAAGCTCCAGGTTATTGTTGGCCGCCATGAATTCCTCTAAGCTGGCGAGTTTCCCAATACCGGAAGGAATCCCATCAAAGTCCAGCTTATTCGAGTTCAAATACAGTTTCTTCAGCTTGGTCAGCTTGCAGATGGCCGACTGAGGAGCAGAAAGACAGTAAGCACACAGGATTCTGGGGCAGATTGGAGTCAGGGTGGTACGGTACCAACTGTACAGTAAACCTCATCAGCATGTGTCACGTGACAGTAATATAAATAATAATCCTTGCATTTGATAAAGCGACTTATCACATCTTCAAGACGTCTCAAAGTGATTCACAGAATATACTGTAAAGTAAATTGACTGTATATGTTGTGGACGAAACGTGGCAGCCAATTGCGCAGAGTGTCCCAAAAACACTGGTGAATTGAGTGACCAATTTATTATTTTTTTTTGAAGGAATTATTAGCCCCAGAAAAGCGATCTTCCAACCAGGTTCCTACTTACTGCTAGGTAAATAGAGGTGTGTGGAGTAAAGAAACTTGCCCAACATTTCGTCCGTCGATTGCAAAGTGAGTGCTCCAACTACTGAGCTGCAGGATTCCACATTACACCTGACAGCAGTAACCTCATCAGCATGTGTCACATGAGATGACGAAAATCTTTTGCTCATTCCCCATTTTTCCCATCACCACATCAAGCAGGATAAGTTTTAGCATCCTGTCCTCCACCACCTTCTTGATAATCCATTCCAGCTGTCAATTACTGTCTGTGTAAAGAAATACCTCCTGGTGTCTGACCTAACCTTGCCCGTCACACCCTGCCCATCCTGATTGGCTCGCGCCAGCGCTCTGCACCTCAGGCTCTGGCAGCATCAACCTCCATTATTGCACACTTCAACTCACCAAGACAGTTAGGAACCTCGGTGACTTGTTTGGCCCTCAACTGTCTTTTTTCCCCCACATTCAAGCCATGACCCGTTCTGCCTTCCCTCACCTCCATAACATCGCCCGACTCTGCCACTACCTCACCCCTCAGGCCGCTGAAACTCTTGTTCATGCCTTCATCATCTCCAGACTCGACTATGCAAACGCCCTGCTTGTTGGCCTTCCCAACTCTTCCCAACACAGGCTGCAGATAATCCAGAATTCTGAAGCCCGTGTCCTCTCCCGCACCAAACTCTGTGACCTCATCTCCCCCATTCTTGCCAACTCCATTGGCTCCTTATCCTTCAGAGGATCCACTTCAAGATCCTGGTCCTTACCTACAAAGCCCTCCATGGCCTCTCCCCACCCTACCTTTGTGATCTCGTAACCTTCTAGCAACCCGCCTGCTTCCTCCGCTTAGCCGGCTCCGGCCTGCTCCACGTCCCCCAACCCACCACTGGCGGGAGAGCCTTCAGCCACTCTGCCCCCAACCTCTGGAATACCATCCCCCAATCACTCCGCCTCACCCACTCCTTAGCCTCCTTCAAGTCCGGCCTCAAAACTCTCCTCTTCGACCGTGCCATCGGTCAACCCCCTTCTCCTCTCCTCCCTTCTCCCCCTCTGACCCCAGCTCGGGTCTGAAATGCTGTACATTGTCCAGCATCTTGGGACGTCCTCCCGAAGTGAAAGGCACTATACAAATGTAATCTTGTTGTTATTGTTGTACCTCTCCCTCTTGGCCTACTGTCATGCAGTACATTCATTGCTGTAGGATGGAAATAACACATTCCACTTCAGAATTGCAGTAACTAAGACACCTTCACATCCCAGTGTAAAGACTCGCACAAAGAGAACATTGCTGCAGCAGCAACATTTTATCTGACTTGCTGAAGGAACATTAAACGGGATGTGCACAAACTGGTTAGTTTTAGCTGTTCTCAGAAACGCTGACTCAAGAGTTACGGTTCTTAGAATGATTTTTAATCAATTGGGAGCCTCATGTGCACAGAACATCCCCCCCCCCCCCCCACCACCAACCCCTGAACAACTGGCAGCCTTGACAGATTTAACATTCTCCTCCTCCCACTGCCCAAGCCTGTCCTCAGAGAGCATAGCTATGATGTGGTGGTTTGCATTAGGGAGCTGATGTGTGTGTGTGTGTGTGTGTGTGAGGGGGGAGAGAAGAGAGAGAGCTAATATACGTTGTTGTTGTTAGAATTAAACAAGCTAAAACTGTACTGTAAGCTTCCTGATGCGCATCCACTTGAGTTTAAATACCTTTTGCACGAGTTATAAAAATGTCCAGTTTTATCTGAATGCCCATACCGGTAGCGAGGTCAGCTGGTTCCGGGACAGGTTCAGACTCTCCAGTTGGGTCCACTGATCAATGCACAGCGACAGCTCAGAGATCTGGTTACTGCTGAGGTTCAGCCTCCGCAGGGAGGACAGGGTGTACAGGCACTCGGGCACCCTGGTCAGGTCATTGCAAGACAACTGCACATCTGCAAGAGAAAGGACAACTTTTGCTTGAATATGCTGCAATCGGACATATCCCCTTCAGGCTTGGAGAGCAAGGTAAAAGCACGGATAAATATTCCATTCACATAGCAAGACCAGAGATGAACAAACACATAAACAAACCAACACATAAATGTCACATGGCTGAGGTTCCAAAGAGCAACCAGCAGCTGTTGAACTGCACTCCAGCAGGACAGAGGGAGAAAATTGGCTGGGAAAAAAGTGAACTTCACTCTCAACTAAACCTAAAACACATTGCTCCATGGTTTGGCCCAGGACTGATCCTCTTCCAAGCTGGTTAACAATCACTTCCTTGTCGTGATGAATGAACGGTGTAAGCTAGAAGTGTAGCAGTTTGATTTTGGATAAAATGCTAATCAACTTAGGAACAAGCAGATATTTTTAAAGAGTGTGTGGCAAAGGCTTTGAGCGAGGTTAGAGTGCAAGAGAGAGGGTTGATGGCTGACCTGACAGGGTAGACAGGCCTTCCAAGCTGGTGGGCAGATTGCTCTGGGTACGCTGCGTGTTCCGAAGGTGTAACGTCTGTAGAGCAGTCATCGCAGGAAGCTGTCTGTAAGAATGAATTCAGCGAATTAGCATGCGTCCATAGTCTTCAGGCCTCATAGCTTGATATCTCAAATAAAACCTGGCATAACATTGCCACAAGAAAGTGTATAGCAGTTCTACGAGCAGACATTTACAAACGTCTCACGCTGAATGACACCTGAAGTCACAGGATTTATTCCATCAGCTTCCAGCTTGTCCTCAGGTTAATGAGGGTGCCCAGACATGATACAGACACATTGTGCCTCAACTAGTCATAACACGTGGGCAGGACCTGCAGCCCAGAACTTCTAGAGAAATGTCAGTCGTTTAAACACCAACAAATACATGCAATTGGCACTCACTGAACAATATTACATCTTTCCAATTCTAAACCACATGGAGGGACGAGGAAAGATAGAGAAATCTGCACCAATCCCTGATTTAGGGAGGGAGATTCCCTTTGTTAATGCTTACCGGAGTTGAGCGTGCATAAGTGGGTTGTTATTCAGAATCAGCGTCTGGAGATGAACCAGGCGCCTCATCTGCGGAGGCAGGCTCTCCAGTTTATTGTCACTCAGGTCCAGATACAGCAGATCAGTCAGGTTTATAAACAGTTGGTTTGGGATGTTCTCAATGCTGCAGAAGGAAAGAAAACTATTAGGAGGTGGAAACGAGCACATGAACGATGACAAGCAACCAGAGAGGACAAACAGCGAAACAAAGAGCAACGGATTGCAATCAATAACTCCCTATGAAGCCACATACAGTTATAGTGAAGACAGCTCTTATCAAGGTTAAAACCATCAGGTATTTGATGCTGTAGATTTAAGACTGACCTCTGGTTCAGGGACCCAGCTCTCTACAGAAGAGCCAACCAACAAACATGCGGTTGAAAGCTCTTCCTTTGTAGGATTTATTCTGGAAATATTTTTAATGGGATGCTGAGCAACTCCCAGCTCAGACCAGCGCCACATACCCCTTTCCCACCTGTTATGACTGAGGTTGAGCACCAGCATGTTTTTGGCATTCTCCAGCTCTCGGGGGATTTCACTCAGCAGGTTGTAGCTGAGATCCTGAAACATAAGGTTACATCAGGTCAACAGGACTTTTAGAACTTCAACAAATATTCCATTTGCTATTCCCCTCCCCCCATCCCAATGTACACACAACACTAGGTACCCCCCCATCACCCAGTGTATACACCATACTAGGTATTACCCCCCACCCCAGTGTATATACAAAACTAGGTATCCCTCCTCACAGTGTATACACAACAGTTCAAAGTTCTCCTACTAACAGAACAACGCCTGCAGGTCATTCTGTTATCACCCAACATCAATTACAAGCACATCAGTATCAACAACAACTTACATTTGTATAGCGCTCTCACATGGTGTCGCGTCCCAGAGCGCTTAAGGCATTTAAGGCAACATCACAAGCAATGACTCGATAAGTAAACCATCGTTTTGGATCAGACTTGATGCCAATCAGACACCTCCTGACTGGGAACCATCAACACTGAGTACACAGCAGAAGGTTCCCTCCCCACTACAGCTCATGCAAACCGACCCAAAGATGAAGATCATACTCCGCAACAAGATTTCTGTTATCTAACACAATTAGTGGTTCCCCATAGAAGCAACTGAAAGGCCATGAAGTGTATGTGCCTCACAGCTGGTCAATGTCACATACAATGTATATAATAAATATAGTTTAGTTGATGTAATATCGAGCTCCCGTTCGGTGTCACTGGCCTCCAGTAAATATATTTACAAACAAGTTCTAGGTCTTAAATGTAGAGATTACCTTCACAAAACATTTTTTCAGCTTTGACATCTGAAAAATTGATGTGGGAGCCTGAATGGTCTGTTATTTTCCCAATCCCAGGTTTAGCAGTAGCCTTATCACCACAATATATATTATATATATTGAAAAATCATTAGTAGTCTATGTAAGCCAGACTGCTTCCAGAATTACCAGATTCATTCACAGTGCAGATAATACATAGGTTAGGGTTTGCTCTTGCTGTGCTTCAGGAAACTTACCAAAACAGAGAGATCATCCAGCTGAAAAATGTCATCAGGCACTCCAGAATTCTTCAGGTTGTTAGCTCGAGCCACAATGGCCTATAAAGAACATACACACACTGGTGACTGAGTGCTGGCATCTCATAGTCAGCCCAGCTCCAAATTGGGAGTCCCAGCTTGATTCAGTTTTCCTTGGGCCAAAGTTCCTGCTTCTTGACCAGAGAGGTTTGGATGAAGAAAGTCCTTCAAAGAAGGGATCTCATTTTTCCAGAATCCCTGCTCCCTCTCTTCCCATTACATCCTTAGGCTAGTCTTAAATGCCTCTAGTACCTGGCCTCAACTACACTGGCGGGTAATCTGTTCAGTTGTTGATGCTATCTGTGTAAAGAAATACTGAACTTGTGTTTGTCTTAAAAGTTGCCCACGACAACTCTGAACCTATGTCCAACTGTTGTCTTGGGATAACTAAAAGGATTGTTCTAGGTTTACTCTCTCCATCCTTGTAAACAACTCTAAAAGAAACCCTCTAGAATGTTGTTTATGGAGTCTGAAGAGTTCTATCTTATCCAGTCTTTCCTCATCAGCTAATCCAGGTCAGAGAAACTGTGCAGTAACAAACACAGGACAAATAGAGCAACAATGTGCCCAGGAAAAACTTGCGAGTGCTATTCCCGATTGTCAGGGTATAAGTACTAGACCACTATCCTCCCTGGTTACTAACCCGCAGGCACGGCAGGCTGGACAGCTCCCCATGAAGGGTGGTCAGGCTGTTGTGACTCACTGACAAATGCTCCTGGGAAAACAAAAAAAATCAGAGATAGAAACAGAACAAACTTTTATTTATACATAATTCTATAATAAAGAAGCATTACACATTCAATAGTGCTAATGGACAATTTTTATAATGGACTTTCCCTTATAGGTCTATTTTATATCCAGCCACCAACAACTTGCATTTAGATGCACCATTGACATGGGGCAGCGTCTTGGAGCGCTTAACAGTGGTGCGTTGCCATTGTGTCAAAGTGCAGTAAAGATTGAGAAGGGCTTCCCCAGGTTCAGTTGGACAGCTATTTCTACATTATCAGCTGCACACAGTGTAAATTACAGAGAAATATACATTTTCATACCAATTTCTGAAGAGAAGCCAGTTCCTCGGGCAGGTAGCACAGTCCCGTCCGGTTCAGCTTCAGCCATCGCAAGCTGGTCATTGACTTAACATGTTCGGGAAAATACCCACCCTTTGCAGGACAAAAAATTGGCAAAGTTAACACGTGTTAACTCTGTGTAATTTCACCCACAACTCACAGACACCTTGCTCACAAAAAACAGACACATTGCTTAGGTTCATGTTCTGTCAATTGAAACTAAATGACTACCAAGATGACATTGCGTTCTATCAAAAATTATTAGTCATTAGAAAACACAAATCTACTCTATTTGAGAAATAAACACTACATTTGTTTTAATAATAGCAATTATAGATCACAGGCAAATGATCCACATATTGAAGGTGCACATTTATCAGCACAGCACTATACAACACCACCATTACATACAGGCTACATCAATGTTTAAAAATCCAGCTATTCCCTCAGGGGCAAAGGCACTGGGTAATTTGCTACCAAGAATTATAGATTAGACTGTGTTCAGATAGTTGACTTCAGTTGCAGAGATGGGGGAATGGGCACTACAATTAGTCTCAGTGTTCATGGGCTGGGAATGGGAGGGCAGTGCAGGCAGAGAAACTAAGGTTTGTGGTCCCAATTGTACCCTGGTCGCCCTGCTAAAAAGTGGATTTATATGGACAGATTAGGCCAATGTAGCCCCTCTTTTTTTTTCTCATGGATGAATACAGGTCACCAACTAGGCTAATTTGAAAAAAAATACCTATTTGGGCAAGGATGATTGGGGAGTGGCTGGAATCATGAAACTTACCACAGCACAAGTTACAGCCTTGAAGACAGCAGGCAAGAAAATGGAGAAGAGGGGGAAAGAATTTCTCCATCAGTAATTTGTTTTATTACAGAAGCTTATGAACCACCTGAATAGCCTTTTGCATATCTTGCTCTTAAAGTGCAAATAGCATGAAGGAGCTAAAGTACTGCCAGTCACTGAGATGCTTCAGTGATCACATCACTTCAAATCCACACAGGTTAATTCATCTCTCCTTCACTCTATTAGTCAGCAGCTCCCCAAACCAGCTCCCAAAGAGCTCACCAATACCCTAAACAAATACAGAGATAGAACATACAGGATATTCAAGTCAATCACAATGTGTAGCCCTCAGATTGGTTAAAAAGAGGCACAGATGAGGAGACTTGCGACCCCAGTAAAAGTTACTTGTGATGCACACTTGAAGCACAATTCACACTGTGGGTCAGTTATACTAGTTCTACTCGACAACAGCAACTTATATTTGTTAGCGCCTTTCACATTGGGAGGATGTCCTAAGACTCTTTTTTTAAAAAGACTGTATTATGGGTTTGCAAGGATGAACCCAGAAACACCAGATTATTGAGTCACTTTACAATTCAGAAGCCAGATCCCCTACAATCAGATGGGGAACAGGAACCAAAAGGGTTTCTTAAACTGTTGGGTAACATGGAACAAAGCTAAGACAATTACCTCACAACCTTTGCCTGAATTCAAGGCTATTCCAATTCCAAAAGCATAATAATGTTAAAGCAAGCTCTGGTAAGTGTGAGCTATGTGTGGAATCTCAGAACATTACATTTGTGTGTTACACAGACTGTAAACATCACTCAGAAATTCAGATCGGACCCGTGATTGGAAACTTCCCACTGGACGCTGCATGCTGCGGTGCCAAATGTATCAGAAATAGAAAACCATTCATCAGAACATGTATAAAAGGTTTCCATTTATTTCCTGTGATTCAAGGCTGTGCTCTGGGGGGGGTCCAGACTAAACATGGGTCATTGTTCTGATGCAATGACGAGGCTGGGGACCACAGCTCGCCAGAGGCTCCACTCAGCTTGTAGCTGTTTTGAGGGTGATACAATGAGTACCATGTCTTTTTAACTTCTTTACTCAGGTTAAGAAAGTATGTTGGTGCTGAACTCCAAGCAAAGCTGAGCTACTACACAATTAACCCAAGAAATTGTTGATGATTAACCAATCTTTGAGGTTTATCAATAAGACTTGAAAAGTAGAAAGATCATCAATCCAGTTAGTTTTTCCTGAACCGGCTATTTTGCATGAAATTCTCCTATTACTGTATACATTGAGCACCACACAAAATAGATAGCATACTACTTCACATTTCAGTATCAATATTAAATCCTACTTTGTAATTCCATGAATAGTTTTAAATCTATGATACTGTTGCTGCAACTAAATGCATCAACTGAAATCAACTCCCCTTCTAAATAGCTTTCTGCCAAAGTGCTAATAAAGAGGAAAAACATCATATTTTAGTTAAATTTGAGCAATAAAGTTACATTGCTTAAGATAAGGCATCAGTTATTGCAATCTCCTTTCTTAAAGAAGTAACAAAACAAAATCCCAAATTGAATCAAGTCCTCAACTAATTCACGAGTTACTGAAATAAAAAAATAATCAAAATGTTGCTAACGTGGTTGAAGTAACAGAACTATGCCAACAAGAATACAATAATAACTGGTGTCAAGAGTACACCTAGAGCTGTTGAGGTCAGGAAAAAATAATAAACATTGTTTTATGAAAAAATATTGGCTTTAAAATATAATCACTACACTTTACAGTAATTCTTATGAAATGCATTGAGACGGCCTCATGAAGTGAAATCTGCTATTTCAAATGAAGAGAAAAAACTCAAAAAAATTAATAATAATAATCTTTGCGTGTGATATTGCACCTCTTCACATTGTTGAAACATCTAAGGGCTTCACAGAATTTATTAATAACCGTTGCATTTGATATAGAGTGAACATGATAAGGCACGCCATCAAATGCAAGGATTATTATTATTATTATAATAGAGCTCCCGCGTACGAAGGATGTCTCAAAGCACTTTGCTTTGACGGTAAGTCCTGGCAAGGAGCACGAACCCATAACTTCCTGACTCAGAGGCGAGAGGGCGGACGCCTGAGGCCGGCTGACACCTAACAACTAAAACCGTCACCAAATAAATCTTAGTAATAATAATAATAATAATCCTCGCATTTGATACAGCGCCTCATCACGTCTTCGAGACGTCTCGAAGCGCTTCACCGGATATACTGTAAAGTGAATTGAACACACAATCTGGAAAGACCTAACGTCCATAGCACTGCATTGCTGTTATAATACGAGAATGACAGGTCGCTGTAGTAACAAACACCGAGCGGACGTTTTTTTAAAAAAAACACACACGAATTCTAACGAGTTCACAACTTCCTCAGTGGACACCGTCCCGGGGCCTCGGTCAGTGCAGCCACTTCACACCCCCCGTGACTGACTGACTGACTGACTGACTGTCCGCCCTGAGCTCAGACGGTTACAAACTATTCCCGAAATCATTTGCTTCAAATGTGTTTAAAACACACGCGCGGACAGAACGGACTTACTTTGAAATCATTTCCACTTAAATCGACCCCGCGGATGAAGGGCAGGACCCCGGTGGCCGCCATGTTGTCGGGCGGAGCGACTGTTCGACTCGGGCGGCTGTCTGCGCGCCTCAACCTACCCTGACACTTCCCGGGAGCCCGCCCCGTCTGGCTTTCCTGATTGGCCGAGATCCACGCGCCGTGGGTAGGGCGGCCGCACTGTCGCGAACCGCCATTGGTCGAGACTTCTACCAATCAACTAATCGCCCCCCCCCCCCCCTTCCTCCTTCCACCCTTTCAGGTTAGGTTGTCGCAGCGCGGCACATCCGGTGTGAGGGTAGTCCCGCCCATTTCGCCATTAGGGCCGCGCCCTGATAGGCCGTACGGAAATCCCAGGGGCTGTGCGCGCGCGCGCGCGCGCGGGGTGGTGGGGCAGAGGGGGGGGAGAGCCGCTACCGACTGGTCAGCGCGGACGTCAATCACCCCAGCGACAGGCGCACGTGAGCGGGAGGGCGGGTTGTTGTGGAGATCGTCGCCCCCTCAGTCAGACGCGGGGCCCGAGAAACATGTCGGCCGTTGTGAGGTCGGGCCGTCACCAGTGAGGTAAAAAAAAACCTACAGCCACACGGACTGCAGCCCCGGCCCGTTCACACTACACACATATATATATATATATATATATGTGTGTCTATGGGTTATATATATATATATATATAAAGGTCGGAGTTGTCGGTCTGTCGAGTGCAGGCGAGGCCCGGCCTGCGCGAGAGAGAGAGAGATGAGTGTGAGAGAGTGTGACAGAGAGTGTGACAGAGAGTGTGAGAGAGTGTGACAGAGAGTGTGTGAGAGAGAGAGTGTGACAGAGAGTGTGAGAGAGTGTGACAGAGAGTGTGTGAGAGAGAGTGTGACAGAGGGTGTGAGAGAGAGAATGTGACAGAGAGTGTGTGAGAGTGTGACAGAGTGTGACAGTGTGAGAGAGTGTGACAGAGGGTGTGAGAGAGAATGTGACAGAGAGTGTGTGAGTGTGACAGAGTGTGTGACAGAGAGTGTGTGAGAGTGACAGAGAGTGTGACAGAGAGTGTGACAGAGAGAGTGTGTGACAGAGAGAGTGTGACAGAGGTGTGTGAGAGAGTGTGACAGAGAGGGTGTGAGAGAGTGTGACAGAGAGGGTGTGAGAGAGTGTGACAGAGGGTGTGAGAGAGAGAATGTGACAGACAGTGTGTGTGTGTGTGACAGAGAGAGTGACAGAGAGTGTGTGTGAGAGAGAGAGGGGAAGGTGAGAGTTGCTGGTGATTGACAGCTCCCATTCCCAGGCCTGAGCAGCTCCACAAAACACAGCAAAAAAAATACCCGTAAATAACAAAAAAAACCACACAAATGCAAACTCTCAAAACCCCTTTTGCATTTTAATATTTTTTAATATTTTAATATTAATATTTTAATATTTTAATATTGAATGAATTCATTTCAAGTTTATTAATGATTGAATGCGCTGGACAGAGATTCGAAGAGTAGGTGGTGGTCGGGTGGGGTGGGGGTAGTGGGGGTGTGGGGGGGGGCTGCGGGGAGAGAGAAAACAACAACAACACAATTACACGTGCAAAAGAGCCTTTCAATCGGGAGGACCTCCCAAGGCGCTGGACGGCCATTGTTTTGGACCCGAGCTGAGGGTCGGGGTGGGGGAGGGCAGTGGGGGGCGGGGGAGCAGAGTGTTCGAAAGCGCGGTCAAAAAGGAGGGTCTTGCGAAGGTGGCGAGGGAGGGGGTGAGGCGGAGGGACTGCAGGGTAGAGTTCCAGAGGGTTGGGGGCAGAGTGGCAGAAGGCCCGCCCGCCAACGGTGGGGCAAGTGAGGTGGGGGCTGGAGCCCGCGGAGCGGAGGGAGCAAGCAGGGTGGTATGGGGTTAGGAGGTCCCAGAGGTAGGGGGAGCGAGATCGTGGAGGGCTTTGAAGATGAGGACCAGGATCTTGAACTGTATCCTCTGTGTAATGGATGCATTGGGAAATTCTGGGGAAAGCACTGGGGTTCAGTGGAAAACATTTTTTAAATTCCCTACCCCAATGTGTTACATTTTAGTTTTTTTTCGCCCACAAAATACGCAGTCAATTCACTTTACTGTACATCCTGTGAAGTGCTTTGAGGCTTGATAAGGCTTTATATCAAATGCAAGAATTATTAACATATTCAATCTGTTACCAAAAGAGTAAATAAATGTAACTTGGTTGCATTTTTGTCATGAGATTGACACATTGGACATGTATACAAAATTGTTTTGTAACTAGACTTGTTTTTTCCGTCAAGTAATTGAGAAAGGTGACCTTTGGACAGATATTTCAATATGAAGACAACTTTACAAAGCGTGTCCTTTATCTTGGGCTTGTTCATACTGGAAAAGAAAAGATTGAGAGGCGACATGATTGCTGTCTTTAAGATTCTAAAGGAGCAAAACAACATAGATCATGACAGCTGTTTCAACTTGTCCAGAATAGTAAAATCAGACGACACGGCCTGCGATTGAAGGGGGTTAATTCAGAACAAATAATAATAATAATAATAATCCTTGCATTTGATACAGCGCTTTTCACGTCGGGAGGACGTCCCAAAGCGCTTCACAGAACACACTGTAAAGTGAATTGACTGTATATTTGTGGGCGAACGCGGCAGCCAATGTCCCACAAACAGCCGTAGATTGACAATGACCAATTTTATTATTGTTTTTGGTTTTGGAGGGATTATTATTAGGCGTGTGGAGTAAGGAAACTAGCCCAAGGTTTCGCCCTGTGCCTGGAATTGAACTCAGGTCTCTCACTTGCAAAGCGAGTGCTCTAACCACTGAGCTACAGGACTCCACAATCTATAGAAACACTATTTCAATGAGCGAATAGTAAACCTGTGGAACAGGCTTCGTAGGGAGATGGTTGAAGCAGGAAATGTTGATTCCTCCAGACATGGATCAGATAGTTTTCTTTTACGAAAAAACATTATGGGATACAGTACATAGGTGGTTCGGGACATATGTCCATGCGACCGCCAGGAAGGTGGAAGGCGAACTAGATGAACCTTGGTCGTTTTTGTCTAGCATTTCTTATGTTCTTATGTTGAACTGTTACTGGAAGTATCTGATTAAAGGGGTAAACGGCATGTTTTTAGGGGTAAACACAGTTGGCTTTTGCACTCTTGTGAAGCCAAGAAATACTTAATCTCCCCACTCCCCAGCGGTTCTGATTGTAAAGCAATGATTTGCAATACCTACTTTTAAACAGATGGAGGTCTGAACCCGGCAGTTAGTATCCCTGTTCGTAGGACACCAGTCTTTCGGTAAATAATGGCACTGATCTGACTTGTTGCAGGGAATTAATATCCGCTTACCATAAACCTGAAAGGAATTTGCCCAGGATGTCTGGTCATTCGTGCTTGTTTAATTCACAGGCATTTGCCTACAAAAACACAATCGCAATACTTTTCAGTAAATCTTGTGAAACACTCTGAGACATCCTCCAGTCTATATCAAAGGTAAGAATTATTATTTTATTTAACAATGTGTAAATTCTCACTTTTATTTACTGGGGTGATATATTGCCCAATGCCTGCTTGTCATAGTCTCCCAGCATCAAGCAACCATTATTTATTTGCATGGTTTCTGGGGACTCCACCAAAGTTTGTTCTCTGCTAATCAGTTCCTCTCATTAACATCTGTATCATGTTGTGAAGAAAAAATACTGTATTTTTGCCATTCCTCTGGAGGAAAGTTTTATACGGTGGTGCTGGGGTTCTTGTTCATAAATAAGAATCTCAAATTATGTCATTTGTTGCATGTCTTGTTTTTGTATGTCACAGCGCTCCATGTTTAAGATGGCCAGTATCGTACAAGGAAAAGGAAACCAGAGCCTAGGAAATGTCATCAACTTCCTGCTGGCTAATGCCAGGCTGGTGCTGGGTGTCGGGGGAGCTGCCATACTGGCCATTGCCACATTGGCAGTTAAAAGAGTAAGATTCTCCATTGATTGTATTTCTGATCCGGATTCCATGTTACATTCTGACTCTGTCCAGCCATGTAGCTGGAAAAACTAACAATGTTGCCTGACTTCCTCCCTCCAGCGCCTTGGGATAGTCTCCCGACGTGAAAAGCGCTATACACACATGTAATTTGTTGTTGTTGTTGTTGACTTCTACCTAAGCATTGGTTGGCTGCTGTAATTGGTCTCAGCCCCTGGGCTGGAGGGGAAATTTCAGTCAGAGTTCCTGTTTCTGATTGATAGCTTCCTAGAAAGTGTCCGTTTGTGACCATCAGGTGAAGACAGGGTCAGGGCTCTGTTGGATGCTGTCCATGATTGAATAGCCTACCCACACTCACCGGCCAGTGACAGCTCATCTTTTAATTAAACAAAACATACACTTACCTGTGTGTTGTGTGCCAACATCAGGAAAACATTGATTAAAATAGAATTTACAAGGATTTCAAATGGAATCCAGTGAAACTCCGATAACACGGCACTCTAAGAGAAATACCCAGTGTTGACCAATTATCCGAAATACTCAAATCATCGGGATATTGAGTGAGTGATTTGTCCTGTGGGGTTGACTACTTAACCCAGAGGCTAGTTATCAGAGTTTCACTGTAGCTTTTCTCACTTCTGGCTGTTCAGATGAAGATGAGCACTAACTCGCAGACAGAGCCTTTCTGAGTCCAGGTTAATTGTTTCTGTTCCAGATGTTTGATAAGGCCAGTGATCCTCCGGACAGTTCTCTGGACAAGCCTGACCCGAAGCCTATAAAGGAAGAGGCTGGCTGGATCGAGCCATCGCCCAAACTGCTGCATAAGGAAATGCAGAGAGAGCTCACCAAATCATTGCAAAGAATGACCATCGCAAAGACCAAACCAGGTAGCACTATGCTGTAAACAAAAGGCGAAGTCTGTGGCACCAGCTTTATTGTGCATCCATTATGCACTCACGCTAGTCTAAGATAACCAATCTTTTTGGTCGCCAAGAAAATAAATTTTCTTGAATATTTGTTGATTTATGCAATATTCAATCACTTGGAAAAGTCCGACACTGTCTAAGCTGACCCTTCAGTTCAGTGCTGGGGATGAATTATATTGTCGGAGGTGCCGTCCTTTGGATGAGAAGTTAAACCAAAGTCCTAGCTGCCTGTTCCCATGGCACTATTCGAAAAGAGAAGAGAAATTTTTCTCTCCCTGTCTCCTGGCCAGCAATCCCCCCAAATAAAAGTAGTCATTTGCTTCATGGCTGTTAGTGGGACATTGATGGATGCAATTGGGCTGCTGCATTCACATACAAAAACACAGTCACAGTCACTCCACTTAACAATAAATATACACTCAAATAATGTTAAGGTTTCTAGCACACCGAGCTCCATTACAATGTGCTACATTACTTCCTGCTTTGTTATATTGTTTGTAAGAACGTCTATAAATACGGAAGATTGCCAGTTAGTTCCTCAAATATTTGACAAACAAACAGGCACAAGGATTCAGTCCTGTAGAATGCAACGGAAGGCGTTTATTATTGTCACGTTTATCATGTAAATTGGTTCCTGCACAAATTAGTTTTCAAAACTTTTATCTGAAATGGTTATTTTTAATACCGGTTTTACTTAAATAGTGTTAAGGACACTGACAGCTTGGTACAAACATTTCCTGTTTTGTTTAGCATAGTGAGAGAACATTACCGGTAGAGTAACATCCAAATATAGCTCTTCCAATTAAATGGAACAAAGTCCTGAGCTATAAAGCTGTGCTCTCTCTCTCTCTCTCTCGCATGCTACAGCTCCTGGGAGTGCTGAGTGAGACAGTGTAAAGCGACTTTATCTAACCCGTGCTGTAGTTGATCTGGGAGTACTGCGTGCAGAATGTTCTGTTGCGCAATAATGGTTATACATTACAGAGGGGTAATTCACCAACAATTCAACAATTCAAAAGAAAAAACAACCATATTAAGGGTGTGTTGATTGTCTTTTCTAGGAGGTCGCAAAGCTCTTACTGTCTGCAGGAATATTGAAAATGAGAGCAGAAACACTAAACTCTGCATCACCCTGCAGGAGAAACTTCTCGCCTATTACACGTACAAATCCATCCCAGTCTCTGAGCTGAGTCAAGCCAAGCAGTGCGCATTGGATATCTGCACCGAACTGCAGGAATTCATCAGCAAGAAACATCCTGAAATGCCTGTGGGGGAGTTGAAACTCAGTGGGAGTCTGTACAGTGACCTCCAGATGGGTTCAGCTGATCACGTCACTCTTGTCATGCCACTGGTCATTGAAGAGAATCTCTGGGCCCTTGTCTCAGGGGAGGAGACGATATTGAACGCCCCGGACCTATGGATTGTGAGAAGGAATAACACAGACTATTTTCCACGGGGAAGCAGTTACTGGGATCGATTTCTTGTGGGGACATATTTGTCGCCAAAAGTGTTAGTTGAAACATTCCACAAGACTGTGGTGGGGAGCATTAACTGGCCTGCGATAGGCAGTATGCTGGACTGTGTAGTTAGACCCAAGGTCTCTTCTGAAACCCTTGAGTTAGAGGCTCAATACGATATTGAGAAATCTCTACGTATTAATGTCCTTCCTATGATTAAGATGGACCAGGTAGAACTTACAGCAACACCACAAACACAGGGACATTTCACAAACATGTGGCAGCAGAGATTTTGGGTCGCTGAGATCGCTGAGCTGGGATGGCTGGACAGCGAGGACTCAGGCTGTCGCCAGCGCTGTGTGAAGTTGCTGAGAGCTGTCTGCAGGAGCCACGCTTCACTGAGCAGGCTGAGCAGCAGCCAACTGATCAACGCTGTCCTGCACCTCAGCCACACAGAGAGCGACTGGACTGAAGCCTTCCTGGCAGACAGGTTTGTACAGTTGCTTAGGGAGCTGATTGGTTACCTGGAGCAGGGCTGCCTGCCCGGGTACTTCAGCAGTCGAGTCAATCTCTTTTCTAATTTGTCAGAGGAGGAGATTGAGGAGATGGGTTACACCCTGTACTGCGCAGTGTCTGATCCTAGTATTTTGCTTGACCATTGACTTGAGCAATGCACACAACTACTTGTTTTTCCAACAGTTCTATCAAAGCTGTATAAAACAAATTACTAAATCGGGAATCTGATATCTCTTTAAAATTCCAGGTAACTGGAACAAATGCTTTAAAATGTGAATCAACTTTGCCAGCAGTGCTTGCTGACAAGATCTGGATTTTTTTTTTACATATAATTTTTTTTAAGTTCTTCAGTTCCACTGCACAGGTTGTGTGCGAGACCGCGATTGTTCCAGTGACATTTCCTGGTGCTGCTTCTTTAAGTCTTGCTTCAATGGTAAATAGTTCCCCATAAATCAAACTATTTACTCTTGGCAGTTTCAGACCCAAACCTCGCCCAAAAAAACTTAATCAAAAGTTTAAACTCAAGGTTGCAAACGTGGCTGGTTTATCCACCATCAACTACACGTGACAGATCAGGAGTTTGCCAATCGTAGCCAGTTTACAGGGGACAATTGTCCTCAGCGCCTGAGGTTTTGGGAGGAGGAGGCTGGGGGAGGAATAAGTCAGGGTTCCTCGTACCCAGTCTGATGCTGGAGTTGAACCTCCTGTTGGTTTGATGTGTGTTGGTTTGGACATTTGAGTGAATGAAATGTGTGGGTGTGGATAGCTTCAGGCCCACCTCCAGTGAATTTGCTGCTACATTAAGTGGAGTAGAAAATGGATGAAATATGGAGAGATTATCAGAGGTTGACCGGTGTGTCAGTCCATGTCTTCCAAATAGCAAAGGAGGAATCTGAATTATTTTATTATAACCGATTGAAACAATGTGTGTGTATTTATTTGTGCTTGGTACTGGAAAGAGCTGCTCCATGACATTAGGTGAACGAAAGTCACGTGTAAAATAGCTTGAGCTCTTCCAATGCAGATTGCCTCCGGTTGGCAAAAATGATCAGATGGGCTGATGTTGAACAGAGAGCAAGAAATGGAAATCTATTCCACGTGGCTGTGCTATACAGAATGTACAGCTCAGAAACAGGTCACTCAGCTCCACTAGTCCATGCTGGTGTTTATATGCCACACAAGGCACACATTAACATGAAATGTACAACTCTGTGGAGCACTGAGTGCTCAAGTATGTCATTTATTATGTGAATTCAGTTGATTCTATTTAATACGTTTGTGTATGTCAGCTGGTCATTCACAACTTTTTTTTGAAAAAAATGAGGGGATCATATATCCCTGTTATCCTGATTTAACAGGCAGGTGAATTGTGATCACCACCTTTTGGGGCTAATCTTTTACAATGTCTGACCTCAACCGGGGCAGCAGGAGAGGAAAATAAAAATCTGATCAGCTGGGTTTTCCAGTGATGATTGTTCTGACTGTGACCCACATTGGCCCAGAACAGGATCTGACTCCACAATCAGATAGGGAGATGGCTGCCTGAGCAATGGTCCTCTAGGTTGAGGTGCCAGCAACTGGCACATGGGCAACCATACCCATAACAGACCAGTCAGTCTGCACCCAGAGGAGTAAAAGCGATAAAGACAGTGAGCACAGAAGCTCAAATACCCCAAGCTTCAGCTCCAGCTGTTAACGCAGCTCCCTCATACCGGGCTCTGTTATGCACACCCACAGTGAGCAGCACTCCTTGTTCAAGCGAGATTCTTCTAAACAGGATTCCGTGGGCGAGACTATAGTTACACGTTTGCAGTAATAAATGGGTGACACTATATTGTAAACTGTTGCTGCTAAATGTGGTGGGCTGCCAGAGCACTATTTCAATCATGATCATTAAATGAAAGATTACTTTAGCAATGATTCACTGACTGTTTTCATTATTGTAAATACCTGGACTTCAGACAACAGTTAATTTCCTTCTCTAGTTTGCGTTCCACCCACTCCTCCACCCTCAGTGCTGCGTATTTACAGTTTGCAGAATCATACTACTTTGTGTGAGGAAATCATTTATTTGGTTCGAATTTTGGATTACACAACTCCAATGAAAAATATAAAACTGTGAACATAGAACAGTCCTAAAATTAAAATGTAACCATGTTAAATATATTTGATTTTGTGTGAGCGCTTACCGAGGTTTGGTCCCGAGATAGACCCGCAAGTTACAGCGAGAAGCCAGCAAGAGACCAGCTGTACTGATGCGGATTATATACAATTCAAGAAATTGACTGGTAAAAAATCTGCCCCCCTCCACCCCCAGCATTGGTCATTTGAACCTCTGACAATGCAGCGATTAACATGTGAAGGACTGGAACCAGCTGGAGAGATTTGGGAGATAGGGGCAGTTTACAAGTGGGTTTCAGGCTACAGTCACCTCAGGGATGGCTCAGTCGCGGTTTGGTCTCAGAGTTTCCTCGGGAAGAATTCTCAACAATTCTCCATCAAAGGCTTGAGACCCTGCAAATCCGTTTCTCTTCCAACCATCTGGTATGGATGAGGCTGCCTCGCTGCATCCTCCCACCACCCCAGGGAGGTCTCGACGGCAATTCCACACAAGACGACCACAGTACAAAGCTTCTCCCGCACAAGTTAAGTGTTACGAGTCAGGAACATATGCTGAAGTTACTGGTTTCGGACAGACTTTTCTGCACGTGATACAGACGCAACTTCACCTGTTCTGGGGACATTTTGTTCTTGTGTGTCCTGGCTGATGACACAGCCCACAGCACCGGGCTCGCTTTGCTGGGGGAGCGTTTCCTGCTGGTCTTCTCTCAGCCTCTGTCAGAAGGAGAACCACAAACAATGACTGAATGCTGACTCCCTCTCTTAACTTCTAAACAAATTACTCATCGGTTGTTCACCAGAATACAATATTAATAACACTTGCATTTGATACAGCATCAGATCGGGAAGAACATAGGAACAGGAGTACGCCATTCAGCCTCTTGAGCCTGTTTCGCGTCCACCATTCTATTAGATTAAGGCTCGTCTATGCCTCATCCCCAAAGGATGTCCCAAAGTGCTTCACAGGATATATGGCGAAGTGGAATGACCGTGTTTTGTGGGCAAAAATGGGATGACGGTGCCAGGAGGGAGGTTGGGGAGAACTTTGAATATACCAAGGTTTGAGCCTGAGAGTTTCTGGACCTGCTCAGTATCACAGCAGCACAGAGAAACTGGAGGGGGAGCTTTTTTTAAATACAAGCTTAATTATATTTTGCTGTTTCCCAATGACCGACCGACCCGCATTAGAGCTTGCTATAACGTACGTGTCTGGCTGTTCTCATCCACCCACTGAAAGTAGCCGCACTGCTGCTCGCGGGGCTTCGCGCAGGTGTGGAACGCCCGCCCCTTGTTGGGTCCATCCTTCTGTACTGTCCGCGTGACCACTGGCTCATTGCATGTGCACGTCATCGCCCCCCCTCCGCCTCCTCCATCGCTGCTCGGGCGACTGAAGTGCCCCCTGCTGGTGGTCGTGCTGACCCCGCCTCCCTCGCTCTGGTCGGCCCACAGGAAGAAGTTGCAGTTTCCTGTGCTGCACTTGTAGAATTTCCGACCCTGGTTGGGCCCGTCCTTCCGAACGGTCAGCAGCAAAGCGTCCTGGCCACAGTTACACACCACCATGTTGTCATCATCCACACCCAGGATCCCAGCCGACCCAGCCCGCGGGCCTGGGTGAGGGTTCCCACGACCTCCAAGTGGCTGGTTATGCCCTGTGCCAGGCGGTGGCTGGTTACGCCCTGTGCCGGGCGGTGGCTGGTTACGCCCAGTGCCGGGCGGTGGCTGGTTACGCCCAGTGCCGGTTGGCGGTTGGTTACGCCCTGTGCCGGACGGTGGCTGGTTATGCCCTGTGCCAGTCGGCCGTTGGTTACGTGCTGTGCCAGGTAGTGGCTGGTTGCCAGGCTGACTGTTCGCCAGCGGCAGAGGTCCCACTCGGAGATATCGCAGGTCCAGAATCTCACGCAGCATTTCATCGCAGCCTCCAATACAACCGACGAACTCCAGCGGCACCAGCACAGGCACACTGCCACGCCGGAACTTAAACTTCAACCTCAGAGAAATAAATACCAATAAAATCACTGCACGTTTGTCCCTTTCCCAGGGTGATTGAAGCCATTGAGAGTATGGTTACCCCGCACTTAAGGACCTCTTGCTAAAGCGCCCATTCTTTGTGTGTGCACCTGGACATGGAGTGTCCACAGAAGATGTGACCTGGTTGCGAACTAGCCTCGTTGCCCTTTGCTCTTCCAATTCTGGTGTCCTACTCTTTCCTCACTCCATCCACCCCATCATCAGTGGCAAAGTCGTCAGCCAATATTGCTCCCGCTCTGTGAAACTCTCCACTAGAATCTCTTCACCTTATTCCTTTTCTTTGATTGTAACTTTGATTAACATCCTCCCCCACTTTACTCGATGATACCTTCGGACCTATGTGAGAGCAGCTATACAAGTACAAGTTGTTTATTCCCAATTTCCGGGGGTTGGATGTCTTACCTGTGAACAGGATGCGGTTTACATGTTGGACACACGCTCTCATCCCGCCTGACCTCGAGCACAGAATCTGGAAACCAAGCAGCGCACTTACAGCTTGGATACCCCACACAGGACAGGTAGTACCTGCACAGTGAGAGAGCAAAGCAGTCAGGCGACAATTACTAGTACATCCCCTCCCCAGATCAGAATCCCACTCAGGAGTATCAGAACAATAATAATTGTTAATTTCACACAGTGCCTGTCCTGTCAGCAGGATGTCTCACAGTGCATCACAGGATAGACGGTAAAGTGTAACGGCTGTGTACGCTGTAGATGAAGTTAGGTTGTGAGCTCAAAGCCCTGATGTGGGACTTGCAAAAACTTCTGACTCCGAGGCGAGAGCTTAGCCCGAATGTCAGTTAATTTTACAGCTTTCAGTGTTTCCAGCAATAACTAATCCACACCCCCAGGTGGCGCTGCAGATAGATTGCAGTCCACACAGCGCCACCGGGTGGATGTGATCGGGAACGGCCACGACATTCCACCAGTGTGACCCGGGAATCTGTCCCCAACAGTCAAAACAGGGCCTCCATTCACAACAACTTGCATTTACACAGCGGCCTTCACGCGGGGTAGGGTCCCGGGGCGCTTGACAGCGGCGGAGTCTGACCCCGGGCAAGGGAGAGTGGGAGGGAGAAGGTGCCCGTAAACACGATCAGAAAGCAACGTCTTTAGGCGGGATTTGAAGTTGGGGAGTGAGGGGGAAAGGCGGAGTGATTGAGGGAGAGTTCCAGAAGTGTAGTGGCTGAAGACACGGGCGCCGATGGTGGAGCGGAGGGGACGAGGGACAAACAGGAGGCCGGAGCCAGCCAAGCGAAGGCAATGGATGGTGGAGTGGGGGTTAAAGCAGATCGGATAGGTAGGGCGGTGTGAGGGCATGAAGGGTTGAAAATGATCTTGAAAACGATCCGTTTAGTAATTGGGAGCCAGTGGAGCCTGGCAAAGACTGGTGCGATGGAGATTTACCATCTTATCTGAACGACAGCACACGCTCAGTGCGCCCCCGGTACAGTGCTACTGCCTCAACTGTAAACTGACGGGAGGGTGGGTGCGGTGGTTGAACTCACAACATCTGACCCAGAGACAAGAACACCACCAACTGCGCCAGGCTGACACTGAACAATCTCGTCTCCCCGTGTGAACATAAAACAGCCACTGCATTTCACACCAGCACAAACCCAACCACACCGCAGCACAGCACTCCCTCCCACCCACAATGCATACCCCACACTTACCCGCCATCTCGCTTCTGTTTGAGGAACATGTCTCTCCCACACTGGGGACACTTGCGGATGGGCTCAGGAATCTCCATGCGGAGCTCCTCAGCTTGCGGGATTTCACTGGCTTCTCCAAAATAGTGAGACAGAGCCTCATCCAGCCTACAACACAATGCCGGTCAGTCACTGAGCGTTCACCAGACCTCCACCATGTCAATTAGCCACCAATTCACTGCCTTCTCATCCACCTCAGAATAGAAATAACTAGTAAAATAACTACCCAGGACATCACTCACAGACACAGAACCCAGGAGAGATGGACCATTAGATTAAAGCACACCTCAGCGTCCTGAAACAGCTCCAGACAGCTGGCAGTCTGAACAAGAAAGCAGTGCTGACCGGGCTGCACCCATCCACCAGGGGATCACCCTGGCCTGCACACATCCCCACCGGCATCCCCCCCCCCAACCAAGTGCCCACCTGCCCTGCACCCCCCAGTGCTCCCAAGACCTGAACCCTCCCCCCCATCCCCTTGTGACTGAACGACTCACTTCTTGGCCTTGGACACAGCCTCGATGAAGACCTGCTTGTATTTCAGAACATGCTGTTGGAGCACCGCAAACCTGTCCTTTCTCCCCTCACAGACCAGCTTCAGGTCCCCCTCCAGCTCCGCCCGCAGGTCCGGCTTCGACATTTCATAACCCATCGAATCGTAGCCTGCAAATAGCACAGTGCGTTACAAGGCAGACAGTGCGAGAGATCCTGTAATAACAGCAGACAATGTAACCACACCATTCAGTCCCCTGAACTCTTTCATTACAACCACAAAACTCCAGCACTGGGATCAATCAGCTCGGAGTTCCTGACCCCGACAGTGCAGCTACATTAACCCAGAACATCCCTGGGTGAATCACACCCTTGAGTGACATGAATTCAGCTGCTTGTACCAACACCAGTCTCCCTGTTATCAGTTTAAACAAAAGCACAAAGTATGCAGAATGCTACGAACAGTTTAGGGTATAAAACCCTGCAGTCGTTTCAAAAGAACATAAGAAATGCTAGACAAAAAAAAACAAGGTCCATCTAGTTCGCCTTCCTGGGGGTCACATGCACCTGTCCCGAACTACCTATGTGCTGTATCCCATAATGTTATTTCCTAAAAGAAAACTATATAATCTGTTTGGAGGAATCAACATTTCCTGCTTGAACCGTCTCCTAGGGAGCCTGTTCCACAGGTTCACTATTCGTTCACTGAAATAGTGTTTGCGTAGATTCATTCAGAATTTATCCCCTTCAATCGCTGGCCGTGTCCTCTGGTTTTACTGTTCTGGGACAAGTTGAAACAGCTGTCATGATCTATGTTGTTTTGCTCCTTTAGAATCCTCCCTCAATCCCTCTGCCTTGCCCCTTCCCCACTTTCAAATCCCGCCTAAAGACCTTTTTTGGTCGTGCTTACTGTTATCTCCCCCCTCCCTCTCCCACTCCTCTGGGTCAGATTCCACCACTGTTAAGTGCTCCGGGATGCTATCCCGCGTAAAGGGCGCTCTATAAATGCACGTTGTTGTTGTTACCTTCCACCAGGCCCATGCCCAGTTCCCCAGGAAGGAACCTCTGATCGGGAGTCAGCCCCACGTACATTCGGGACTTGATCTTCTCAATGTGCTCGGCGTGAGTGGCGTCAGTGCCTGCGGAGAGGAGCAGCCAATCAGCATCATCACCTATCTCACCACTGAACCATCTCAACACTTTTACTAAATAAAACCGATTCACAATGTTAGTTAGCTCGGCAAATGTGGCAGCTAATCTGTCCCAGCGACAACTCGGAAACAATGAGACATGTAGAGGAGTAACTTGGAATCTGGGGGTGAATTTGGAATGAGAGGGAATTACAGACTGAAACACCCCGAATTTTTTTTTTTTTTAAAAATAGCAACAAATAAAATTACACCGACATCTCTCACTCTCAAGTCACTGCGCTCTGGCCTCTCCCACCCTCTGCCACAGCTGTACGGCCACTTACCGATCCCGTGTTTCTCCATCAGAGCGATGAGGTCCGCCTCAGTGAGTAACTGCGGGGGACTGGTCTCTCCATCCACCATCTCGATGGTGCTGGGCTGGAACGTGGCGCCGCTCTCGTACACCGGGATAACCTGCAGCAGACACCCCCAGGGCTTCAGCACTGGTGCAGATCAGCCCCTCCTCCTCTCCCCTATTCCCCCTCCTCCCCCACCCTCAGAATTCCATCAGTATCCCCTGCTCCCAACAGCAACCAACCAGGAATTTACCCCTTACTTAGCAGTTACGAGACCGCCAACAAGAGCCAGAGTTAATGCCTCCCCTTGCCCCACTTCTACATACACACACTCCCCCTCCCCCCTCACACATACACAATCTCTCTCCCCCACCACACACAATCCTCTTCCCCACAGACACACAATCCTCTCCCACCCCCACACACACATCTCCTTGATTTTTAAATCCCTCTTCCCCACTGATATTTGCGGTGTGATCCAGCTCTGTGAAGCTCTCCTCACATTGTTTGATCATCTCTCTACGGCCCAATGGCTATCGGAGAGTTTAACGGGTGTGAGCTAGATAGCAAGGCAAAGACAGAAAACACCAGACACACACACAGTTACACGCACAGACACCTGCACCCCAACACACACACTCTCACACAACCACCCAAACGCACACACACAGTGAACAATTCACACTGTGGCCAAAAACATAGCTTTTTAAGCACTAGTTTCTCCCCGGGAGGTATTGTGCCTGGGTACGTACCTTGGCGTTCCACTTATCATAGGGATAAACCTCCAGATAGTTGCGAGCAATGATCATCAGCCCATGAGCCACAAACAGCTCGTCCGCGATCCTGATCTCCACCGTAGTCTCTTGGCCCTGGGCGTCCTGTGAGCAGCACGCCAGGAAGTGACGCACAACAAACTCATAGATACGCTGCTCGTTTCCCTACCGCACGGCAAAGAGGGAGACACACAGACTCAATGCCAGCACAGGCTGCTCGCCCCAATGTGTCTCTGTCCCCGCTGGAGCTCTCTACTCTAACTCCATTCCCTGCTCTCTCTTTCCCCATTGTGTCTGTGCTGGTGCTCACTCCCCCACTGGAGCTCTGTACTCTAACCCTATTCCCCTTTCAACTCCAACAGCCATTTGTAGAAAAGTAGCCCTGGTGATAACAGTATGTAAAATAATATTCTTCAAATCTCTCCCCTGGTGGTTCATAGCCGTCTACCCCATAAAGCCAGTCACTTGCATTAGCTGCCCACCCCCACACCCCCACATACACACAGAACAGTGTACCTGCAGGTTGTTGGTGTACTTGGTGGGGTGGATGGGGGGATGGGCCTGATCTGTCTTGCTCCCGTTGCGGGGTGTCGGCCCACCTCGGTCCAGGATACCCTGAGCAAAACCACCCCAGCGAGGGTCCGGGGTCTGCAGCTGCACCAGCCCAGACAGGTTCAGATCTTTAGGGAAGATGTTAGTCTCTGTGCGAGGATAACTGATGTAACTGCAGAGACACAGACACACAGATACACAGAGAGACAGACAGATAGAGACAGATGAGAATGTTTAGAATGATTTCCTACTTCACAACTAATTTAAGAATAAAAAATACATTTGAGACCCTCATAACAGATTCTGTCGGGATAGATTATGAAAGATTAGTCTCCGCTGGTTGATAGAGAGGTAACTCGTGGCCTTAAACTCTGTGCCAGTTACTGAGCGTGACACGAGGAGTGAGTCAGTGCTTGGCGGGCCTATGCCCAGAACTACCTTATCCCTCACACCTAAAGCAGTGTTACACTGTGCTTAGCCAGCACTTACAGAGGCCTTCTTACCCCTGTGTGTACAGCTTCTCAGCCACTCGCATGGTTTCCTTGGCGTTTATCCTCAGTTTCCGCGAGGCCAGCTTCTCAAATTCCTGTTTGGGGAAAATACCATTAGAATTGGTTGCCTCTAAACGCAATCCTAAACACATTAAGCAGCGAGAGCCCAGCTCAGGGTCGTACCACGGTGTCGAGGGGTAAAGGTCGCCACTTGCTCTTCGGTTTACTGAAAACATCCAGCACTGTCGCTACAGGATCCTGTAACACAGAAACACAGACTTACAGAAGCCGCCACAACATAACACTCGCGGATATTTACACATACATGTGTTGACACACACACATGCACACAGAGGCGCTTACACACACACATGCACATTAACACACGTGTTAACATACACATGCACACACAATTTTCACATTTTCCTGTTTTCCACTACTACATTTGTAAAGTGATTTGAGACCTTCCTACAAGTTGCTGTTTTGGGATTAAACTGTTACTCCAAACATCAGTGACTGTAATCCACTCTCCACTCTCCCACCCACACCAGCTTAGCCGGCCCACAGTCTCCCTCAGGTGCTGAGGGAAGGCTCAGGAACAGTTGCTCACCTCCATGCAGATCTGGTAAAGCACCAGGCACGCCGTGTGATTGAAGAGTCGATTTCGCTTCCAGTTAAATTCCACGCTGGAATCATCCTTCTCGTGAGTAACTGCGAGACAGAAACACCAGCAATAATTCAGCTTGAAATAAAGTGAATAACTCCACCAACACAGGCTGAGCACTGAGAGCTGTGAAAGGGAAGAAGCCACGGACTTTAACTGCGAGGAACCTGCATCCCTGAGGAACTGAACAACACAACGTGTTCACCCGGAAGGGAACGGAGTGATTCACTGTCACACTGGGAGAGGAGCACTGAGCACTTGCGATCTAACAAGGAGATGAATAGAGAACGGGGTTTGGATAATGAGCCATGTTGGTAAGTTGAGGTTCAGGAAGACAGGACAAGAGAATAGCGGGAGATTCATAGCCAAACAACAGCATATTACATTTACCGAGCGCCTTTCATGTCGAGAGGACTTCCCAAGGCGCTGGACAGTCAGGGATTTGGACCCGAACTGGGGGTTGGGATCAGGAGGGGTGGAGGGCAGGGTGGGTGGGAGTATGAAGTTGACCGAAGGTACGGTCGAAGAGGAAGATTTTGAGTCGTGCCTTGAAGGAAGCAAGGGAGAGAGCAAGGCGAAGGGAATGTGGGATGGAGTTCCAGAGAGTGGGGACAGAGAGGCTGAAGGCCCGACCGCCAATGGTGAACCGGGCCGGGTGGGGGACGTGAAGCAGGCCAGAGCCCGCTGAGCAGAGTTGGCGGACAGGTTGATATGGCAGTTTTCACCACACGGCCTTGCTTTGTCGCACATGTACCTTTAATCTTGTAGAAGGGCTCGGGGATGAAGGCCTGGATGGCTTTGAACCTCTCCACCACGAAGCCTAACGTGGGGAACTGGCAGCTGCCGTAGCTGATGACCTGGTTTGACAGCACGTTGGGGAAGATTTTCTGGAGGCGCAAGGTCTGAAACCTGGTGAACGAAGCCCCTGCTCACAAAAGAGAGAAAACGCGGCTCGTCATATTCAAAGAAAGATTATTCTCAATCAAGAGACAACTTAAATGTAACCAGCACTTTTCACCTAAACACCTTGAGGCTCCTTTACAGTGAAACAATTAGAAGTTAAGTGAATGCTGGAGCAAAACACGTCCATCAACCTGCAGCATGGCGGTCAGCAGCCAGTTATCTCAATACGGTTTCCTCACTCAGCACAAACTTCCCTGAATCCTGCTCACTTTTGTGGACGAAGATGCCTTTCTGGAGCCATTTCGTTTTTCTCCTTTTTTTACGTACCTCTCACTCCTGGCTCCTCCTGAAATCGGTGCCCCTTACCCTCCCCCATCCAGTTCTTCCCCTGTTTCAGTCGCCTTTAAACTATCCCAACCTGTCTGTACCAGCGCTGAGGGCTCTTACCGATTCTCAGGTCCAGCTCTTGTCTGACTTCCACAGCATCACTGATGTTCTGATCAGGCTCCAGCAGGTTCTCGCAAGCATTCCTGATGGAGCGAGGCGTGATCTCCGAGAAACGAGCTCTCAGCACCTGCAGATTGGGCTTCACTGCCCACACAAGGGACAGGAATATTAGCAAGAGAAGCTCCGAGGGATGTCAGCATGGGGAATTCATTACCACAATTTGACTATATAGAGGCCCGATCAATAGAATCATTTAAAAGGGATCTGGATAAGCAGCACAAACAATAATAGTTATGGGGAAAGAGCCGGAAAGTGGGATTAATAACAAACTGATAATAAGGAGAGTTACAGCAACAACAAATTGCATTTAGATAGCACCTCTCACACAGGGTAGCGTCCCAGAGCAGTGGCACTGATACAGTGTTTCCAGGTCAGTGTGATTGTCTTCCAATAAATTATTTCACTCGAAAAAACATCAACAGCTCTCACTCATATCATGTTGTCTCAGGTGGTAACACTCTTGCCCCCAGGTCAGAAGATTACGAATTCAAACCCACGTCAGGACTTGAACTCAGTGTAACCTGACACTCAGCACAGTATTTGGGCGTGCTGCTGCCTTCTTTATTCAAACTGCTCTCATAACATTTTGTTTTAACGCACGCACCTGCCTTACAAACATGAATGACTTCGAAGCCGATGTTCTCTCCTTCGCGATCGCAGTCTGTCCAAATAATGAGAGCCTGACACCAGTGCACCTCCCGCTCCAGGGTTCTCTGTAAAACAGCAGCATTGTCCCGCCAACAATGGCATAAATATTGCCGGCCTGCGTTATGTAATATCCCATCCTCTGCCTGGACTCTCGTCACCCGCTCAGGATCCCTATTGCACTGTCGAAAGTCATAAATACCCCACATGTACAAAGATAAACCTCACATATCAGATAGCAGTTAAACTACTGAAAGATCCTCCCGCGCCATATAGCTTAGTCCTGCAATACATTAACCCATTAAGCAGCCCTCGGGTCCCCCCCCCCCCCCACACTCAGAATAATCCTCAAAATATCCAAATCAGATGCAATTAAACAGAAAATGCACCAAAAAAAAAACCCGACTGCAGACTTCTCAAACCCTACCCCTTGCCCTTACAGCCTATCTCCCCAGAGTCTTGCCTTAATATCCACATATTTTTCGGGGCAGTACTTCTCCACCTCAGCATCAAAGAGGGACACAGGGTTGCAGCTGTACCTGCGCAGCAAAACCAAAGCAAAATCAATCAATGAGAAGCACAACTACTGAACAACCAATGGGAATAAACAGGATCAGAAGGAAACACTCAGTCATTAGCCTTTCTGACAATAAAGTTTGATAACTCTTGAAAGTTTCTAAAAACAAAAAAACTTACCATTTCTGAAAAGGTGCTTTGAACTCTAACTCGAGCAGGTGACCGGAGACAGAGGTCATCACCATTTTAATATTCTACAGGAGCAGAAAAGAGGGGAAGAGATGAACAAAACCGATCACCTCAAAACGCAAGATCCAGTGAGATTCAATCTGTGTAATATTTATTAATCGCATGGTTTTTGGTTTACAAGTACTGTGTATGTGAGGCTGACAGGATGGAGATTACCTCACACCCTTCCCACTCAGCCCTGTGATCCAGAAAGTGGGGGGAAAAAACAATATCTACTTTTCCAAATGCTTCGATCAAATCCTCCCAAATGTAAAATTACCATTACAAATACATACCTGACCAAACAGATTATACTCATATTCATAAATCTTGTTAAACTTTGAGAATCCTTCTCTCTGTTAAAAAAAACAAAGACACAGAAATTACTGGGATGCCAGAAGCAGAGAGTAGATAAGATGTCGGTGTTGGTCTGTCAAGGAGGGGATCGGAGGCTATACTATTCATTCCTCAACATCTTTATTCATGTAAATTGTGTCATGAATTTGGGTTCTGTCGGCCAGTTATTCAGGTTGATGGTAGGGTCGGGTGGACATTAAACAACAACAAGATTCCATTTAAAGAGCGCCTTTCATGTCGGGAGGACGTCCCAAAGCGGGGGGGGAAATGGTCAGGGTGAGGGGAGGGAATGGGGGAGTGCAGCGCTGGGGGAGGAGGAGGGGGGTGAGGAGGAGGGGGGAGAAGAGGAGGGGGTGAGGAGGAGGGGGGGTGAGGAGGGGGGTGAGGAGGAGGGGGGTGAGGAGGAGGGGGTGAGGAGGAGGGGGGTGAGAGGGGGTGAGGGGGGGAGGAGGAGGGGGGTGAGGGGGGGGGGGGAGGGGGTGAGGGGGGGTGGGGGGGTGAGGGGGGAGGAGGAGGGGGTGAGGGGGGTGGGGGGGTGAGGGGGGAGGAGGAGGGGGGTGAGGGGGGGGGGGGTGAGGGGGGAGGAGGAGGAGGGGGTGAGGGGGGGTGAGGGGGAGTGAGGGGGGAGGAGGAGGGGGGTGAGGGGGGGAGGAGGAGTGAGGGGGGGAGGAGGAGGGGGGTGAGGGGTGGGGGGGAGAGAGTGCAGTGAACGCCGTGTTGTGGCGCCGGGGTTCCGGGCCGCTCACCCTCCGGCACCTGCCGCCAGACAGGATGTCGGCGATGCCTTTCGCCGCGTCGTTCTTCTCGGCCACGCACAGCACCTGCCGCGCCTGCAGCCGGCGGCGGCTCATGGCGACGGCCTCGCCGCTCAGACACCGCCTCAGCAGCGAGGTCATCCCTAGCCGAGCCCGGGGCTGCTGCCGCCGCCACCACCGGGCTCCCCGGCCCAGCGCCGGACACCCTGAGCCGCCATTCACACCCGACTGCGCGCCATTTCCACACCGGCCTCTGCCGTATTCCGGATCGAAGCTGTCGTAAACTCCAACCGTCTCCTAGCAACAGGCCCGCGGGCGGGGGGCGGGGCGGTGGGCGGGGTCAGACGTGTCAATCATTCGGAGTGACAGGCTCTCCCTGCTGTGGCGCCTCCATTTAATAAATCTTTGCCTGTAACCATCCAAACGTCTCACAGGGACGTTCACAGGATTCACCGTACGGTGTAGTGACTGTGCGTTTTGTGGGGCGAACCAAACAGCCGCGAAGTGAGCGGCCAAGATCTTTAATGTCGCGCACAGCGGGAAGTTCCCAGCGTCTGCCCTGAGTTAGGCGATGGCTCGGGTTTAGGCATCGGGCTCCGGCCTCAGTGGGTGACATTCTTGACTCTGGGACTTGAGCTCACAGCTCCAGCTTCACTCCGGCACTGCATCGCCTTGGATTGGAGGTGTCCTCCTTTGTCAAACCGGTGCCCTGTCTGCCTGTCAAACGTCCTCTTAAAAACCTGAAGATCTTCCACTTTGACCGCGCCTACGGTCACCTCCCCCTCCCCTCCCCTCCCCCCCAACCCCGGCTCAGCGTCGTGTTCCGCCACTGTCAAGCGCTCTGGGACACTACCCTGCGTGAGGGGTGCTATGTAAATGCAAGTTGTTGTTGTTATTTACCCTGTGACAGAATCCCAAAAGCGAAGCGGTTTTTGATGCTTGGAGGCTATTGGGAGTGGGATTGAAATTGTGGAGTCCTGTAGCTCAGGGGTTAGAGCACTCGCTTTGCAAGTGAGAGACCTGAGTTCAATTCCAGGCAGAGGGCGAAACCTCGGACAAGTTTCCTTACTCCACACAGAGCCTAATAATAATCCCTCCAAAAAAAACCAAAACAATAATAAATTGGTCATTTTCAATCAACGACTGTTTGTGGGACATTGCTGTGTGCAATTGGCCGCCGCGTTCACCCACAAATATACAGTCAATTCACTTTACAGTGTGTTCTGTGAAGCGCTTTGGGACGTCCTCCCGACGTGAAAAGCGCTATATCAAATGCAAGGATTATTAGTATTAGTATTACCTGCCCCCCCCCCCACTATATATTTATATGTAAATATAAATAAATATATTTATTATTTATTGTAAATAATAAGTATATTTGTGGTGTTGGGTGGGTGGGGAGCAGTTCTCCATTAATTGGCCTCATTCTTCAATTAGCTTCACTGTTGGGCATAAAATTACGTGTCACCGGGAGCCAAAGGCAACCGTACATACTCCCCGTGACATGACACCCGACGGCGGGGGGGGGGAGGAATTGCGTGGCGAACAGCGAGCGGGAGCTGTTAATGCGGCGCTGGCGGCTGCGAGGCCGGAACCTCCGCGCGGCGCTGTGTGCGGCGCCGGGGAGCGCGGGGGCGGACGGACCAACCAACCAACCACTCGGTGAGGGAGGAGCGGCCATGGTGGGCGCCGGTGCCGCGCGGCTTCTCGGGGCCTCGCTACGCCAGGCCAGGCCTCTCTGCCAGGCGGTGGTCGGCGGCGGACCGGCGAGGTTGAGGGGTGCGCGGCGGCTGGAGAATAACTGGAGGTCAGTGGCGGGGCCCGAGGCCTGGGGGCCTGGGGCTGTGCTGAGGTTCGGGCTGGGCTGCCTCTGGGGTGGGGGTGGGGGTCGGGGTTAGGGGTTGGGGTGGGGTCGGGGTTAGGGGTTAGGGGTTGGAGATGGGGGTTAGGGGTTGGGGGGGTTGGGGTTTGAGGGGATATGGATCTCTTTGTTCTCGACGTTTGCGAGTCACAGACCCGCCCTTGAGCCCATGACCTTGGGGGGGGGTCCAAGTGCAGATAAAAAACATCCCTCAGAACCCGGAATGGATCGTCGTTTGATATGTTTTCTTGTGTTGGAACTCAATGGGGTGTTCAGTATCGTCAGTTGTTGGGGTTGGGGTTGGGGGTACGAGGCTGTTGGTTGGTGTGAGAACCTTCTTGCCAATAGCTCGCGTGTGTAGTAACTGTATTTTGTAGGCAAACGCAGCAGTCAATGTGTGCACTGCAGTGCCCCACAAATAGCTGCAAATGTAATCGTTAGCTTATCTGGAGGATTGTGGAACACCAGGAGGAACACCCTTCTCTTCTCCACTGGTGACCTGGGATCTTTAAGGTCCATCCGAACTGGCCGACCAGACCTTGTTTATACATCTCAATGAAGTGCTCTTCCCTACCCCCACCAGATGTGAGTGTTACTGAGTGAGCCGCTAGTCTCCCTGACTTTTGGCTCCAATAATAAGAATTTTGCATTTGATATGGTTTGTCATCATGTCGTTGAGATGTCTCAAAGCGCTGCACAGGACATACTGTAATGTGGATTAACTGTGTGTTTTGTGGATGAAACGCATTGTGGGTTTTGTATTATTTCTGTAGGTCCAATACAGCTTTCCTCTCGCCCACTGTGGCAAGGGACATGTCCCTGGGCACATCTCCGTCCAAGGACAGCCACAGTGCACCCGAGCCGATCAAGTTTTCCAGTAGCAAAGCAAGCCACCGTAATTGGACAGTGGACAGATCCATGGGCAGTAGATTCCAGAGGCCCTGGTGGCAGGTTCTCCCCATCAGCCTGTTTGGGATTATATTCTTAACCTGGTGCATCCTGCGGGAAGAGACAAAAATCGACAGAATGCTGGAAAAGGCACTGAAAGACCATCTGCCCGGTTACGAGGATCTGTATGAGGTACCAGAGGAGAGTGAAGATCAGCCTGGTAAAGGAGCATAACCCTGGGGGATATAAAACACGGACCTAGTTTCTATGTCATTGCTGTCTGCAGGAGAATCCAGACATATCCAGTGACCATCAATGAAGTCTGTACACCTCAGAGTGTTTGAATGCCGGCTCTTTACATGAATGTACAATTTGCAAACACTGACTGGCTTGATTGGAGGTGCGTTTTTCATCTGTGACCAGAGAAGAGTGATCCCTCGGCCCTCTCTTTTCCCTTCCTCCGAGTGAAACATTGATGAATAAGGTCATACGTGTAATCTCTTGGTTGATAAATGCTGCGAGAAAGGAAGGGAAGCTTGTGTGCTTGTCCCAATGTCTCACAGGATACTCGTTTCAGCGCTCCAAGACACTACCCTATGTGAAGGCCACGATATAAATACATGTTGTATCTCATGTTACTGAGACGTAAATACGAGAGGCTGTGGATCCCTGCTCTGTTAATCTCAGCTACAGTGGAGTTGGGCTGCAGCTGTGTTCTTGGACTAGCTGGTAAAGAAGTCAACATGATGCTTATAATAATAATGATGATAATTATGATTAGCCCTCCGCCCGTTTCATGTCCCCCGCCTTGCTCACCCCACCATTGGTGGGTGGGCCTTCTGCCACTCTGCCCCCACCCTCTGGAACTCCATCCTGCAGTCCCTCCACCTCGCCCCCTCCCTTGCCTTCTTCAAAACCCATCTCAAGACCCTCCTCTTCGACCGTGCTTTCGGTCACCCTGCTTCCCCACCCCCCGCCGTCCCCAGGTCGGATCCGAAACTCTGACTAGCCAGCAGCTTGGGACATCCTCTCGACGTGAAAGGATGTTGTTGTTGATAATACTTGATGCAGAACCTTTCACATTGGGAGGATATCTCAAAGTGCTTCACAGGGTATGCTTTGAAGTGTAGTGACTGTATTGTAGGAGATTGTGACAGCCAGTTTGCACAGAGCAACCTCTTGCAAACAATTAAGAAGAAAGGCAGATTTTATCAGGATTGTCAGCCAGGACACCGGGAGAGAAACCCTCATCTCTTTTCCAATAGTGCCACGGGATCTTTAATGCCCACCTGAACAGGGCACAGATGGAAGCTCGGTTTAACAGTCTCATTGTCCCTTGTTTGCACAAAGTGAGAAAGGGTTGAATTGTCTCATCGTAATGAAAATGTTGGCAGTTGCGAATGGGGATGTTTAAAAATTTTTATAATAAAATAATTTTAAAGTAAAATAAATTTAAAAAACATCTTTGTGATGAATTGCAAAGATAGTGCGAAGTTTAGATGATTGTGGAGTTCCTCAGTGCATTGTATCAGACCGGGAGTGTTTATCTCTGCGGCTGCCCAGGCAAGCTCTAGCAGCCAACAGGAGGCCATTCAGCCTGTCAAATCTGTGCCACCTTTTCATTGAGAGATCTTTTAATCGCAATGCTCTGCTTATTTTCACAAAGGGAAGAAATAATAATAATCCTTGCATTTGATATAGCGCTTTTCACATCTTCTCGGCGTCTCAAAGCGCTTCACAGAATAGACTGTAAAGTGTTATTAAACATCACTATGGAGCACCCGAACAAATGAATTCTTGTCCTGTAATAATATAATAATCCTTGCATTTGATATAGCGCTTTTTACGTCGGGAGGACGTCCCAAAGCGCTTCACAGAACACTGTAAAGTAAATTGACTGTATATTTGTGGGCGAACGCGGCAGCCAATTGCTCACAGCAATGTCCCACAAACAGTCGTAGATTGAAAATGACCAATTTATTATTGTTTTTGGAGGTATTATTATTAGGCTCTGTGTGGAGTAAGGAAACTTGCCCAAGGTTTCGCCCTGTCTAGAATTGAACTCAGGTCTCTCACTTGCAAAGTGAGTGCTCTAACCACTGAGCTACAGGACTCCTGTACAGGCAAACGCAGCAGCCAATTTGCAGACGATGCAGTGGCTGCACAGTAATGAAGGGGTTTTTTCCCACCCTCATCTTTTAATATACTGCAGTGCCATTTGATCGTTACTGTCCACTTCAACAGGCACCAGGTGGGTCCTTGGCTAAACAAAGTGCCTGGACAACGCTCCCTCCCCCAGCACTGCACCAGAGTGTTGCCCAGTGACCTCAAAGGCCCGATGCGGGGCTCCAACCCACAACTTCCTGACTCAGAGGTGAAAGTGCTGCAACTGAGCCAAGCAGTCCAAACCACCTGACAGTTGCAACAGGCGAGAACAAGGACGAAACAGAAATAAAGAGGCAAGAGACACAGCTGAGGTAGTGGAAAGTTTTATTTACAACCCCCAACCCCAATGAAAGTCACCACAACGCAAAAGGAACACAGTCTACAGCATCTCCTCAAACCCCCCCCCCCCCCACCCACCCCTCCCAGCTGCCCGCATGCAAACTACAGAGTCCGGCCAGTTACAAGTGAAGGGAGCACGGACTGAAGATAAAAATGTATCCAAACCTGAGCCAAGGTGTTTCAAGGAATGTTTTACAAAATGTTTAGCTACTTCCCACACTGAAAACCACTAACTAACAAAAATACAAAATAAAGCTCTGATCTCCACAAGAAGTCAGTTTGCAGTCGATAAAAACCAAAAAAAGTTGTTTTTGTTTTGTTTAAAAAAAGTTTTGTTTTTAAATGTTTCCAAAATACGTTTAAAGTCTCGAAGTGAATGTCCGCCAGCGAGAGAGACGCTAAGCCCGCTCGCCTCGGATCCGCCGTGCCAGCTGGATGTCTTTGGGCATGATGGTCACTCGCTTGGCGTGGATGGCACACAGGTTGGTGTCCTCAAACAGGCCCACCAGGTAGGCCTCGCTCGCCTCCTGCAGGCAAGAGCATGGTGTTATTGGGCACACGCCCTCACTGACACACTCATACAAACACACACACACACACCAGAGGCAGAGCCCCCTCTGATCTCCAGTCAACCCGGTTGTTACAGAGTTGGGATCACCGTGTGCTCTCATTCAAGTCACACGTCAAATACAAACAGGAACAGAATGTCAGAAAGAGACGCTTTGTTCCAGATCAGAGTAAAAACGTTACACCTGAAGCCGAGTCTCCAGTCAGGAAACAAGGTGGCTCTCAACACCCCACTTTCCAGCAGGGGCAAGAATATGAACAGTCAGGACACCCACCACACACCAGGGGAGACACACAGGACTCCACACCTAAAATAGCACTGAACTGGACAGCCCTAACGTGTCTCTCCAATGGGGGTTCCATTTTTCATCACTGTTCCACCTGCTTCCCCTGTACTGAAGTGCAGAGAATATGTGGACAGATGGACTCAGCTGTGACGGGCTCAAGACATTGCGCCACATACAAACCGTCACACAAGAGTGAGACATCCAGCTTTAGCTTTTTCACAACGTTCCATATAAGGCGCTATCTGGGGGCAGAACAAGTGGTGGGGGGGGAAGGGGGAGAAATGTAGGAAGCACAGTCCCACAAGGCTGTAGAGGCGGAATGAATTGGGAGGTTTAACGGGGATCGTTCAGAATGTAGGGGATGTGGAACATGAACAGGCCGAGCGGTAGCTTGTTTACCTGTAAAGCGCCGATGGCAGCGCTCTGAAACCGCAGGTCGGTTTTGAAGTCCTGGGCGATCTCCCTGACCAGGCGCTGGAAGGGCAGCTTACGGATCAGCAGTTCAGTCGACTTCTGGTACCGACGGATCTCCCGGAGGGCAACAGTCCCGGGCCTGTGGCACGATACAAAACATCCATCCAGTTATTGCTTCGCCCAGCTCGCTGATAGTACAACAACTCACAACTGCAAGCGAACCCTCTCAAAAGCAAACAGCTGATTTATTCTCTGAATACATCAAGCAGACGCCATGGCAACTGCACACTGGCTCAGAAACAGCAAAAGGCAACTGATCTGGCCATAGACCCCCATCCCCTTGATTGAAAAGAGCAGCCAGTGGTGTGTACACTAAATACAGCCTCCCCACCCATCGAGATGCTCACCTGTAACGATGGGGCTTCTTCACGCCTCCCGTGGACGGAGCGCTCTTCCTGGCCGCTTTGGTGGCCAGCTGCTTCCTTGGCGCTTTGCCACCAGTGGACTTGCGAGCAGTCTGCTTGGTACGAGCCATTTCAAATCAGGGGCTGCAGCGCACAGACAACACAGTCAGAACAGTTTGTTACACGAAAAGGGACAGCCGCGGGTGGGGGAGGGGGGGGGGTATAATAGTGTCTGTGTGGTGGTGTGTGTGTAGTGTATGTGTAATATTTGAAATGGAAAGAGGGAGGAACAGCCAGTGACTGACAAAGTGCGCTGGGCTTTGCTGCAGTCCACATGGGGAGGCAGCAGCAGCACTGAAGGTGGTGATTCTGAGTCAAGAGACAAAGAGACAAACTGCGGGGACACAACACAGTCAGACTCCCTGCAATGAGAACAGCATCGGTCACTCCAGACTCGTCCTGTCCTCAACCCACCCTCCACCGCCCACACAATCAACACACGACCCCTCATCATGTACACATGCAACCCCCCCCCCCACCATCAACACACTGCACCCACACACCCACCAACAACACATCCAGCCCCCCCCTCCCCCACCACACATCAACACATGCACCCTTCCCCCTACCATCAAAACACGCACACATCCCCACCAACACATGCACCCCACCAACAACACATCCCCAACCCCCCCCCCCCAACAACACCCGATCAACACACACATACACACCCCCATCAACAACACACGCAGTCCCACCCCCACACACACCATCAACAACATATACTCCCCCACCATCAACAACTCAACACACCCATCAATCATCAACATACGTGTCCCCCCTCCCCAAATCAACACCACCATCAACACACACACACACACACACGGGGGGGGAGGGGGGGGGTTGCTCCAGGTGTTGAGTGAGGCGCGCGCTTTTCTCCCCCCCTCATTCACAAAAAACAGTGCAGTGTAAGTAAGCAGCACCGAGTAGCGTGTGAGCGACAGCGGCCACGGCCAATCGACGATCGAGCCCGGGCGCCGCGACCAATGGGAGCGCAGCTTGGGGGCGGGAGCTCGGAGCAGCAGCCTCTCCAATGCTCACAGTGAAATGGCGGCTCCAGAGACACAGAGGGATCAGCCCCACAACAGCCTGCGCCGAAAAACAACCTCAAACGCCGATAATGTCGCCTTAAGCCACCTTAGACCCACAGATTTTTTTTTCCCGCCAGCCAAGCCCGCTTCTCCCTCCCAAATTAAACCCAATCGTGGTCCGGTTTAGCGGCTCAGACAGAGGAAGAGGAACAGGCGAGAGAGAGAGAGAAACCCCGACGTCTCTCTCCAACTCTCTCTCCTCCATTTCTAAAACAACCCGATCACTTTGCAACGGCAGAAAAGCTTCCCTCCCCCCCCCACCCACCACCAAAAAAAACATCTGAACTTCCAATCTTCACTTCCACTTATTTTTCTCCCCTTTTTCCCTTCCTTCCCCCTTTCTCTCCGATCGCCTCTGTCCCTCGCACACAGGCGGAGAGAGGCGGACAAAAAAAAAATCCCCACCCGCCTTTTTTTTATTTCCACCATTACACAACCAGAGAAACACACGTCGTTTTCTTTTTTTTCCCCCCCCCCCCCCAAAAAAAAAAAAAGCCGCGCGGATCAAACCTCGCGGGGAAGGGGGGGGAAGGGATCAAATAGATTATAAAAATACAGTTTAAAAAAAAATCTTAAAACAATACCCGGCGTTGACAGGAGTCTCCCAAGTTGAGTGTTCAGCAGCAGCAGCAGCTCCTCTCTCTCTCTCTCTCTCTGTGTGAGATCAGCCCGAGCAGCAACAACAACAACAACAAAGGCGCTGGAGCCGCGCCTTATACCGTGACGTCACTCCAGGGTCAACGTTCCACAAGCACCTGTCCTTGAAGCCCATTGGCTGCCCGCGGTGTAGCAGTTGTAGTATGCTAATGAGCCGGCCGCCTCCGCCAATCACACGCCGCCTCCCCGCTCGCCGATTGTTGTGGCCATTGATAACCGTTGCGACACACCCACCGTGACTCACACTCACCCACACACACACCCACCGTGACTCACACTCACCCACACACACACACACCGTGACTCACACTCACTCACCCACACACTCACCGTGACTCACACTCACTCACCCACACACACACCCACCGTGACTCACACTCACCCACACACACACTCACCGTGACTCACACTCACCCACACACACACACTCACCGTGACTCACACTCACTCACTCACCCACACACTCACCGTGACTCACACTCACTCACCCCACACACACCCACCGTGACTCACACTCACCCACACACACACTCACTCACCGTGACTCACACTCACCCACACACACACTCACCGTGACTCACACTCACTCACTCACCCACACACTCACCGTGACTCACACTCACCCCCACACACACACACTCACCGTGACTCACACTCACCCACACACACCCACCGTGACTCACACTCACCCACACACACACTCACCGTGACTCACACTCACTCACTCACCCACACACACACTCACCGTGACTCACACTCACCCCCACACACACACTCACCGTGACTCACACACTCACCGTGACTCACACACACTCACCGTGACTCACACTCACCCACACACACCGTGACTCACACTCACCCACACCCACCGTGACTCACACTCACCCACACACACACTCACCGTGACTCACACTCACCCACACACACACTCACCGTGACTCACACTCACCCACACACACACACCCACCGTGACTCACACTCACCCACACACACACTCACCGTGACTCACACTCACCCACACACACACTCACCGTGACTCACACTCACCCACACACACACTCACCGTGACTCACACTCACCCACACACACACTCACCGTGACTCACACTCACTCACCCACACACACACTCACCGTGACTCACACTCACCCACACACACACACTCACCGTGACTCACACTCACCCACACACACACACACTCACCGTGACTCACACTCACCCACACACACACTCACCGTGACTCACACTCACCCACACACACACTCACCGTGACTCACACTCACCCCCACACACACACTCACCGTGACTCACACTCACCCACACACACACTCACCGTGACTCACACTCACCCACACACACACCCACCGTGACTCACTCACCGTGACTCACACTCACCCACACACACACCCATCGTGACTCACACTCACCCACACACACACTCACCCACACACACACACACCTTGACTCACACTCACCCACACACACACCCACCGTGACTCACACTCACCCACACACACACTCACCGTGACTCACACTCACCCACACACACACTCACCGTGACTCACACTCACCCACACACACTCACCCACACACACACCCACCGTGACTCACACTCACCCACACACACACCCACCGTGACTCACACTCACCCACACACACTCACCGTGACTCACACTCACCCACACACACACTCACCGTGACTCACACTCACCCACACACACTCACCGTGACTCACACTCACCCACACACACACTCACCGTGACTCACACTCACCCACACACACTCACCGTGACTCACACTCACCCACTCACACCCACTGTGACTCACACTCACCCACACACTCACTCACTCACACCCACCCACCGTGACTCACTCACCCACACACACACTCACTCACACCCACCGTGACTCACACTCACCCACACACTCACACCCACCGTGACTCACATTCACACACTCACTCACTCACACCCACCGTGACTCACACTCACCCACACACTCACTCACTCACACCCACCGTGACTCACACTCACACACTCACTCACACCCACCGTGACTCACACTCACCCACACACTCACTCACACCCACCGTGACTCACTCACCCACACTCACTCACTCACACCCACAGTGACTCACACTCAGTCACACCCACCGTGACTCACACTCACCCACACACTCACTCACTCGCACCCACCGTGACTCACACTCACACCCACCGTGACTCACACTCACCCACACACTCACTCACATCCACCGTGACTCACACTCACCCACACACTCACTCACACCCACCGTGACTCACACTCACCCACACACTCACACCCACCGCAACTCACCGACACATTCACACCCACCACGAATAACGCCAACCGTGACTCACACTCACTGACACACTCACACACACCACAATCCACACTCACCGACACACGTACCGTGACTCACGTTCACCAACACACTCACACCCACCGCGACTCACGTCCACCGACACACACCCACCGCAACTCACACTCACCGACACACTCATCAAGACTCACACCAACCGTGATTCACATTCACTGACACACTCACACCCACCGCAATCCACACTCACTGACACTCACCGACACACTCACACCCACTGCGACTCACACTCACCGTGATTCATGTTCACCGATACACTCACACCTACCGTGACTTGCACTCACCGACACTCACACCCACCGCGACTCACACCCACTGACACACTCACACCCACAGTGACTCACACTCACCGACACACCAACCGTGACTCATATTCACCCACACATTCACACCCAGTGACTCACACTCACGTGACTCACACTCATTGACACACACGCACAGTTACACTCCCATACTGACACACTCCTTCACTCACGAACGCCTTCACTGATGAACTCACACTCACTCCTTCAGTGACACACACACAGGCTCACACACTTAATTTCCTGTTTCAATAAAGTTCATACAAACAATAAAGTTCAAAACAAAGGGTTTTCCCGACTTTTATTTTTATAACAAACTAATCGTCACATTTAATACAGCGGCTTCCACGTCAGGAGGACGTCTCAAAGCGCTTGGCAGGATTTTATTATAAAGTGTAGTGACTGAGCAGGTTGTTGGCGAACGTGAAAGACGTGATGTCAATGCAAATTGTTATTTATTATTCCCAGGGTCGCACGTCTCGCAATTCACCTCTTTTATTGAAGAAGCGAGCATATGGGGGAGGAGGGAGGGGAGAAAAGGGATGCATTTAGCACCCACGCAGTCGGAAGCAGATCCCGCTGTCAGTTTAAGAAGCTGCTGAACGGACCAGCTGCTCCGGCCAATACCACCGTTTGTCCAGGTTTTTGTTTGAAACCCCCCCCGGGGGAGGGATGGAGGGGGGAGGGGGAGACCCATTGCTGTCAAGTGATTCATTTTGTAATTCAAATTGGGTTTGAAATTTCCACCCGTTCGTTTCTGATGCATTTCCGTCGCTACACAAGAAGCGTGTTTATTATAGTGCGAGTGAGATTCAGTGGATATGTGTAATGCTGCATGTTCCCCCAAGGCACCTCCACCCCCTCCCTCCCTCCTTCCCTCTAATTCCCTCCTTCTCTCCTGCCCCGAGCTGTTTCTGCCCACTGTCAAGCCGATTTCGGGCTGCACTGACACCTACTATGTGATTATCAGGTGAAATACATAACAGTGAGCAGCTCTGAGTGTGAACTCGTGAGTGAGGTACAGCGACTCGCGGGTTCTAAACAAAAATAAAGCGCCGGTCAGCAAGAGGCGGGTGAGGTGGTAACGTGTGTTTTCTGACAGATCAGGAGTGAAGCCGGAGCTCACTGAGACGCAATATTAATCAGTGGAGAATCGACAAGGCGGGAACAAGGGAACAAGACCAGATCTGATTGAAAGCCGAGTGTTTGTTTCTGGGGCCTGGCGCCCACTTCACAGCCAGCAACTTCCTGAAAGATCTTTCATAACAATACACGTCACCTTATTGTAAAGCATCTCAGTGACCAAGAGAACGAATTCACCAGCAGCCACATTCTTACACTCTTTTTTTAATATGAAGCCCACAGTTTAACCAGCAGTAAGAACCCGATTTTTGGTCGATTTGACGGATCGCTTTCCGGGAGTAATAATCCCTCCAAAAATCTATAATCATTTTATCGCTCAATCCACAACTGTTTGTGGGCCACAGTTGTGCAGCAACAACTTGCATTTGTATCGCGGCCCTCACTCGGGAGAGCGTCCCAGAGCGCTTGACACTGCTGGAGCACGACTCCGAGCTGGAGGAAGGTGATCATAGGCACAATCAAATAGGAAGGTCTTCAGGGGCGACCTGAAGATGAGGAAGGTAGAGGCAAGGTGGAGGGAGAAAGGAAGAACATTCCAGAGATTTGGGGCATAGGGGCTGAAAGTGATGATGGAACAGAAGGCACGAGGCAAGTCGAGTGGAGGCAGCGGGTTGTGGGTTGGTGGGTAAGTAGGTTGGAGAGGTAGGGAGGTGCCAGGGCATGAAGGGATTTGAAAATGAGTATTAGAATTTTGAAATCACCCCATTCGGTGATGGGGAGCCAGTGGAGTTTGGTTAAACTGATGTGATGGGGGGGGACGGAGTTTAGTTCAGTTGAGTATGTGGAAGGCGGAGTGCTGGTTCAGCTGGATCCTGTGCTGGGGAGACTGGAAAAGAGGGCATTTGAGAAGTCTAGTCGGGAGGTGATGAATGACGACTGTGTCCAGGGTAAGGTACGGTCAGAGGCAGGCAATGTGGTGGAGGTGGAAGAAGGTGGTCCTGGTCAGGGACCAGATGTGCGGAAGGAAGGACAGCTGTGGCTTGAACCTAACGCCTAGGTTGCGCATTGATTTGGTAAATCTGAGGGATCGGCTGGGGAGATTGAGGAGGTGAGAGCCATAGGACAGAAGAAGTTGATGGGAGCCAATGAGTATTGTTGTGCACAATTGGCTGCTACATTTCACCCACAAAATACAGTCACTACAGTATATATCCTGTGAAACACAAGACATCTCAACAATGTGATAAGGTGTTATATCAAATGCAAGGATTATTATAATAATCATAATCCTAGCATTTGATATAGCGCCTTATCACGTCATTGAGACATCTTAAAGCGCTTCACGGGATAAACTGTAAATTTTGTGGCCAAAACGTGCAGCCAATTTTAATAATAATAATCCTTGCATTTGATACAGCACTTTTCACATCTTCTAGACATCTCAAAGTGCTTCACAGAATAGACCGTAAAGTGAATTGACTGTATATTTGTGGACGAAATGCAGCAGTCAATTGTGCACAGCAGTATCTCAAAAACAGTTGTAGATTGAAATAACCAATTTATTATTATTTTTTTTGAGGGATTATTATCAGGCTTGTGGAGGAAGGAAACTTGCCCAAGGTTTCACCCTACCGGGAATCAAACTCAAATCTCTCACTTGCAAAGCGAGTTCTCTAACCACTGAGCTACAGGACTTTTTTTATTATATTATAGTGACCAAATGCTTAATAGTGAGATTCCATTGTGTAGAGTTAAAGAGGGAATCAGTACTGATTTACTGTTTGTTAAGGGATGGGGCAGGGGAAAATTGGTCCATCCACAGAATCACTGAAAGAGGGAGAGATTTGCTGGAGAGAAGCTACATACATACAGTAGCTGTTTTGTCTCTAATGTTGGGCCTGTGCTTACTGTAGATATGGTCATCCTGGGAAAGATGACCAAAAAACAGCAATACATTTTTAGCTCATTGGACTCCAGCAGTACCCTAATGCATACTCTTGGGTCCCCAAGCCTTGCCTCTTGCCAACCTGCGCCTGATACTCTGTGGAATTAGTTAAGCAGGATGCATCCCTCAAGGGAGAGTGCGCGCATTCCATTCCAACAATCTATTGTGAGTTTCCACGTGTACATGGGATGCGTGGAATTCTCAGTTTGGTTTGGATACTCTTAAGCACGGTGATGGGTTTCCGCATGTGGCTGACCCCCCAAACATTCTCCCAATGTCCTGGCAAACTATTCTCCTGATTCATCAGGCATTCCACCTTAGGCAAGTTTCCTTATTCCACACGCCTGTTTACCTAGCAGTAAGTAGGAACCCGGTTGATTGGCAGATTGCTTTTCCGGGGGTAATAATCCCTTCAAAAAAAATTGGTCACTCAATTCACAACTGTTTGTGGGACACTGCTGTATGCAATTGGCTCCCGCGTTTTTCCCACAAAATATACGGTCAATCCACTTTACAATACATTCTGTAAAGCGTTTTTGAGACGTCTAGAAGACGTGAAAAGTGCTATATCAAATGCAAGGATTATTATTATATTATTATGATATGGTGGGATTTTGCTGTGTCCAACATCGCTGCCGTGTTTGCCACAAAAACAGCTAACAACTTGACGATAATTAGTGTCAAGTGCTTTTGAGATGTTTCAAATGTGATAAGACTCGGAAATACGAATTCTTCTTTCTATTCTGTTTGTTGATGCTGTTGTTGTATTCTGTTTGTGGCCACACGGTGGCAATCGGATGCCTCGAGGTGTTAGTACACACTAGAAGCCACCAGAGGGCACCATCAGCTGATGTCCTGGTGACAGAGGCCGGCACTGCAGGCGGGAGAAAGGGGAGAATATGGAGGGGAGAATATGGAAGGGGTGGAAACGACCAAAAGATTAAAATTAAATACATTTGGAGTCCTGTAGCTCAGTGGTTAGAACACTCACCTTGCAAGCGAGAGATCTGGGTTCGATTCCTTGCAGGGCGAAACCTTGGGCAAGTTTCCTTATTCCACACACCCAATAATAATCCTTCAAGGAAAAAAAACACTAATAAATTGGTCACTTCAATCCACTGTTTGTGGGGACACTGCTGTACGCAATTGGCCGCCACGTTTCGCCCACAAATATACAGTCAATTCACTTTACAGTATATTCTGTGAAGCGCTTTAAGACATCTAGAAGACTTGAAAAGCGCTGTATCAAATGCAAGGATTATTATTTATTTATATAACATGAAATATTCATTTTTATTTCTCAGAAAAAGTGCAGAGTGGCATCGACATGTTATGGCAAGTTTGAGCCACCAGAGGCACACAGATGAGGCACAGTTGAGGGAGCGACAACAACAAAATTACATTTGTATCGCGCCTTTCATGTCGGGAGGATGTCCCAAGGCACTGGAGAGTCAGTGTTTTGGCAGTTGCTTATAGAGTGATTTGGCAATGTATCTTGTCAAAACATCACAAAGTGCTTCACAGGAATTTAACTGTGTAGTGACTGCATTTTTTTTACCTCATGGCTTTATGAGGGGCAGTGCTGTGTGCAAATTGGCAGCTGTGTTCATCTATAAAGGTACCAGCTACTTCAATTGACAGTAATTCCCGTGAAGCGCTTTGATACGTGCCCCTGACATGAAGGGGCATCAAATCCAAGAATCACTATTATTTTATTTTGTCGGCTCAGCCAATTTGAGCGCAGCAACGGCCCACAAAGAGCCACGAAGCAAGTGACCGACGTACCTGCGCATCGTGAGAAACTTCTCTTTTTGAACAATGTCACGGGATCTTTGAGTTCCACCTGAACAGCAGATGGGGACCTTGTTCTAACTTCTTATCCAAAGGGCGGAACTTCCGACAATGCAGCGCTACACCCAGCACTACCCTGGAGTATCAGATTAGATGGCAAACTCAAGTCCGACATGGGGGGGGGGTGGTGTGGGGGGCTTGAACCCACCGCCCAAGAAGCGAGAATGCTCCCCACTGAAGCAATCTGACATCAGACAGCTTCAATGGAGGAACCGGCGCCAATCACGTTTGGCCAAACAATCTCCTTCGGCGGTGTTTTAAATGTAAATAAATCTTCCTTGGGAGGGAGGGAGGGAGGGAGGGCGCTGTATAAATGCAAGTTGTTGTTGTTGTTGTTGGATGCACTGTCTGTGTAGGTGTCGCTTTAAGGGTAGGCCTGGCTTCCCGCGCACGCGCAGTCCACCCCGAACCCACTTGCTCAGCGCTCCCCTTTTCCGCGCAGGCGCAGAGGTCCCTCCCCCGCCTCTTCCACCCCCCCTCCCCTCCGCGCAGGCGCGGTCACCCCTTCATCCTCCACTCCTCCCCCCCCCACCCTCCCTCGGCGCAGGCGCAGTCACCCACTCCTTCTCGCGCCCCCCCCCTTCACTTCGCGCAGGCGCAGTTCATTGTTTTGACTAAAAAATGCCGTCGGTTTCGAAAGCGGCGACTGGCGCTTCTCCTCAGACGGAGAAACCGTCTCACTACACGTAAGTGCCGAGCGCGGCGGCGGGCCCGGGCCCGGCCGGGAGCTCGGGAGTAGCGGCGCCTTCCCGGCGACAGATTAAAAAAGGAAAAGAAAAGGGAGCGGGAAGGAAGGAAGGAGGGGGCTCCGGGGGGGGAGGAGGAGGAGGCGGCGCGTGTGCGGCGGGCGGGTAAAGCCCAGCTCGCGGCAGCTCTTTTACCTCAGGAGCCGCCGAGCCTCTTCCACAGGGCCCGCCTCGGCTCTCCCGCCAGTAAGTCACCGCTATGTGTAATGTGTATTGAGATGTTTTATTGTCGTCCCCTCCTCCTCCCCCGCAGATACCTGAAGGAGTTCCGGACGGAGCAGTGCCCGTTGTTCCTGCAGCACAAGTGCGCGCAGCACAGGCCCTTCACTTGCTTTCATTGGCATTTCCTCAACCAGAGGCGCAGGAGACCCATCAGGAGGCGGGACGGTACCTTCAACTACAGCCCGGACGTTTATTGCACCAAATACGACGAGACGACGGGGATATGTCCGGACGGGGATGAGTAAGTTAGTGGGAAGGTGGGGAGCGATGGGGCATTTTTTTTTTCCTTTCTTCCTCCCTCTCTCTTCCTCTTTCCCCTCCTCCAACATCAGAAAAAAAATTCTCTTGGAGCCAGTGCGAGGAAGAGGAGGAATGGCAGTATTTGCAAAGTGAGCGGGAGATGGAGAGAGAAACATACCCGCCCCCTGCGTGTTGTGTTGTAGTTCAGCTGCTTGTGTATGTGGTGTGTGTGTGTGTGTGTGTGTATCTGGGGCAAGTTCTTAGTGAAGTCGTTGGTTGGCGATATAGAGCCAGCAGTGCAGAAGGCTAGGAATCGGCAGCAGGAATGTTTTATCCCACCCCATCCTCTTTCTCTGTCCGTTTCGGGAGAGGAGGTACTTTTAATTGTTTTGTAAGTCATTGAATCGATAAGAGAATGGACTCGGGTTTGTTGCTCAGTTCTTTGTGGTGGCGACGGAGTTTTCCCCTCAGAACAAATAAAATCGAGGAACCGATCTCAAGATTGCTTCTCTTTGACCGAGCCTTCAGCTCCCCTCTCGACTCTCTTCCCACTCCTCGCTCCCTCCCTTCCCTCCCCTCACCCTGACCATTTCCCCCTCCTCGTCCTCGCTCCCTCCCTCCCCTCTCCTCACCCTGACCATTTCCCCCCTCCTCGCTCCCTCCCTTCCCTCACCCTGACCATTTCCCCACTGCTCGGGTCATGACCCAACTGTGCAGCGCCTTGGGACGTCCTCCTGACGTGAAAGGCGCTCTATAAATGGAATCTTGTTGTTGTTGTTGTTTTGCAATACTTTGTAATTAATGGTTTCTTTTGTGTGCGGAAATGCAGATTTACTTTTATAGAATCACCCAGTGATCGCGATGTTGTGAATTTCAGACGTACACAAATACTGCTCGAGTATCTGTGTGGATTAGGAGAAGTTTGTTTGAGGTTTCGGAATTAAAAAAAATTGTTATGCATGTGAAAGTGTTGTTCATGTCTTCAGACTTATCAACTGCAAAATTGAACGCTGATTCCTTGTACCTAGTTTCAGCAATACACTTTTGACGGTTTGTTGGGCAGGTTGCCTCTTACTTTTTAGGGTGACATGTTTTTGATCCATGCTGATCTGAAGCACAGTCTCTGTTCCATTCTCAGACTGTTAACTTAAAAGTGCAATATTCAGTTGGTTTGATTCAACTTGCTTGACTGACATTTTGATCTCTGAGGATATATGTGCAGAATACTTTCTTGTCATAGGCTTGAGATGTTCTTTTTGGTTTAAAAAGTATATAAGTTTAAGCTGTTGAAATGAGCTCCTGCTCCTCAATTGGTATGGTCTATGTGTCTGTTTCTTAGGATCACTTTATTGTATTTTGGAATTAAATGGTTTTTGTGCTTGTTGATTTTAATTTCTCTCCAGAAGTGATTGTGGCAATTTGGCAGCAGAAACAGCAGTGTGGAAACATTACACTGTTATTGATGTGACGTTTTGCATTGTCAAGTCGTCAATTTTAGTAAAAAATCCTTGGTCTTCCTGCTGGTTATTGAGTTTTGAGACCAGAAGCAGCGATGTTTAGTTGCTTTCAAAGTGGAAGTTGCATCTTTCTCTCCCCACCCCCCCCCCCACCCACGAAAGGTATTTTGGGTACTTTACTGAGCTTTAGCAATAGGCTGTAATGTTTCCACTAATTCTGGTACATTTAAGTAGCCAACATGATTTCTTAGAGGATGGAAAGTTTGGGAAAATTTAATTTGTGATTGGTTGCAGCTTCAGTAGTTTTTTCGGTAATATTAGATGGATTTTTCTTGCAGTTTTGGCCAGATCAATCTATTAATTTGAGAAACCGAATATGAAAATGACCAAAAATGATGACATGACTTTCTTTGTAACAAGGTGACATTTTCTCATCAGCATCTTGCAGATTTTCCCACAGAGTAAGGTGGTGTAGATTAACCTCTTACAGTAAATTAAGAAGTGCTAATTTCAAAGAGTTGGTGTAAGTTTAATTGTGTTCCCCAGAGGTCTAGTGAGTTAATGCACTGCCATATACACCAGATGCTTGCAATTCTATTCAGTGCTGAGTTAACTGATTTCAACCAGGCAACAGTTTGGGGGCCTCATGTGGCTTCAGTGCCCCCTGGGCTAGGGAGGAGAAAATTAGCCAGGTTTCTTGCTCTTGATTTCTATTTCTATTGGAAGGCACATGCATCAGTGTGGGCATTGAATGAGGAGGATGTCAGGTTCAGATGTGGTGTCATCATTGTGGTTAAAGTCTACCAACCCCCTGTCGGGGCTCACATATGAATAATGGGCACTGGGTGAGGTATTGTGCTTGTAGGGAGGTCAATGCTTGTACTGTGAGACACTACTCTGCATGAAGGCCGCTATATAAAAGCAAGTTGTTGTTGTGCAATTTTGAAACCTACAAAGAAAATAAAATTGACTTTGGGAGGATAGGAAATTGATGGAGTGAATTGCAACAAGCTGAAATTTCAGCACACAGTTAATAGTAATCATTACATTTGATATAGCACCTTATCATGTCTCAAAGTGCTTCACCAGATTTAACAGAATAGAATTGCAACCTTCTGGTGGCCCCCTAACTGCTGCCTGGTTGAAATCAGTTAACTCGGCACTGAATAGAATTGCAAGCGTCTGGTGTATACGGCAGTGCATTAACTCACTGGGCCTCTGGGGAACACAATTACATTTTTCACAGAAGTTTACTTTACAGTGTAGTGACTATTTGTAGGTGAATGTTCTAACACATCTAACTTTCTTACTTGGTTATACTTTTTTTTAAAAAAGCATTTAATTCACAATAAGGTGCCATATCAAATGCAATTATTATTAAAACCATGGTAAATTTATGTCATTTTGACTGCTGGATACATCAATTTTTTTAATAATTTTATATCTGAGAAGTGGTAATGTACCTGAAGGTTTCCAAGAGTGAAAATGAGAGGTTGATAACTATCAGCACAATTCTTGAGTATAGATTAGTCTTGAAAAATCATTTGCTGGTATTTTGTTCCATGTTTGTGTATCTGTATGTGTGTGTAGCTTTGGTCTTGTTGGTTACTGATACACTTGGATAAAGTGGGGATTCTTAGTCTGGGACAATTTAAGGGTTTTAAAGTCCGTTAAAGCTCCCGTAATTAATGGTGGGTTGGGTCACTGAATGAAAAACTAGATTGAGGTAGAAGCGAGTTGAGTGTTTATCAGTGAAGAGTGTTCAACCTGGATGCCATGGCTACAGATTTATTGTAGAATCTGTTAATGTTGAGAAAGGATAGGATCAGTGCTTTCTATCCCCTCCCATGGATATGCAGTTTATTCAACATATTCAGAATGACCATTTAGTACAGTTCTTTCTGGAAAGGAGGGGGAGAACCAAAACAAATATAATTGGAACAGAAATGGTGAGAGAAATGTTTAACTTTCTTTTCCCCTTTCCCTAAGCTTGTAAATGCTGAAATAAACAAAATCTTTGGCTCTAAAGTTCTTTTATGAGATATCAGTTTGTTCTGTGAGAATGTTGACTGAGGTTTTATGTAACATGACACCAAATATCATTCACTTTAAACCAGGAAGTTTTTCTTGGAAGCGTGATGTAAATCTAAAAGAAAACTTGGAATGTTACATTTTTTTCACTAGCTGATGTTGGAATGTGTTGTGCACTGGTGTTGATTATAACTTTGATATTGAAGCATAATGTTAATTTTTTAACTTCCAGCCCTCTCTCTAAAAGCCACTGTTGAAATATTTACTGCTTTATTCACAGAACAATAATAAAAGATTAATTTTAAGATTTTATCATCTTTCTCTAGCAATTTTATTATGTGGCCTTTAATTGCTTTTCCTGTCTAGTGTTGTAAAGTCAGAAATTATTCTATCTTCTTTAAGGGGGGGGAGGAATGCAGAAAAATCTCCCTTAGAAGCTGGCTGCAGAGTATAAAAGTGTTGTCATAATTTGTCCTCTGGTATCTTTTAAAATCAGGTGGAAATGAGACCTATTCCAACTTGCAGCTCATTTTCACGATGGTTGATCCTCGTGGATTGTAGTGGAATACATTTATTTAGATTTTACTGAATGTTTTATCTTCTACTGAACAGTAGAACCGGAGGACACGGCCTGCAATTGAAGGGGGTAAATTAAGAACAAATCTGCGGAAACATTACTTCAGTGAGTAGTAAATTTATGGAACAGGCTCCCTAAGGAGATAGACGGTGGAAGTGTTGTTTGTTTCAAGAACAAATTAGATAGATTTCTGCCAGAAAATAATATCTTAGGATACAGTATATAATTTAGAACATGACTTGTCAAGTGACTGCCAGGATGGTGGAAAGCGAACTATATGGACCTTGGTCTTCTTTTGTCAGCAATTTTTATGTTCTTATGACTATATTGTGTAGTATTCGGTCTCCTAGATAAGGACCAGTATGTACAAATGAATATGAGGATTGTAAAGATTATTGAGGTTTATGGAATTAAGCCATTTGCCTACAGATACAGTCACTACGCTTTATGGTAAAATCCTGGTGAAGTCCTTTGAGGCATAAGAATTGCTAGACAAAAGAAGACCAGGTTCCATCAGTTTGCAATTTTTTTATTTGTTTTTTTGTAAAAATGCAAGTGCAACTGTACTTATGGCACCCATCCATAATTAACATTTTCATTAGAAAGCTTTTGGATTGTAAAGGATTAATGTCTCAAATGTACTTTTGTATGTCTTAATTTTTTTCCCCTCAAAAGAGTCCTCTACTTCTGGATCACCCTGTAGCAATGTGGACTAATTATGGCCTAATTTAGCTAATTGTGGCATTGCCCGTTTGTTGGGAAGACCTGAATTATGATATAGGTGCATAAAATGTATAGGTAGAAAACCAACACCCAGAGCCTTGGGCAAACATAGCTGAGACTTCAGGTGAGCTTGAGTCAGAATTGTTGTCCAGCCCCTTTTGCTCTGAGGTCCAGAGAAACTTTTAAGTGACTATTGCTCCATTCTATTTCATT